CCACTTTTTGAGAATTTGGTGAGCTCAAAATGACTTATATCGATTCGGCCAGTGCAGTTTCTCTCTAGAATCTTACAGAGGGATCTCAAACGAAGAATTTAAGTGCTATGCGGTCCAAATATGTTAATTAGTTTATTGGGAATTCGCATTGAAATGTTATAACCGAAGTGAAAGTTCAAGGAAATTTCGAATAAAATTGAGAACCAAAAACCTAACCTTGTGCAAATTGGATCTGCATGAAACTTTCAGAATCTCATTTTTTCACCAAAATATGAAATCGCAGAAAGTTTGAAGCTATTTGTTCAATTCTATAGCCACAAAGCAATAAATATGATAAAAAATGCAATAGCAGCAAGTAAAACGTGAGTAAAATGTCAAAAATGACTAAAATCGATAGTTTGCGCCGATATACATAATGCGCTAGGTCTCATCATAGGTTTTTGCACATTTTTGGATTGGAATTTTCTTTTCTCATGATTCTGTAACGAATAGGCTATTTGCCTCCAAAATTCGTCAACTTTTGTCGGAAACGATGCAGTCTAGTGAAAATCTTTTGTCAAAATGTAATTTTCCAGCTACCGAATGTTCAACTCTTGTTTCAACCAGTTGCCCAGAGTTGATAGCACTCATTTCAGAATAAAAAAAAACACAAAAATCAAATAGAATTGGAAGAGCAAATTGAACAAAAAAGAACGAGAATGTAAAATGAGAGTGGCGGAAAGTAGGTCTGATTTGATTAAGCTTAAACCGTTCACAATGTCATATCAATCGTCTTGCGAAATTTTCATGTTCACTCCGTGATTAGTTCTCCATCATTCTGGTTGTGTTGAATGAAAGAATTGTATTTTGTTATTTCGAAAAATGGCCAAAAATTTCGTTTCAATCGTGTTCATGTTCATTATTATGGCTTTATACGCCAATGAGGTGAGCAATATATAAGGAAAAACAAGCACATCGATCGAAATTGATTTGCGAATTGATTACAGTTAAATGCTGCACCACTGGACGGAGTAATCGAATTATCGTCAGACTTTGAACCGGAAACGGTAGGCTGCGATCGATACGAACAATTCGTTGAACTGGTGAGTTTTACGAAATACGAAGAAAATTGAATTTTATCATTTTTTAAAAATCATTTTATAGCCCAAAGACAAAAAGGAGGAAATTCAAAAACAAAATACAGCGTACACAGTTGAAATTGCCAATCAAAACGGTTCTATATCAAGGGAATGAGCCTTTATTGCTACACCTTTGATTGTTATTATATAAGCGATAAATAAAAAGAAATCGAAAACCATTTTATGAACATTTTTTAATCATTTAATAAAAAAAACTAAATAATTTCCTCACAAAAAACAACAAAATGTTCTAGATTCTATTTTCGGCAATTGAGCCGAGTGTTGTGGTTTGAACATCTTCATTGAATAGTTTCGTAATATCAGTGTCAGTCGCATTTGATCCAACGGCAACGGCTAATACCAACAATTGAACCTGAGGAAATTAAGTTGGAACAAAATTACAAACTAAAACATTTTTTCGTAAAAAAAATTACTTACCATTCCTTCGACGAAATCTGTGGGCGTTGCACCCTTTTTAAATTTCGTTAATATCTCTCCAAATTGTTTCAATTGAGCAGGCGTCAATTGCGCCGCCATTTCCTGTTTCATTTTTGCAATGTCTTCATCCGTTAGCTCTTTTGTTGGCACCATATTTTGGTGATTCGGGACATCGCGTCGGACTATTTGACGACCAGATATCTGACACTATAAGACGAAAAGAATATTTATTCAATATGTTAAACATTGATTCAATCCTTATTTTATCAAAAAAAAACAAAACAAACAAAAACATTACCGCTTGACCACAAATCAACACGATTAGAAAGTAACAAAGTTTCGATGACATTTTTAAAGACGATAAGCCGTAAACACTGCAAACGCTTCGTTCAACGAGTGATAGCAGAATGCTGCTGATTTTTGTTTACTTGCAAATAATAATGGCGTATAGAGGAGGGCGATAAGTTCGGCAACATTCGGGTAATTATTGAATGCAATCGAGTTATTATCGGTCATATGTGATTGTATGCCTTGTAAGGCAGTCGAAGCTGCAATCTAACATTTGATTACACAATCCAACGTCGTATTTGCTTATTACATGCAGTTGTCAATTTCATTCGATTGTTTATTTTGCCATTTTATTTTTTCTTCATATAAAACAGTTGTCACATTTTCAGAAAAAAAAAATGGAATTTTAGAATTCTCATGTCTAAATATTACGAATCAACGCCCATTCTAAGAATGAATGCAATCGATTTTGCCACAATGAGATTTATGACTGTTGCGTAGTTTCATTGAAACAATTTCAATGAAGAAAGCAGTACTAACAAAATTATCTCATGCCAGTGCACAGAAGTTTTGATAATGAACATGTTGCAACTAATCAAATTTGAATGTACATTAGAAATGAAAAGACGGTTACAACATCTTGATAACCTTTGATTTTGCCAAGAATGTTTCTTTCTAATAAGAGTTTTGTTCCCGAAACAAAAATTAATTTTCATCCAGTATTTATAGGGTCGCAATCATTCCGAATATTTGTAGTTTTGATCGTGCTTTTAGAAAGTAAACGGCTGAAATTAGTAAACATGAAATTGATTCTCTACGTTGTTGCTGTTGGATTTGTGCAGGTCTGTTCGACTTTCCATTTCTTTTTCAAAATCCCATTCAATTCCAGCCCATGAGTTTTGATTGAAATCATTTCATTCAAGTAGGTCTGCTTCAGTGCTGTGGTTGTGAAGAGAGAAGAAAAACCGAACGATCCGTTTGACGAAACTATTGATGAACTACGCACCGTACTTAAGGCAGTGCATGGCACGAATCCCCAAGCCGTTGAAAATTTCATCAACAATTTGAATGGTTTTCGTGATGAAGCAACAGATGGTGAAGCATTGAATAGCTTCGTAAGTTCCTTTAGTTGTTAGTTATGCAGTTTTCAATCCAAGATTGACATTCATGTTTTCCTTTCCAGTTGAATCTATTGAGTCTGGCTGTTAATGCTGATGTATCCAAGCTAAATCAAACATTGCAAGAATCTCCATTCTTTGACAGTAGCGAAGAAGATGATGGAGATGCGAATGAAGATCCAGAACAAATCAATTCAAACTTGGCGCAAGGCTTTTCGAAAGGGAGCTCACATAACAAGGCTTTGGACAGGTTTAAAGAAGCTGTTTCCAAAGCATGGACTGAATCACAAACCAAACGAGCAATGGAATTGCTACAGGGTTTTAGCCAAAATGCCACACCAATGGAGAAAGAAAATGCTTACGTAAGTAAATTGTAAAACGCCATTCCAAATAACTGACAAACTACATTTATTGCATTCATTCGTTTCCAGCGGAAACTGATCATTTCAGCTGCTCGGAATGCTTTGGGAATTAAAACTCTATTCGCAATAAATTAAACATGAATTTTTTTCCAAATGATGAAATGTAAAATAATTTAATAAAAAATGTTCTCATGTCAGAATACTGACTTTTATATAAGAGTACACTGTTGAAATATCCAATAAAGTGATAAATACGACCACAATTTTCGTCTTTCTTTATATTACGCATTACAAATCATTCCTCCGCCTTCGTAATCAAAGCAATCACGATCTTCATTTATTACTTCAATCTTGCCATTTCCCCATTCATACTTGCTACTGAACTGAATCAACTAAATAAATGTCGGCATTAAATGCTTTGATCGCTGATTAAATTATACCGCATCTGTAAAATTGATAATCTTTGCTTCAAACAGTGAAAAAATAGTTTCATGCCTTATATTTATGCGATTCGCCTGAATGGTAACTTGTGTAGTTTATGCAGTGTGTTTGATTCGTGCAATGATAAAATTTGCCTATGTTTTTATATGGAGCACGTGTTTATGCTATATTTAAGCGACATCTTCGCGCTGAATGCTGAACTATGAAACTCCTATATATATATACTGTCAACTATCAATGACAGCAACCAATGACAGCTACAATTGAACGTATTTGTATGGCAAAATACTTCCTACTTGCAGATGGCGCCAAACCGAACGTCATTCTAGTCATTTTTCTCATTGATTCGTGCGCACGTGAAATAAGCTAAAATGAACCTGCTTCTCTTCTTCATTATTCTTGGCGTTGTCCAGGTCTGATGCATACTTGTTGTTATTTTTTTTTAAACAAGTTGATAAAATCTTATTTCATCAGTTCTCCAGTTGCCAAGAGCGAGACTGTCTCATCGGCTTTTACTGACTCGGATATTGGAAGAATTCGCCAAGTTTTGAAATCGATTTCAGAAGGAAGTTCACCAAAAGAATCGGAAAATCGCCCTTGTAAGTCATCACACATCCCCTGCCGAATGCCATTTACTTATCCGTTTTATTCGCTTCTTTGCAGTATGATTTCTTTGATTCTGCAATTCACCCCTTCCTCAACATATCTACGAGAAGTTAAGGCGCTCGAATCACTGAAGACTTCTCGCTTCCAAATGAAATTCTTGAAACTAATATCTCAAGTGCGAACACCATATCTTTCTTTTGACGTGGTAAGTGTTCGCACGCCATTCTCACGTCTTGTATACAACATTGCTGGAATGACGTACGCTTAATGAAAATGTTTATATAAAAATACATCCAGTTACATGTAGAAAGCGTACGTCTTCCGCGATGTCGTCATCTTTTCAGTTGTACCCACTATGTAGCTATGTATGCGATATGCGCACTGCGCTTAGTCGGAACACAGCTGACTCTTGCATAGAATAAAATTGTAATCTTGCATTATCACACAAAAAATATTCCAGTCCCTCATTAGCAAGACATCTGTACAAAAAATACGCGCTACAAAACTGAATCAACTAAATGATGAGTTGATATTAAAATGTTTTGACCTCTGAACAAAATTGTTCTATATTTTTTAAAAATCATTGATAACCTATTGATTTCAACGAAGAAAGAAATAGTTTCATGCCTCATAATATATATTGCAAAAAGTATTTATTTGATTCTCCTGAACGGTAGCATGTGTAGTTTATGCAGTGTGTTTGATTCGTGTGCACGTGAAATAAGCCAAAATGAAACTGCTTCTCTTCGTCGTTATTTTTAGCGTTGCCCAGGTTTGATACATACCGTTCAGTTTTTTCTAACACGTTATAAAAATCTCATTGTATCATCAGATCTGCATCTGTTCACCAATTGCCAGTAGTGAGACAGCCTTATCGGATTTGACTGACTCGGATATTGACAAAATGCGCCAGATTTTCACATCAATTCCAGGTGTTGACCCGCAAATCATGGATAATTTTACTAACATATTCTACAATTTCCGCGAGAACTCTACCAACAACGAAGTCTTAGCTGGAACCGTAAGCATCCTTTTCGATTTCGGTATTTCCCACTGCATAAATAATCAAACGAATTAATTCAATCTGCCAATTAACTTTCAGATTAAGTTCATAAGTCTAGCGGTGAATGTGGATGTTTCGATTATCAACCGAACACTTTTGGCACTTTCTCAAAACCGATCGCACTCTTGTGAGAGCAAAAATCTCAGAGATTTCACCGATGGACGCATAACCGAAGTCAAATTGAAGGATTTGGAAGATGCATTTTTGAAGGAATTGACACCGTTACAAACCAAACAAGTGATGGAAATTTTTCGCGGTTTTCGTGAAGGAGCTTCATCAAAAGAAACCGAAAATACCATTGTAAGTCATCGCATCCTCCATCGAATGTCATATATTTACTTATCCGACTTATTCGTTTCATTACAGTTTGATTTGTTAGTTTCTGCAATGTATGGCCCTCTCATCATACCCGCAAAAAATAAAGATGGTCATATCATCGAAGACGAAGATGTGATCATTTATGAATTAAATGAAAATTAAATCAACAGAATATGAACAAAAATGCGAAAATAATCTAATTTTTAGTGACATGGAAAAATTAAACTGTGAAATAAATTATGAATTTTTCTCAAAAAAAAGAAGAAAGAATATGAAAAATGCGCTGCGTATTGAGAAATATGTTCAACTCTTTTGTTCAAGGGATTTTTACTCATGACTGAAAAAAATGGAAGTTTATCTATCGAAAATTATCAAAAAATTCGGTTTAAGATCCTTCAATTAAGTCACATAACATAATGCGTCATTTTTCAAGCATATGAGTAGTTTTCATAAGTTCATCCGGTCAATTGATAATTATTTTGTTATTCATATTCAGTAGCGTTCAAATTTTGGTGTATTTTATGAATATTCAATGTCAAACCTATCGGTCAAATCGTAGGGTATTTCATTCAAAAAGCAAATATACACAACAATAACTGAATAGAAGTAGTCCTCTCATTTGATTTGTGTTAATGTTGATTCGTTGAAAGGTCACACTGTGTCGCATGAATGTGACACCAAGAAATCGTCTAACGGCTGCGCGCAAATTCAATTTTATTCGATAACCTTTAAGCATGGTGAAAACATTCAAGATATCACTTTTGCATTCCGAAGTCATTTTTCTTCAATGAGTCTGATGACAAGATCACTTCAATCCGGAATATTTCTGGTTGTGTTTCGAGAGAGTGCATACATGAAGTAAACAAAATGAATTAGCCAATATTCGTTGCTATCGTCGCTATTGTGCAGGTGCTGATAAGATGTTCAAAACAATTCCAGATTTTTGATATTCAAAGCGATTGTGTAGGATGCTAGAATAATCGATTGATTGCTCTGTTAAATCATTTCAGGTCTGCGCTAGTGCTTCAATTGTCGAACGGAGTGCATATGCATTCAAATGGTCTGATGCCCAAATCGATTCCTTTTGCAGCGAGTTGAAAAAATTTCCAGGCATTGATCCGCAGACAGTTGATGAATTTTCAATAATTTTAAATAATTTCCGTCAAAATTCTACCGATCATGCATTATTTGAAGGCATTGTGTGTACTTTCGTGTGTTTTCATTCTTCAATATTTGATTGGATGCTTCTCTTTCAGTTGAAATTACTGAGCATAGCAGTCGACGCAGATTTTGTCAATATAAATCAAACGGTGTTCGAGCAAATATACAATGTAACTGAAGAAGAAGAGTTCGCTTCGAAAGAAGGGATGGAAGTTGTGAAGAATTCAGTTGGAAGACTTGGAAAATTCACTTTCTAAACACCTAACACCATGTCAAACCAAAAGGGCAATGGAAGTTCCTCAAGCATTCCACGAAGATGCCACATCAAGAGAGATCGACGCCACTGTGGTATGTCATATCAAAAGTTAGTTAATGCTTATCAAAAATTTCGTATTTTCAGGTCGAACTATTTACAGCTGCAATGCAAGTTGCTTTACACATGCCGAAAAGAAGAAACGAACGGAATCCAGAAAATTGAAATCGGTTGGGCATACGAGACCAGCACTTATTTTTTTTGATATTTATCTTAAAATTTACGCGTTCTATTACAACTGAATGGTAATGTGAATTTTGTTTGTCAATTTTCGTTGACAACAAAAACATTTCGGATGAGTCGAATGTAAGCAATTGTAAACAAGAATCAGATAAATGAATCACGCACTAAATACATGAACATTGTTGTCGATTTGTTTAATTCCGTTGACCGATTTTCATTTATTGTCCTACAGATACATAAAATCGGACAATATTCATAGATGTGTCGCTTTTTTTTTCAAAGTGCTAAGCATTGATGACCTCTAATCTCAAGGTTGACGTGTCTAAGGTTTTGATGATTAATTGCAAACAAATACATATTTGTTAATCGGAGTTCTCCGCAGCTACTTAAAGTATACGCTTGGTTTGAAGAATTTGCAGTTTGAATTGCGTTCTTGAAATTAATGCACGTCAGCAAGAAGAATCCAGCAAAATGAAGCTATTTTACCTAATTGCTATTGTTGGCATAGTTCAGGTTGGCAAAGCTTTTCACTGATTTTGAAATGAAAAATATTAAAATATAACAAAATCTTTATTGATTAGGTTTGCTCAAGTGCGTCAGTGGTGAAAAGAGAAGTCGAAACATTGGATATAAATCTCACCGATCCTAGATTGGTCACTGCTGAGCAAGCCGTTTCAAAATTGGATCCAAAGGCTTTGTATGATTTTGTTGAAATTTTCAAAAAGTTCCAACCAAACGGAACCGATGAAGAAAATTTAGAAGCCAGTGTAAGTTTTGCAAAAAAAATACTCATTTAAATGAGTAATGGAATGTAATGGATGATTCCACTTTCAGGCATATCTTTTAAGTATAGCAGTGAAAGGAGATTTCGATAAAATCAACCAAACCATTTTCAACTATTGGTTCAATCGCAGTTCGGACGAGATTGAAAGAAATTCGAGCGATGAAAGCGATGACATGCTATTTTTGTTGCAGGATTTAAGCGATAAAGGTTTAAAGAAATTGGAAATTGTGTTGTCCAAAGTGCTGACCGGACCACAAACCGAACAGGCAATCAGCATTTTAAGAGGACTCGGCGAAAATGCTTCAGTAAAGGACGAAGAAGACACTAAAGTAAGTTTCCTTGCATTTTAATAAGTGGTATTTGATTTGAAAAAAAAAACACTAAACCTGATTTTATTCTAGGCCGATTTCTTCATTTCCATTGCACACAATTTTCTGGGCATGCTTAAAAACGACGTTTGTCATATTATACAAACCGTAAAATCAGATCTCGATTGCAAGAAATACGCAACTGTTTAAAAGATTAAAATTGAATAAAATTCGTTGTATCACACAAATGTTTATTTTTACTCTAAGGTTAACATTATGCTCATTGTGCCAATGAATTCTATTGCGATTTGTTTATTTCATAATTGGTCTTTTGTACATGTCTCTTTGTTCAAATATAGCTTTCCATAGCTATCAAGTATCAAGTTTCGGCAGATCTTCAAAGAATTGAATATCCATCTTCGAACACCTCTAGAATTTAACCGAAAAATGTGATTCCGATTTTAAAAACGGTTCATACGGTGGCAATGTTCATGTACTTAGTGCGTGATTTATTTATGTCATTCTCTTATTTACACTTCATTGTTTTCATTCCATTCTACCGAAACGTTTTCGTTGTCCACAACATCATATTTTGGCTTGCCGAACGCTCCACTTATGGCGGATGTATACAAATTCACCTGCAAGTTAAAACAATTACTGTAAAAAACAATTCAATAACCATGTTTAAGTTAAATGGACGGGCATCGAAAACATACCAAAGCGGCTTCTTTCTCCCTAGCCGTTGCACCTTGACGAAAACCGTGAAAAATTTGAATTGCCAGTTTAGTCTGAGCAGGTGCCAGTTCCTTAGACAATATGGTCTCCAACTCTTTCAAATCGTTTTCTGTTATGCCTTTTGGCGAAGTACCTTCGACCTCTTCAGAATTGTTGTCATTTTCATTGGTATTCTTCTGTGAAAAATGCTCGAAAATAGTTTTATTTATTTTGGAGACGTCGACATTAAGGGCGAGACTCACGAGCTGGACCTGAAACAACAGAATATCACATAAAATGTTGAACAATTCAATTGTTTCCGAGAATAGACGTTAAACTTGAATATGAATGTGAAATACAAATAATATATATTTGAAGGATAAATCTTCACGATTAAACATACCGTGCCTTCGATGATTTCCTGGTCGGTTGAATTCGGACGGAACTTGTCAAAAATGCTAATAAAATCGTCAACAGCACCGGGTTTTATTCCTGGAATTGTTTTCCAATCACTGCGAAATCGTTCAATATTTGACCCATTCTGTTCTATTATTTCTGATGATCTCTTTGCAATGGAGGAACACCAGCATAACTGATGATAACCAATATTTGATTAGCAAAAATGATTCGAACAGTATTCGAAAAAACGAAATATAAATAGAAAGATTAATACAATTTTGGTCTAACCTGCACAAAACCAACCACAAAAACTAGCGGAAACAATTTCATTTTGTGGAATTCGCGTGTTGAATACAAACTGCAAATACTTATAATCGAGCTGATCGTATAAATACACGATGAAAAAGAGGATTTTGGAATGAAAGAGAGAGAGAGAGAGAGAAAGAGAGAGAGAATGCGAATTGTCAAAGACTCAAGGGTTATCATTGTTGACAGTTCGAAAAAAAAGTCATATGATTTCTTTCATGTAGACGCCTTATCGTCGCATACTTCGTTTTTATTCGACCTGAAATTGTATTCTGTTGTCTGAGTGGAGTTGTACTTTAGCCCACTGAAAACGACAACGCACACCGAATTCAACGGAAAACTTTGATTGAATTGGAAAATGTGTTCCTTTCGTGATATAAATTTCAAACGATACTGCATTCATTCCTGATGGCCTGCTAGAAAAATGGTTCGAAATTGTGTGTATATAGGCGAATGCAACTTTGAACACGAAGGTGTTTCCATCACTCGCGCTTGATGTCACCGGCTGTGATAAAGTATCGTATTCGATTAAAAATGATGATTCTAATATACTAAACAACGTTTTGTGCTTAAAGCTATGTGTTTTAAAAAGTGTTAGCCGAAGAAAATGACGTCAAAATTAATATTTTCATTCGCTTTTGTACAAAATAAACATATTATTCATGGCTCGTTCTCCAAAATCAAGGAAAATATGAACTGTTTTTGCCAATAGGATTTCAAATTCAAAATTGAACATTTTTTCATGAATTCTATATTTCAAAACGATAATTTGCAAAGAATTGACTGGACAAAGTGGAACATAATGACATGAAAATTAATATTCATCGCCACGGAACAGAACATTTCGGAGAAAATTTAACTAACATACTTTTTGAAACTGATAACCGAAAATGTTCTAGAATGTGATGGAATAATATTTCGAACTGCGACGGTGATTCTCGTCGATTATGGGACAATTTTATGGCACACTTATTGATAATTAGCAGCAATTTATTAACAAACAAACAGCAGTAGAAATCCCAATAATGATTTTGAAATCAGTTAATAACATTCTATTCTTTCCTAATCCAATCGGCGGCCATTCATAGGTTATTATTTTCAATTTAATCATTTTGGCCTAAATAACGCTATTAAATATACAAACGAATTGAATTCGTTAGTTGCTGTTTTTTTTGGTTTTGTGCAGGTCTGTGTAGCCTAAAGTTACATCCAATGGTTTGTTTTGTTGGCAAAAAAATTCTAGTTCGAATTTTGAAAATTAAATAACGATTTAGAGGTGAAAACCACCCATATTATGACGAGAATTTTTCACTTTCATAGAAATTCGTCTAAGCGAGTACTTTCAATTGATAGCTATTGATCCAACGAAACTTTTGAACACTTATATTACGCTGAAATTTTGGAGAAAAGTCATAGAAATGATGCATTTTATAGTAATACTCAAACTTTTCCACGGTACTGTATGTAATAACAAATATGAATTTCCCTTGAATGTGTTTAGTCACATCATATTCGAAACTTCAAACTGAATGAAAATATACGAAAAAGAAGTCAGTGAAAATGAAAAAAAAAAACCGTTTTGTACAAGTCCAACTTGGACAAATTTACCTTTTGGGAGTATTTTCTTTCTTCCCGTGCAAAAACTATCGTTTAAATCAGGGAAGTCACAATGCAGATGTGTATTTTGTCTTGTTAAATAAAAAATTGAAAGCGTTAAAGCGAATATTTCATGCTATTTTATGATGGCACTGCAGCATATTGTCATGCTTGCAGCTGTGCCCTGCTCTCTCTGGTGGAATTATTTCATCATGATGCAGTTCAATTCGTTCATTTTTATTTCATTCTTTCGTTTGTTCGTTCATTCTTTCTTCGGATGTATCTCTGACGTTTGAACGATTGTCTGCATATTTGCATTGATCCTCCGTTTTTTTTTTTCGTCTTTTTCGCATTTGGAAATTTGTATAGGATCACTATACCGATATCCATCGGTACATTTGCCTGGTGTGAAAACATCAATAAAAGAATAGGACACCGAATGAACAATGAAACGTGAACGTGAACGTGTATTCGGGGTTTTATTTTGGAGAAGACATATTTTGCATACCACAACAATTGAATCGATAAAATTGAAGCAAACGAGCACAATGCATAAATTTCATAGACACATAGACACTCAACGGAGCAGAAAATGGTATTTCGTTTCTTTTTTCTTCTGGGTCTTTCAATATGAAGTGCAAGTGGTGAATATCCTGACATCGAAAAGAAGTTGTTGAAAAATAATTCAAGCTTCCGAGTCGTTTGTGGCGAAAACCGCACCGACGAAACAGCATGAACAAAAGAAAAAAAATAATGGCATCGAATGAGTGGGAAAATGGAAAGGTTTTATAGTTTGGTTGAAAAGTTTTCGGTTGGCGAGCGAGAAATATTCGTATGCATTGTCTATTGATTCATGCAATTTGTCAGGATCCCTTTTTCATTTAACTTTTCCCAACTGAATTGATGATTTTTGCCTCTTCTTTTTCTTTTGCCATGGAGAGCACTGTACAATCTCTCTTCACCCAAAAATAAAATGTAAAAATATTTCCTGATACAAACGAATGAAAAATAGATATTTCGTCCATCGATGTAAATCACTTCAGGACCACAATTGTTTATTTCGATCATCATTTCGACGGGAAAACTTTTACTGCAATTGATTTTCGACGCTGTTTGCAAAAAAATAAATATATCTCAAAAAACAATTGCCGTTAACAAAAAGTGCAGTCTGTCATTCTCCATCAGAAATATGTTCAAAATGCTCAAGTTTGGAGTATTGAATTAGCGCCAATTTACGGGTCCATTATTTAATAGAAAATGCAAAAATTTCAAAATTTATTGGCAACAAAATGATATCTTAGCATCATGACGGCATTGAGAAACCCATTTCCCAGCTAAACGGGTTGAATTTCCACGAATTGCCCAAAAACACGAACGATTGCGAAAGGAAGAAAAAAAACTCAAGCGAACGTTTGAATGACGTACAGAAATATAATTTCAGAGCGTTTTTGCTGGTGGCTCTGGCCTGATTGGTAGGCACGAATCAAGCGAAACTTCATAATTGATAAAGTTTTTCTTTTAGTTGGATGCTTTAAGGACCGGTATTTTTTTTCGTCAAGTCATTTCATTTTCGGATGTGATGTGCTGTCATTCTTTCTTATCTCAGTCTCCTTTTTACGACCATCGTGTTTTTTTTTTGCTGGTAACTACCCATTCCGAATGTCCGATACCAAGTTTTAATGTTTCATGAACCCATCGACAGAGTCAAGTGAAAGAACTTATGGGAAATTAAGGAAACTGGTGTCATCAGTTCGTGTGTTCGACATTTTCATTCGTCCGTCGTAGTATATCATGTCCAGTTCTTCGTGTCGTTGTTTGTCTTCAAAAATATAGTTTTAATGCCTCTTAGAGTGGCAGCTCGTTGCCCGTTTGTTCTTGTGTTGCGGACAACAACGACAAAAAAACTAAAGCGTAAGGTAAATTCCATAAGGAACGTGGTAGTTGCAGCAGCTAAAAGCTGTTATTCGATATACTGCTCTTGCTGAATTTTTATTACACTGACTCATACACACACACACAAACAACCTGAATTAAATCTCATTGTGAGTGCATGTCGAATGCGGGTGTCATGCATTCTGAATTGGCGTCACTCCGTTACTCAAGCATATGCTTCGAGCTTGTTGCATCGTGAAATGCATCGGTCACTGAATATCCTCAATTTGAAATGGCACAACTTTGGAAAGGGAGAGAGAAAAAAACATCTTTCGCCGACGTCAATGACTGCTACAGAAGTCGAAATAGCTCAACAAAAATGTTGCACTGTTGACAAGTAGTTAAGTCGTGTTTGCTTCATAATAGATAGATTCATAAAACGCAGCATCTGTGCTATGGCATGGAGGGATGTGTGTACGCTGTACGTGTACGTGCACATTGAAGCGCAAAACGATCATAAATGCGGTAATTTTGTACGACATTAAGTGTAAATGGTAGTTGTTGTGCACAAATTGGCCAAGTAAACACACACAAATATATGTATCGTTCAAACATTGAGTGACAAATATGTACTTACACTTGTCATGAATGCTCGATTTTACGAGACGATGAAAGATAAATATCCACGTTGATTGATGACTATTTTCAATCACAAAATGGAAAATTGTTACAAACGGAGAAGAAAACCCAGACACGAAGCATTATTATTGGTATTATAGCAATTGTTTGGTTTCTCTTGCATTTAACCGCATGTATCCTCTGCAAAACATAGATTTATTACCACTTAATAGTTAATTAGCGGCCGGGCAAGATTGGCCATTATTAATTTATGAATTTATTGGTGTTACACATGACTATGGTCTCATATATCGCAACCAATTTTATGATACAAAAATGACCTCTATGTGGTTGTACGGGGAGCGCAATTGCCTTGGAATTTCACATAATATTTATACGCTTCACCTCGTCGTAGTTTGATTGTATATTGAAGCACATATTGAGTGCACGTGTGCGGTTGATCTTGTTGACCTCCCGATTGGAGTGACATTATCATATTAAATATTACTGCGGTATTGGACATAATTATCATATAAACATAGCAGAGATTTGCCGTCATATACTTTCTGACTCTAGAAGTCAGTTTGCATATCATATCATGTTGCCCATTACTCATTTCACTGAATTTTAGCTATGCGTTTTTGGAGGAAAAATTCCCAGGAATAATTTTCTTTAACAATGTTGCGGATGAAATAGTTTTGACAGCAATATCATAGAGCCAATATGCCTCACAGTGGGGCGAATTCCAATGGAACATGCTATTTATTCAAATTTCATACTCGAAATTCTTTAACAATTAGCCAAACAATTCATAGACTATGAATCATAGTCATGAAAAAATCGATTATAACTATAGAGTAAATTGTTGTTATCAATTTTCAACCTTTTTTATGTATTTATTTGAATATGCTGAATAAATTGTTGCCATACACATCAAAACATCCTGCAAATTGCGCAGGGGCGCCATTCAGATTGGCTTTCTTGTGTGAGAATCTGGTTCTATCGATCTTCGAAAGAACTGTTTCTGTAACTATAAAGTAATGCAGGTAAAGTAAAGTAAATTTATGTAGTGTAGTAATGGTCCATGGTCCATAGCTGTGTGGCCACACATCAATAAGCGGTTTATTATTTTCGGATGCTACAACGACTGACTTTATTTCAAACTTATGCCAAGAATGTTACCATAATCCCTCTCCGCTCTATGTACAGTAATTAATCGAGGAATTCGCCGATGGGACCAAAATTGTTTGGTTCTTTCCTTTTAATCTTCTTAAATGTTAACTTCAATAAATGTTCGAGTTACTTGGAACAGTTTTCCATTTCTCAAAGCTATTGTTTCAGGTGTTTTCGGTGTATTTTGGTTTGGCTGCATTGTGTCCACATTTTTAAACGTTTTTCCGAAATACTTTTATCCTACAGTATTTAACTTTAGAAGAATTTAAGAATTACACTGTGAAAATTCGAAAGCCAATTGCAAGTAGCCTCGAAAACTGTGAACGTAGAGAGAGTAAACAGAATTGGAATTTCGAAAAATAAACTCTTAAACAAGACTTTGTTTCAGAGATCATTTGTTTGCTTTATACTTGTTTGTTTTACAATACGATTTCCATGCGACCCAAACAACGGTATACATTTTGTTGACGTATCTCTTGATAATATTTTAAAAGAGAAATTAAGATTTCTTCCGTTCCATAAAATGATGATTACAAAACCATGATCAACATTTAAAAGGAATTAAAACCGAAATTCCTTTCAAAATGTCCAAAAGTTTCGGAAAACGGAGAGAGAGCTTGCACGCATTCATGTGGCATTGCATGATTGTACTGCTACTCCATCCATCCATTTGTTTCAATTGAAGCGAACAAGTTTCATAAATCCAAACATAAACGCAGCAGCACATGTACACAATTTCGGGCCAAATTTCAGCAAACAGCAAAATCCCATTTACGTCACACATTTTCTCATTTCTGTCGTATTCCGAGATATTGAATGTGTAATGGTATTTGAATGCTAACAAATACACACCCTATGCGTTTTTGCATGAACGCAAACAACGTTCGCGTCCGAGGGTATGTCTGTCGCAAATCATGCTATTGGGGCTGCCACTAATGTTGCGCTGCCGTATGAAATGCACGGTACGTGTTGTGGGGCGCATGCTCAAAAGCTTCCGTTCATTTTTCTTCCTTCGTCTTTGATGAAAATCCGAAAGTGTATGGACATTCGCAGCATCCGACAGTAGCGTCGCCAGTGACAACAATAACAAAATACACACTCTCTGCATTCACACATAGAGAAATAAGAAGCGACTCTCTTCTTCGTTCAGTGCAACATTTACGGTCGATGTGTGCGTAAAAGTGAACATTTTCTCCATACAGAAAATTAAATAATTTCGAGTGTAGACGATTTTTTTCTTATTTCAAATATTAAAATTGTCACAAACAATTGACGGACGTTTGGAAAAATATCATTTTAAATCGTTTTAATTGGTGGCAAGTGAAGAAAATTCAGCGAATGAAAATCGATGAGTTTGATTGCTGTCAAAGTTGCTTGAAAAACCATCCATTTTCCGTGTTCGCAAGGATTGTGCGTAGTAATGTAGAAGAGCCATAATGTTGAACGCTTTCATATGTTTTTGCTTTGCATTGAATGACACTATGTAGGCTCAATGATAATAGAATCAAAATTTTCATGTGCCGTGAATTTGGTTTGGTGTGCCAAAACAAACGTAGTTGGATTCAAACGTAATCTCGGCAATTTTTGCCCCATTCGACACTGGAAATTATAGAATATCGAATATGATTTCGTTGAAAATAATCGCGGTGTTTGTTTTGCATTTGATTGTGGTGCGGGAAATTAACGGAAATCCGGATGCAAAACGACTTTATGATGATTTGTTGAGCAATTACAATCGATTAATCCGACCGGTCAGCAATAATACACAAACGGTTTTAGTTAAGCTTGGCTTGCGTTTGTCACAGCTCATTGACTTGGTAAGTGGTTTGAATCAGCGAGTGTTTGCATCGAAATGAAATTAATTGAAATTCCGTCGTTCCGCTTTGTTTTATTTGCAGAATTTGAAGGATCAAATCTTAACCACAAACGTTTGGTTGGAACACGTAAGTTTCACTGCTTCTCCTCCTTCCGTGCCATAGTACCGCGCGTGACATTTATTAATGAATTTAATTAAAGACGATTCATGCTGATGCTAGCATTTCGATTCAATATCCATTTGCATACGTATTTCATAATTATTTCCGCCACTCATTCATCGCTATCACTGTCCATCAGCCCCATTGAGTCGCAAATAATATCATTTTAATTGGATCTATTAAATTTCCTTCATTTTGTATAAAATCCTGAGCATTTGGAAATTGTGTCGACCATTTTCGTTTGCAATACTTCTTCGTTTCTCGTAGATCGTCTTCGACTTCTTCTTATCCTACCAACACATCTGTTGATTAAATTTAATTAAATTTCGCATGCTTAATTGTGATTTTTGCTTAAACACGCACACATCGATTGACTACAGGAATGGCAAGACTATAAACTCAAATGGGATCCATCGGAATATGGCGGTGTCCAAGAGCTGTATGTCCCGTCGGAACACATTTGGCTACCGGATATTGTCTTGTACAACAAGTGAGTTTCTTAATTCAACTACACCAAATTGGAACGTAGATCTTATCATTTTGATTTTGAAAATGCCAACAAGGTGCAGCAATAGATGAACCTACCGAGATTATCCCATCAAATTTAATTTATTCAGCCGATTCAAGCATTGATTGCATCTCGGCAAAATATTCATTTCCTATTCAATTTTATTTTTAAACAAAGCCGTGTTTTTCGAGCGACTGACGAAAACTCCAACCAGTTTGTTTTGATGTGTATGGCAACCCAAGCTAAACAGTAAGATAATATTCTATCGTGACGATGAATTTCATCGTGAACTAGCGGCTAGCGCATGTACAGTGTAAATGCACACTTCTCCTTTCTCACTGCTGCTGTGTTGAACAAAAGTAAACGGTTCACGCACACCAATACATGGCTGTATGCGTGCGCTATGGAGCTACAGTAGACCGATCCAAAAAAAAGTTGTGCCTCATCCCAAAAGTCCGGCCAGTTTCGAAAAATATACCTCAAAAAAATAGGTTTTGTCCAAAAAAAACGATATGGGTACCATACAAAAACCCATAACAAGCCTCACATCAAAATTTTCATGACAGTGTTTTCGGAAGCCATTTTAGATCGCTACATTTCGACCAAAATAATTTTTCCAGCCAATATTCGGCAGAAACTGTTGATGAGGTTTTGTTTGGCTCGTCAATATCTACAACTTTTACCAAGACATCAGCCCTTGAAAAGGCATTCTGGGTCAGTTACAGTGTAAAAAATTGAAATTTTTCGGCATTTTTTACATTTTTTGCTCTACAAGTCGACCAGGCGGTGGACTATTGTTCGGTTTTCGACTTGTGTCGTGTAGCCAGAATCTGTACAAACATTTTGGTACTTGTCAGATTGCAATTTGGATGGATATTGGCGACAATTGATTCACACATATAAGACAAATTTCAGGCCGAAATGAGCAAATCACGACTACGAGCTTCGATCTGACAAATAAAAGCAAGCGATTTCTACCTTCTCTGCCTTTGAACATTTAGTATGATCCCTTACGAACATTTTAAGTGACAACACGACCAAATCGAGTGATGTTTTCACATATTTCTGGCCTCATATTCGATTTAAACTCCCAAAAAATCGACATTTGACCAAAAAATCCTTAAGTATAGGCTTTTTAGGGATGGTGTCTTGGTGCAATGTTATTTTTTCTCGAAAATATGGGGAGTCTACCCAGACAAAAACTCTCAAAATTGACTTTTTAAGGTACCTCCCGAACAAAATTTACGTTTTTCATGCATTTTTCTATGAAAATATCATTTTTTGTTCGGGAGGTACCCCAAAGTTTGAGGTATATTTTTCGAAACTGGCCGGACTTTTGGGATGAGGGACAACTTTTTTTTTTGGATCGGTCCAAGCTACAGTCATGTATCGGTTTGCGTGCATAGCATACTATGTTTAACACAGCAGCAGTGAGAAAGGAGAACTTTTACAAACACGCGCTCGCCGTTATTCCACGATGAAATTCATCGTCACGATAGAATCTCATCTTACTGTTCCGCTTGGGAATAATTTATTCAGCATATTCAAATAAATACATAAAAAAGGTTGAAAATTGATAACGTTTAGAATTTCGAGTATGAAATTTGAATAAATAACATGTTCCATCGGAATTTGCCCCACTGTGAGACATATTGGCTCTATGATATTTCTATGCGATGTCTTACAACCGAACCAGCAACACGGTATTGAATATGAACAATTCGTTCTAGGTTTTAACGAGACACATCAATTATTAAATTCATTCATTTTGGTTAATTAATTGAATGTGAAATATCAACACATCAATTCGACCACACAAAACTATGAATCATTTAAAATTCGGCCAAGAGTTTGCATTCGGAAAATAAATTGCACTTTTCAGCAAATGCAGGTGTACATACAACACCGAAGAAAAAATGAAATGATATATCGATAAAATTCATTGCATTTGCGGTTCATTCAACTTCGTTCGCTCGCTCGTTGTTTTATTTTGATAAAAAAAAAAGGTGACAAGCGACAATTGAACTGCCAACGGTAATGAATAAACACTGATTGAAATAATTAATTTATTGAGAGCCATGCAGAAGCCTAGCTGGTATGGAATTCGAAATAAAATTGATTATTTCCATTTGAATGCGATCTTCAAAACCAATATTCAGTGGGGTTTTTCCTCCTATTTTATGCTCTTATGCTTTTTAGCGATTTCAATTTTTCACTTTGAAAATGATCTAATTGTTTAATGGACACATTGTGTCTTGAAATTCGGTTGAAATTCGCTTAATAATTCATTCTCTTCATTTTTTTGAAAAAAAAGAGAATAAATTGAAAAAAAAATTGCTTGAGTGCTTCAAGCACTTGTTTATATTAGCTGATTTAATGAATTCTGCCACTTCAGCCGTTTTATTTTAATTGAAATGCATTTTTTTATTGCAATTTTGGTGAAATAGCGCCGATGGAGAGTATGTTGTAACAACGTTGACAAAGGCCGTGCTGCACTATACGGGCAAGGTGTATTGGACGCCGCCAGCCATTTTCAAATCATCATGCGAAATTGACGTGAGATACTTTCCATTCGATCAACAGACGTGCTTCATGAAATTCGGATCATGGACATACGGTAAGAAATATATGTATAAAAGAAGATGTTCCGTGATAATTGGCCAAATTTTATTTTTCACATTTATGGCTTCTTTCATGTGTGTGCCGTTAGACTTCTCTCAATCTAAGTCTATTACCAAAATCCTATTCAAAACAGTTAACTGCAGCAAATATTTATGTTAACAGCACTGATAAATGAAAGCAATAAGAGATGATTATAGGGAACGATGAAGAAAATTAAAATATGAACAACTGTGATTCTAAATTATGACTAAAATATGAGAAAGGAAAACCAGAACAATAATTTGATATTAAATACTGGTTATTTACGTTTGTTAATATATAAAATTAAAAATATAAATATGTTTTCTTTTTCTATTTTTTCAGATGGCGATCAGGTAATGTATTGTTATTATTGGTATTGCATTGTACGATGGAGGTCAGGTTTGAGTTTTTTCGTACTTTTACACTTCACAACGAGATGTCAGAATATAAATGTGATGTGATTCATGCCAAATCTATTGATATTTGGCACAAAATCTGTAACAACGGAAACCATTTTAATTTCATCGTTGATTTTTCCAAGAAAAAAAAAAACAACTCGTTAAGTAAATTCTTAATGAAGGTTTATAGCGAAAAGAAAATGAGTGAATAAATCTGATGGAAGACGTTCCCGTTTTTCGGAACAGCCGTTGCTGTAGCTGCAGCAGCCGCAGGAAAAATTGGGGACGAGGGTGCATAATAATTTTAATTGAATTATCCATTATTTCAGAGCAATTATAAAATTCAACACAAAAATTCATTTCATATAATGCAATATTTTTTCATTGTGTGCTCCACTTCGAAAGCAATTCAGTGCACAAACATCCACTTTGCCATGGTTGCGCTCGATGCAAAACTATTTATTTAACGATAGAATGGAGATAAAAAAAATTATGGGTAGAATTTCCCATAGTAGAAAGAGTCTGTGTGTGTTGTCATGGTTTTCACACACACACTCTCTTTCGCTCGCTTGCTCTCTGGGTTGTGGTTATGTTTGTCTTTTTCGCTATATTAAAATGGAATTTTCATCATGTTAAGGATTAAGTGATGGCATCTGGTACTCTCACATGCACTTCACGTTTCCATACACTGGGCTTAAAATGTGGGCTACCATCGGCAGTGAAAGACAACGGGAAATCATACACACAAAGAGACACACACACACACACAACACTTCGACGTCATAAAAAATTCGTTTGCTTTATTTTAATATATGGTTACAAGTTGAATCAAACCGAAAAATACGCCAAAATCATGTAGCACAAGCACAGTGAAGCGACACCGATTGCTGTGTGTGTGTGTGTGTGTGTCTTGCTTCTGCCATGCAATTTCATACATAAATTGAGTGCAGAAATATTTATGTATGTACGTTTTTACAACAGTACATCCATTGAACTGGGACAACAAGGATATGGGCGATTTGAATTCACACATTGAACATACTGGAAAAATTCCGCGCAACATGAGCCATATCGTAACACACACTCAGACGTACAGCGAAAACTTTCCATGTTTTACACCATCTCCATTCTCTCTCTACCCGTTCGCGTCTTCAGCCAGAGTTGAAATTCGAGAAAGAGAATGAGGGATAAAAAATGTTTCATGTGCATGACAGAGCGCTTATGCATAAATAATTCACAATCTCGCCTGAATATTCATGATGGCAATGCAGAACGAGATTGAATAATGACTTTTCTGGCTAGCCGAATAATGAGCAGCTTGTTAAAGCGCGCGAAAGTATGTTCGCAAACGAACCGCGAACCGAAAAAAATGTTCATATATACTTTCGGATGTGGGTGTATAGATAGCATCACTAACATGCCATATCGCAATATGTACGATCGGAAATAAGAATCTCTCACGCTGATGCGAAATCTTTTTTCCCATCAGATTTACTAAAAATTGATTACTCGATGGCAGTAACACCGTTTTGACATTTTTATTTCACAATTTTTCCTTTGATGCCATCCAATCAGGCCCTGCCGTCATTTTATTTCTATGTGCTCCAGTGTTAGAGTCCTTAAATCTATTAAAAAAGCGTTTTATTTTGCTTTGATCTTAAAAACATCCTGAATAAGACGTTAATGTTTTATTTCCATTGCATTGCTGTTATAAATACGCTCAGGTACGACACGTCTCAATCACTTTGTTGTGCTGTTGATGTTGCAATTTTCATTGTTGCCATTAAACGGTGAAAATGCAGCACAAAATCTCGTTACGACAATCTTGTTCCTTGCAAACGGCGAAAATATTTAAATTACATGCACTACAAAAAGAACATCCTCACGTCTGCATAATGAAACTTGCATTCTCATCTTTGATGCTGTGGACTCTTTTTGTTGCTTCCATTGAAGAAAATGAAAACTATTTCCACTTTTAATCTGTACGGAATGAAAGATTTAGTGTTTTGATCAGTGATGCGTAGGAAGATGAAAAATATTGTCGAACTGAAGAAAAAGCAGCCCGGCTTAAGAAGCATGGCTTGAAATGTATTTAGAATAGGAATTAAACTGATATTCAACTACTTGAGCTCTGCCAAAATACTTTTGCATGCAAAATGTGTGCACCCGTATCGCATCGATGTCGCAATTTATGTGAATAAGCCGTATAGATTCAATGAATTTTTAAAATTTATAACCGTTAATCGTGCCAAAATGTATCACATAAATCGGATTTTGAACGGGACTTTATCAATGGCACTATGGAAAATTTTACACATGAATGAAAAAAACGGGCGAAATATATAAATCAAAGTGTTTTGCAAATCCAAATAAAATTCGTTCAAAGATTTTGCGCATCGAAAATTTCCCAACAACTGCAATGTCATTCGAAGTTATTTGAGCGTTGGCATTTTGTTGTTTTTCTTCTTTTTCTTCTTGTGTTAAGTTACGTCAAGTGTATGCAAAATAAATGTAACAAAAGCACTGTTCTGTCGAGTGATTTCTTTCTTCCTTCAAAAAGTGGATGGATTCAATGGGAGTAACTTGTCGATTTGTTTGCATCATGTGTCGTTGCACCGGTTGGTTACGAACGAACGAATCGGTTTCATAATTTATTTATTGAAGTCATTTGGCGCACATGCTACATCGAAACTGTACGCAAAAATTGCATGCCATTTGCCTGATGAGCAGATTATTTCTAAATGAATAAGACATGCGAGGGGTGTGTGTATCGGTGTGTGAATATATGCGAGACAGACACTGATGCATCCTGAAATCGATTTCAATCATGTTGATTCACTCCTAAATCTACGACTAATGATTAATAGAGCATCGAGTCGAACGTGACTTTTTCGCCTGAACAAAGAACGAACGTTTCATTGAAACTCAATACATTTTCCGTAAATCTTGTGAAAGCTCAATTCGATTGAGAATTCACTTTAAAATGAAATCTTCCACAAAGTTCGCCGCTGACGCCGTTGAAGAGCTGCGCGTGCACTACACACTCGCAGGCATTAAGAAGCAGTGGTGTATGTGTGAAGCATTTGCGAACCAAAGCCATAAAAACGGTATGTTCATTTTGTGAGCAATTTTTATTTATTTTGCGATCCATTGATGGATCGACATCCGTTCAATTGGCTTTGGCAATTTTCAAGCCACCTAAAATACACACTAAACCGTTCGCGATAAGTAGATTTGTTTTTTTTTTTTTATTTCGAAGAGAGATGTGCGAACGAACAGAAGGAGAAAAATTGGGTGAAGAGTTCAATACAATTTCAGAGATATGACCTTTGGCATTTTTCATTTGTAACTAGATTCATGCGAGCCATTTGTATGTGTGCGTACGATAAGAGAGTGTGATATGTTTGACCGGGTGTTCGATTACGTGTTAAATAAAAGATTTTTTTCGGCTCTAAAAAATTCCGATGCTCCTTGATTCCGTTGAATGCGCCGAATATGATGAGAGGGGAAAGATTGTTCATGAATCATATTAAATGTTGAAAAATCACCTATTTTTATTCGATCCCCTATCGAGTTATTGTATCAATATCCGAACGATAGACGATGACAACGATGATAACGGAAAACAAATCGTCTGAAGTTTGTTATTGAGTAGAGAGTGAACGAACAAAAAGAGAAGAAAAAGAAAAAAAAAATCGAGACGAACAAGACAAGTAGAAAAATCCACTTCGATTAAGAAAGTTTCGAAGGCAAAAATGTGGATAATGAATTTTTATTCCAATGACTTATTGAATTCCATGAGAACTTGAAATTTGATCACTTGTGATTTACAATATAGCATGCTGCATACCATCTATTGAGTCGATTGAAATTCGACGAGTAAATCGATGAATGGATAAATGTTGTTTTGAAGTGAATGTGAGCTTGTTCACAAATCTTATAATTGCATTTGATTTATATTTCTTTCGTTCTATTTTTTCGCGTCTATTTCTAACGCTGTGTGTCATTCATCGTTTCGGCTGCTCGGCACACATAGATTGATTTAAAGCACATAAATCAGACGAAAGGCGACAACAATAAAGTTGAGTTGGGTATCGACTTGCGAGAATTCTATCCCAGTGTTGAATGGGACATTCTAGGTGTACCCGCCGAACGACACGAGAAGTACTATCCCTGTTGTGCCGAACCGTATCCGGGTAAGTGAATCACTTTCGCTCGCTTTTTCCCTCGCTGCAGTGAATCTGTTCCTCCACTTTTACTCCGCATTTATTGACTGAGTGTATGTGTGTGTGGATGATTGATTGCAAACGTTTGGCAAATGATGTAATCGAAATTTTTTTGCGACCATATGAAGAAAATTGAAAAAGGAACTTACGCGCCCAACGCATCATTCATTCGTTCACACGTAGGCAATATAATGAACAAGAATATTTCGATGTCATTAGAAAATGTTTGAAAAGTTCGAGAATGTGTAAAGCGTTGCCGATACGATTTGGTGGGTGATTGATCGGAGTCATTTTAACTTTGTGAAGACAACAAGTGGAAATGGCAACGGAGAAAAAAAGGCTTCAAAAGGTTTGAATATTAAATTCAAAGTGGAACAAACAACATATATACGTATCCTTCTGGCGCCTACGTTTTCAATATGTGTGTGTATGTGTCTGTAGAGAGAGAAAATAAATAATCATTCCGTCCTTTAATCATGATGCATTAATCATTTTCCCCATATTTATGTAACGGTCTATATTTTCTTCTCTTTCGCATCGCCCCGTTCCCGTCACAGATATCTTCTTCAACATCACATTACGACGCAAGACATTATTCTACACTGTCAACTTAATCGTGCCGTGTGTCGGCATTTCATATTTGTCGGTGTTGGTATTTTATTTGCCAGCCGATTCAGGTGAGAAAATTGCCCTTTGCATCAGTATTTTACTGTCGCAAACGATGTTCTTCTTGCTGATTTCCGAAATTATACCGTCAACATCGTTGGCATTGCCGCTGCTGGGAAAATATCTCCTCTTCACTATGGTACTGGTCGGGTTGTCCGTTCTTGTAACCATTGTCATATTGAATATACACTATCGCAAGCCATCTACACATAAAATGGCACCGTGGGTACGGAGTTTCTTCATAAAAATCCTGCCGACACTGCTGTTGATGCGTGTGCCAAAAGATTTGCTCCGTGATTTGGCCGCAAAGAAAATCAACTATGGCATCAAAATGAAAAAATCCAAATTCACTGCAGCACTAACGGCCGAAATGCAATTAAATTCGGGTGGATCGAGTCCAGATTCGATACGAGCGATGCAGGGACGCGGTTGCAATGGATTACACAGTACAATCGCAACGAATCGTTTTAGTGGTTTAATGGGCGCTTTTGGCAATGCAAGCGGCTACAATGGATTGCCATCGGTGATGTCGGGCTTAAATGAATCGCTGAGCGATGTAGCACCACGCAAAAAATACCCATTCGAATTGGAAAAAGCCATGCACAATGTCATGTTTATCCAGCATCGTATGCAGAAAGTTGACGAATTCAATGCGGTGAGTTTTTGTTGTTGTTGTTGTTGTCGAGTTTTACTACATTTATTGTGTGAATTTCATACGTTAATTCCGATGTGGTTGTTAATTGATAAAATCCATCGTTTTATTTGACACCCGACTTTGGACACGTACCGCACATCGTACTGCTTTCGATTTGTTTGAAAAAAAAATCCTCTCAATTTTCTCCGTTTGTTTTTTCGTTTCATTGTCATCACCCGGGCTGCGGAATGTAGGAGGATCAAGATTGGGGTTTTGTTGCCATGGTATTGGATCGTTTGTTTTTGTGGCTTTTTATGGCTGCATCAGTGTTTGGAACGTTTGTCATCCTATGCGAAGCACCATCACTTTACGATGATACTCAACCAATTGACACGGAATTATCAATAATTGCGAAGCAAATTTTCAATTTAAGTCTTCACAATAAATACTAAATCTGTGCGCGAGACAACAAAACGACGAATATAAGTATATATATTGAGATCGTAAAACTAACACAATTTTATTACAACCTCAAATAGATTAAAACTATCACACTATAGACAAATAACTATCTATTGCTCTGTACACATCTCCAATAGCAAAAGTCTGAAATACTGAAATCAAAACCGCCATAATACATTTCATGGAGAATAGAGAAAGTAAAGTACACAAATAAACTTAATGGCGCACGATAGCTGCGAAAGAAACAGATGTGTACTGTACCACCGTGGTATTCTTATTCAAATGTGTTTCGATTTTCGAAAGCGTTATTCACCACATCTGGGAAATAGCTTAATTTCCACTTAACGAAAGTAGAAAATTTGCACACATTTCTCAATAGAACGGTCGTAAAAAGTGAACACATCGTTCACTTTCACTTGAAACGCGCTAGCATATATGCAATTTCATCCTTTCAAACACGCACCATCAAATCAAGGGGGAAACTACTACTACCGCGTAATTCATATTAATACAATCTAGTACAACACAAATTCTGAAAAATTCCAAAAAATTCTGCGCAATTCAAAACAATTCCAATCGATTTCGATGTTCCTTAGTCAAATTTGGTGATGATCAACTCAAAATATCGCAAATATAGGGACATTTACCATTCATTTGAATGCATATTGAAGATTTTTACTTCCAAAACATATTTGACTTGGTTTGATCTACAAGACTCAATTTTAGCTCTGTTTTCTATTTTGAAAATATTTTATGTATCATAAAGCCTTTACCTATTTGAAGTGAAATATTGAATTGGAAGTGAGACCTATGTACAATTAAAAACGCCATATCTGAAGTTATTTCGATAAGATTGAACATCCATGCGCTTAAGCATCCCTTTGAGATGCTAAATGACCCTATATTTGCAATTTTTGAAGTTGATCATCATCAAATTTGACTTAGAAACATCGGAATTGATTGGAATTGGTTTGAATTGCGCAGAATTCTTTGGAATTTATCAGAATTGGTGTTGTACTAGATTGTATTAATATGAATTATGCGGTAGTAGTAGTTTCCCCCTTGCATCAAATACATATATAAATAATTTAATGTATGTATAGCTCAAATCAATAACACACAAAATAATCACGTCACTAAAAATCGACTTTGGATGTCACCAGATAGATCAATATAGTACATAACATCACAAGAATTGTACATTTTGTTGAACCTCACGTTATTTTCTTCCACCGTCATAGTTAACTCATTTCAGTATTTTGACGAATTTTTTTTTTTAAACGAAAAATGAATCATTTGAACATTTTGCTTCACCGAATTTGGGGTTAAAACAAACAAGACAAAAAAATAACACCATCAAAAATTAAATCTTAAAAATTAAATAGCAAATTTTGTTTAGGCTAAAACCAATAAGTTAACATTTGTAGTTTTGTCATTTAAGCGAAATCCAAAAAAAAAAATTATGAATAAAGACATCAATTACATTAAACAATCAAGAGATTGGTTTTTCTTTTCTTTATTCGTAGCACAAGTGTTATTTCATCTAGTAGACGAAAAAAAAAAAATCATTCGCTATGGTATAGGTAAGTACCTACTAACTTCACTGGAAACAGCTAGACGAAACGTCCATGTTTGGACAAATTACATTTGCAACAGAATCGCCGCTTGATCTTTTCGATTTCCCAGTGGAAAAAACAAAAAATGAAAATACGCGTATTACTTCAGTAAATTTGATAATTTGGATGGGTTTTTTTGCGCTTTTCCTCTCTTTAAAATTTAATTTACCAGTTCAGTAATCTTCCTTTGCTCGATTTTCCAGTGCAGAAATTTCGCAGAAATAGATGAATAAACGAAACACATCAAAAATGGGAAAAAAGCGAGCATAAAATGAATAATTCAATAGAATTTTTTATTTGACCAATAAATGTGACGGGTTTCGAAAGGGAATGCTGGTAAGAAAAAAAAATTCGAAAATCGGTATCGGAGAAAAGCAAAATGCGTAGCAAAACGAGGGTGGAATCAAGCGTATCAAATTCAATGGTTTACGCGATGAAAAGCCCAACGATTTGGCTATGCCAAATAATTCATGAGAATTCCATTGTGAAATGGTTTCATTCGCAAAAGGTCGTTTAAACCATCACTGCATGCTACAACGTTGACCGCGTAACGAAATGAACCTCATTAAACTAGCGAAACATTGAGATGAATCTGAACTGTGCGCATTTCGGACATTTTTATCTGCACTTTGATTAATAATTGCGGAACCAGTCGGAGTTTTGCACAAATGGAATAAAAAAGAGCGATGCATAAAATGATGACGACAAAAATGATGTATAGCCATTTTATCATACTTCCCGGCTGCAATTAAAATCATCTTTCGAATTAATTTAGTTTCAGTCAACATAATTTAGAGCTCCGTATTTCAAACGAAATTGTAGCAACACCAGAAAAAATGCGGCCGAATCTTTTTCGCCGCGCGGGAAAAGTATGTACGAGCAACGAAAAAAAAACAAGACATATCAAATGATGTGTCTGGCAGAGCACCCAGTAAAAAAGTAGAAAGAATGGCTGTCTGCCATAATTAAAGGCTCGCGTAAAAGTATAATTGCTTTTTTGTGGTCGTTGCGAAATGCAAATCTGCATCAGATTGTACTTTAAGTAACGTATTTTTCACATTTATTGCACAGTTAATGCCATCGCTGACAAAGAAAGACCAACTTTTGTACATTGATTTATTTTGAAGTCATTCTTTTGGCTACGCTTTGTTCATTCCATGGCATGAGTCAAGCGTTTTTGAAATGTGTTTCAGTCGAAAAATGTATTAATTGAATGGCGAGAGAATTAAGAAAAATTTTTGCCATAGAACGATTCCGAAGTGAGTACTTGAGTAGCGACTGAACGTAGGAAAGCTTCAATGAGTGTGTCTCTAAGTATGTGCCAGTGCACGTGATGGAAGCCAAAGATTCTTCACCATTGTATTTCATAAAGTGACATTTACAAATTACGAATTGCATTCCGAAGGTCCATTGCTTATCCAAATACACGCATTTCTCTCGTGTATTCTTCTTATTCTCTCTCTTGTCTACTTCGATGCAAATTGAACGAGCAGAAAAAAGAAGTGAGATCAAAAAAGGGAAATCTTTTTCAATGCTTTTGAAAATTAATTACCAGCAATCGTATCGCATTTTCTATTGTCGTCATTGGTGTTGCTTCTTGTTTTGGTTTTGCTTATGGGCAACAGTAGCTATGTCGCTCTCTCGTTCTTTTCGTTTGTGCTGCTGTGTAAGCTTTCTCGAGCGTTGGACCAGTTTCGAAAAATGAAAAATGAACCGAGAAAAGCTTTATATATACGAAAAAAAGTGGCTTCATTGTGCAAATGCAGTAAATTCATTATCGCCAAGCGAATACTGAGACTTCTCAGTGAGAAGCATGTATGTATTGTGTGCTTATTTCAACGCGCTTTTATTGGCCACAATGGCTCGGCCCATCGTAACACGATGAACACAGCACCATCACCATCACCACCACCACCACCACCACCACCGCCGCACAATACAGCTAATTTAATCAGCGTCGCTCGAAGAATGAAAATAAATAGCAACAAAGACATCAACGAAACTCTGAATGAAAAATGAAAATTTACGCCAACCGCAAAGAGAATCCCAGACGACAAGAATACGAGTACAAGTTAGTGAGAGAGATAGAGAAACGATATGCGATGAAAGACTTCAGTTTGCCTTTGGACGGTTGTTTTGCTTGGTCGGGCGGATGGACGCGCGAACGCACATTCGTTGTCCAAAGTGTCTTTCTTGCTTCTTGCAAATGATTAATTGCGTTTTGTTTTGTATTGTTTTGCGGTGATGGTGATTTAGGTCGTTATTAGCGTGTTTCAAAATTCCACTGTTAACGTGGTGCTGTTGCATTTTTAGCCACGTTTCTTCGTCCATTACAAACAGACCAACACCAACATCACACCCGATGCTTGACAGTACCATCACCACCAAGTGTTTCTAGTAATTTGATCTAATATTCTCTTATTAAATGCCATATGAAGGAAAGTCGCTTACGAAAAGTCTCCGAGCAAACTTCAGCACACAATAAATAATGGTGTTATAAATCTTTTTTGTCAGTTCTCGATGGATTTGCTAAAACGATCAATTCTTTTAAATTGGTGATTAAAATGGAGAGAGCGAGAAAAAAAAGGTATTGAAACGCTGTCGATCAAAATCACTCGTTAAGCTCTATTGAGTGATTGAATTTTTTTTTCTAGTTCATATGTGAAAGAAATTATCGTCGCCACGCACAAACACTCTGCATAAAGTGGTTTTGCCTTTTTATTCGGTCACTGCTCGGTGTACACCGTTAATGTGTATTTATCGTCTTACTTACGGCCTAATTCAAGGGGTAAAAGTAAAAAGATCGTTTATGCTTCTGGTTTTTTTCTTGTTTAAGCGAATAAAAATAACTAGCAAAATAAGTGTGGATGAAGGCAAGATAAGTGTATGAAGTGATATATTTAATGGACTTGAACTCGTGCGCTCACGCGGCTAGGATTAAAGCTACGAGCGAGCATTAAATTGTGAAACGAAGAAAATTGCAATTAAATAATGAGCCACTTTGTAATTGGTTGGATTCAAGCGGAAACCAACGGGAAAGTCAATTGTGTGCGTGTGTGCGGTGATGGGGACGATGGCGATGCCAACCATATTCCTTTATCCGTCGTGGGTCGAGTACAAGGAAGTTTTAATTGGATTTTTATTGATATTGTTGTGAACAAGAATGCAATTTGGACGCTAGCGAATGAATTCGGTCCATTTTTTGTGCTTCTTCTTCAAAATTGAGCGTCTCGATAAATATCCACATAATGGATTCGAAAGTAAATATTTCATACATCCATTTCATGAAATAACATTGTTAAAATCTACTCCGTCGTAAGAGAGGAACTTTCCACGCCACATAATAAATTGAACTCGAACAAAATTGTAGCGAGAAATAATATAAGTTTCACAGTTTTCATTTCATTTGTTGTTCCGAGAAAATGCAATTGTGCTGCGAAGTCGTCGTAATTATGTGGTTGAGACAAATTGCATCAAAAATGAGAAAGAATTTGAAGAAAAAGAAAGAAAAAAAATAATAAAAAGTAATCATAGGAGTTAGTGCTGCAAATGTATCGCCCGACCGCGATTCCGCTTCCTTTCTAGTGCGGCGTCTTTTCAGCGAGACTTTTTTTTAACGTACGCAAACAACAATTCGCAACAAACTTGATTTTCTTTCGGTTGGTTTCTTTATTTGTTTTCTAGCTGGCTGCGCTATTGCTATGGTGAGCTCTCTCTCTCTCTTCTCCATTCTTTTGTTAGTTATGCCATTTAATCAGATGGGTATATAATTAATTGGAAACAATGCTGTGTGCAACGACTGCATGCAACAGCAAATTAAAAATGGAAAAATTCAATTACGAATTTGATAAATGGATGCATAGACGACACGACACAATTTGTAACCGCTTTTATTGTTGGCCAACTTTATTAACAATGTTTCGTATTCAGAGCAAATAATGTTGTGCTGCGCTGTACAGTGCATTGCAATGAATTAATCCGATGCGTTTGGTGTATTGCTGTCACTTCCACTTCCACTGTGTGAATAGTTGGGTACGAAAAGTCGATATTCACTTGGTTTTTCCTCCTCTGCGTACAATTGGTCCGAGAAATAAATGCGTCGCAATCGAATGTTTGCATTCATGCGAATGCAAACCGTTTCCACGTAACGTGTACCATAGGCACGATGCGTAAAATCGGCCAAATTGATTTCAATTTTATTCCAGCCAGGGTCCAACCGCAACGGCATTTGAGTAATGAACATGTTTGTACGCGTGTGTGGCTGAAAATTTGATGCTTGAAAACGACGCAATTGGTTTTCATGGTCACGAACTTCAATTTCGAATGTACAGTATTTCTGCATATTTTTCACAATTATCGTTAGGAACGGCAATTTTATGCCCAGCGATTTGTACGGCTCAATCGGTGTGGTAATTTTGCACGTTGACACATTGGTGCCCGACAATTCCAACACAGTCGAATTCAAATCCTCATCTATGACGCGCTTGCAATGTCCTTCTCGCGTTTGGCACTTCCAAAACTTTAACGGGCTCCGACCAATCGAATAAAACACCGTGAGAAATCCACCTTTTTGGTATGCGTTGCGATACATATTTTCAGTTTTAGTCGACTGATTCGCTCTCTTTTATTTCACGTGACTACTTCGATCTACGTTTATTTTCGAAATTCAATTGATTGATTGATTTTTAAGCGTTGTTTTAGTTTTCTCTTCATTTCAATGCTGGTTTTCATGACAATTGTTCAGATTCCAAACTTTGAATTGTATAATAGTAGCCATTTTTTCGTGTGTTTCAATCAATTGTGTAATTAATTTTAAAGGCAATTTTAGAGGCTTACTGTTATGCTTGAGTGTTCATCACACACAAAATGATATCGATTACATTACATGTTTATTTTCTTCAAATAAAAACAATGGGAGACAACGACCATTTTTTCCCTCTGATGATTGTTTACCAAACTTGAATAACAACAAAAATATAAAACGATATATTCGTGATTTTTTTTTCTAGAAAAAATAAATGATTCCCTTTCCTTTCAATTGAAATGAAAGTCGTAAAACACGTGAAGCTAATAGGGTGGCCATTTTTTTGAGCTTGTTCAAAAGTTCGAGTTAATTTAGATTTCAGGAAGCCGTGCCAATCAGAGCTTGACAGAGGAATTATTCCACAGTGAAGCTTCGGCGATTCGGAAACTACACAAACGGTGAACTTAAATAAAATATAATAAAATTCAACAAATCATTTTCGTCAGTGAAAAATGTCAAACGATGTGCCTTTAGATTGCTAAATATTTCAAAAGTGTGTAAAATGATTTTCCGTTTTTCAGCGGCTTGACTGTACTTTATTTTTCCAAGATGCAATGATATGAAACGCCGAATAGAATGTTGTCAATGAGTTATAAATACTTTGAACGAACTTTTATTGCTTGCTAACTGAGCCTCTCAGGTGGTTAATATAAAAGGCAGAATGCTGTAGCAACTGCTTTAGTCAATAGCTAAAGTTGAAAGTGTGCACTCGCCAAAGAAAATTAAAAGATATTCATCTGCGTAAAAGAAACCTATTTAGTTTCACAAAGCATTAACATTATAGTTTGAAAATATTTTCAAGATAAAAACTTAAGTTGGTTATTCCAATTAACAACAAAATTTACATAAAAACTCTGTTATTAAAAGTATTTTACTGCATTTTTTGAAACTATTCACTAGTAAGTCCCATTACAAATTACAAACATTTTCTGCAAATTATTGAGAGGATTCATTTCTATGCAACTTACAACAGAAATGAAGTCTTTCCAATCGACTCGTGACTTATTTGGTACATTGGGAATCTATCCGTTTCAATCGTCTCGAAAGTATCAATTCGATTGGATAATTCTGCTGATTTTCATTCTCTTCGGGCAATACATCATTTCACTGATGGATTTCTTCTTATTCAAGGCCAATACGCTTAGTGAAATGGCAGATTCATACTATGCAGTCGCAACCACGTCACTGCTCTTCTACACGTTGATTGCGATGTTTCGAAAGAAACTCGACATTTTTCAATTACTTGAAAATTACGAAAATGTTATTAAAAAGCGTGAGTCAAATTTCTAGATAAATTTGAATAACTACTCAAATATGATTCAAATTACTGTAGGACTTGCGCCTCCAATGTCGACAGCAATTTACGACGGAGCAATTGAAAAAGTTGATAAATGGGCAAAGAACTTTTATTTTGGCTTCACCAAAATTACATTCCCAGGTGTCGTCTTGTCGCCGTTCATCGCGAGCTATTTCGCTTATTTTGCAACCGACTCCGGAAGCGATGCTTTTCGCTTGCCATTTTTAGTTTGGTACTAACTCAAATTCAGTTTTAGGTTTTATCGTGCGTTTCTCAATTTATCTTCTTCAAGGTTGCCATTCGAATGGAAAACACCATCGGGCTATTTGATTGCTTGCTTCATTCAATTTCCGTGCATTTATTTTCTTATGTTGGTCGCTGCTTGTAGTTTGAATTTTCTAATCGGATCATGCAGTATGTTGATGTCTTTTACTGGGAATGCCAAACAAGATTTGTTTTTTTTAAATATGAACAGCGACACAAAGCTAAGCCATAGGGAACTCAAAGAAAAGCTGGCGAAATTCATTCAATTTCATGCGATAATAAAACAGTTCAGTATAAAAGTATTCCAATCAAATATTGACAAGAAATAATTGAAATCATCATCTTCAATAGGTTTGCTTTTGATTTCACAAAAACGTCAGAAGTCATTCTAACTGCGTACTTTTTATGGAGCATTTCAACAATATGCAGCACACTTCTGATGCTTCAAACCGAAATGCTAAATGTATTTTAATATGAATAAGTCAAAAGAACATTCTTTTACACATGAAAAGCCGCGTTTACTCTACATATGCATTTAATTAATCTCTTATTCTAGTCGGGAAATATAAAGAATGTGTTCGCTGTCGTGCGCATTTTTATTCTGATGTTCTGGTCATTCGCCGCCAATTTTTTATTTTGCAATTCTGGTGAAAGTTTAACAAGAAAATTCAATACACTGAACGATATTATTGGTCAAAGCCAATGGTATTTATTGCCTATGGATATTCAACGATTGCTGCCAATCATCGTGATGACAACTCGAAAAGAAATCATTCTTCAAGGATTTGGCGGCGTTAAATTGACTAGAGAAACATTCAAAACGGTGAATTTATTTTGAAAAACGTCAAAATATTCAATCCATAGCCTAAATAGAAACAATAATGCAAACATTGACCTTTCAGAATGTCAACCGTGGATTTTCATATTTTACGGTTCTTCGTGAATAGGATTACATATATCCCACTTGACCAAAATAGTGTATCGATTTCACTTAATTCACCGTACGCAATAATTTCATATTTTGATGTGTTGATTAATGTTGAGTTAAAATAAATTAAAAGCGCTTCGCGTAGCATGCATTTGATTTTGGCATCATTAAAATTTCAGTTTTATAGATTTCCATGGAACAACACATCAAGCATTGCGTTAGCCGAACATTGTAAGTTTCATGTTAGCTGTTAATCGCTTAAATCATAATTTATTTACCCATATAACAAGACTCAATGTAAAATCCACGCAAATAAAATACCGATTCAGTTGCACAGAACAAAGTTTCTATTTATTTCCTTCGAATTGATTATTTAGAGCAGCATTTGCAATCTTTTTTGCATTTTTTCCTACATGACCGTTGAAATGTTCTTTTAGTGATTTTTTTCACAACTTGCATCAGTAAATGTTTCCAAGTTCAAAGTGACGATGCCGTAACCGTGATAAGAGAGTGGTCGGTTTGCATTTCCAATCATGAAAATAACATATTTTAGCAGAATAATTGGTAAATTTTGCCGATTGGATTCATACGAATGGTCAGCCATTTTTGCATAACTGGCGGTAGCAATTTCGCCGAAGAGACACCACAAAAGTGAAATTGAACGTTCACACGTTCGACTAAATTCCAGACTCACACGATGTACATTTATTGCTTTATTTAGGTCGTTCCTTCAATTTATTTCACATTACCGGTTAAATTTAAACTGTTGCACTAGTAGTTTTCAATGTTTCCAAGTTCACCTCAATCATAATCAAATCATTGCTTCCAAAGTGATCAAAATGATTTCTTCTAACATAGCACATTATATAAGTATATTGGACACGTGAAATTGTAATCGGTTTTCCCAAATAAATTTATCCGCATAAATCGTTTTTAAATAAAATAACTAAGCCTTTCGAAAAGCGAGAAAATCATTTATTTTCGCCAAATTCCAGTCGTAACGCAACATTTATTCATTCAAATATTACATTAAATTTAACTAAAATACACAAAGAAAAAAATATGTTGTCGACATATTTGGACTTAATCCAACGTATTTGAGCCTACTACAACAGTAAAGAGGAAATCAACTTTCGCACTTATTGTCACAATTGCCTTTGCAATTTTGCTGGCAAATTTTATCTCTTTTCGATATTATCACCCGTCCATCTTTGAATTTTTTGGTTCTTCTGCGTGATTTTAGCATTTCGGTCGAAATGGGTATTTCCTGTGTCGCTATTGCTGTTGTTGGTGTATCACTTGATTCTGTGCTCGTCATTTCAGTGGATGTGATTAATGGTTCGGCAGTGAATGGAAAGCATGAAGTGGTATTGAAGCAGAAATTCCCTTCGATGTCATCGGTAAAATATCCAAAACGGGATATGAGTGTATCAGCTTCGCGAGAATCTTGATCTTCACAATTTACACCGATGAATTCATTCTGCGGAAACAATGAGGCGAAGTAGTAAAATATTGCTTTCGCATGACCGCATTGCTTGAACGGACAACCCGGCTGTGTTGTTGTTTTATTATTGGCATAAAAATTCAAATCACCACGTTGTTCATTGGTGCCTAACTCGCCTGGATTTGTGTGCAGCACTTGCACGAAACGGGCACAAGTTTTGTTCAATCCATTTTTGGTGGAGTCGAAGCCCGGGCCGGCTGGATCCAATCCTTGACAATACAACATTCTTATCTTATTTTACTTCTGATCAAGCAAACTCTTTTTTCAATGTAAAAATTTCCATTGCTTACCGGTTATGCGACTAAGAGTACCGTTCAATGTTGCTCCGGCATAGCCTGCGATGTGCGCACCTATAAGAGAAGAAACTGAATAAAATATCTATTATCATTTCAATCTCGTATTCAATCACACCGAGACTATGACCAATCAATTCGATAATGTCGGTATCTAGCTCCAACTCTTGTATTACTCGTGCCAAATATGATCCAATGGATGGAACAATTTCATCAACACTTCGACCGTAACTGCAGCTCGATACATTCTGATAGTCAACCAAAATAACGATGCCATTTGTGGCATTTGCCAATGCTACTCCCGTTGGTTCCATCCAACCTTAAGAAGATAAATAATGTGAGATTAACGCCGATTCGAGTTCATTAAATTGAATAATGAGTCAAAAGGAAATTGAACCTGTTTTGTTGAATTGCACTTTGTCGGTGTAGCCGTGAATGAGAAACTTAATATCATCTTCTTGAATCACCATATTTCTGTCGTCGGTATTATTTAGATCCAGTTGATAGTAATACTCCATGTTGCTAAACATTATTTTCATTATTATTAATGTTTTATTAGTGTCTTGATTCGGCGCACAATAATTTTAAAAGAAACAAATTTACCTCTTTATATAGAAAAATTGAACGTGTTCCTTCACCGTTTCTGCTGTACATGGATAACTGCATGGGCAAAAGTTTGGCAATATCGAGCCGATGAATGCCGCCACAACCACATTCAAAATATTTGTACCGAACGGAAATGGGTCACACTTTGATTCTTCCGATGTAACGAAACCAACTATGAGTATGAAAAATAATTTATCAATCATTTTTTCACGAACTTAATTTCAAATCGATAAGAATCACTGAATTCCTAGTGAAAGAAAAGTACAACATATGTTCGCAATCCAGTTATACACATAACTGCAACGATAGCAAAATGCACATTTAACACTGTGCCATAACAATTAGAGAAAGAACCCGTTCTGCGACGTAATCTCTGTTTGAGCATCTTGCTAGAGAAAAAGTAGAGCAATCAATACGTAATACCGCAATTCTTTGAACTTGTCGCAATTCTTTCACACACGCATTCAATCGACTGAGAATCGTGTACGACGAGAAACTATTCTGCTTACGCAACTGAATTCGTTTTCATTCATTTAAATGCAAGCGATAGCCGCTATTTATCATATTGAGTTCATTGTGTTGTTTGCGCGTCCCATATCTTTAGTTCTCTTTTCGTATTTTCTGTCGTTGAACTGGCAACGCTTCAGTAGATATGTTATTTTGTTATCGGTGAACAAGACGCAAAGACTCAACTGATCGTCGTTCGATATGCGAAACATTTTGAGTTTACACTTGAAAATATTATTTCTTCACTGAAGATCGAATTTGTGACGAAATTTTGTGAACTTGAATTTTTAACATTTGTGTTTTTAGTTGAAAGAGCACTGAATTCAACAAAAATGTATTCCTGAATGAATTTATTGTTCTAATGTGAAGACAAAATAAAAATAATTTAATTTGTGAATATTATGCTAGTTGAAAAAAAAATGTTTCGAAGTTCATTCAAATGGATCGACATTTGAAATGAATGAGAATCACATTTGCACTGGACAATTACGTACTCGCAGTGAAATAGTTGAAAAATAAAGTGATTATTGTGAAATGAGTGAATAACTTTCGAATCATTTTATTTGTACCGAAACTTGCTTCTGATGTTAAATGCTATCGAAAAATGACTGAGAATGGAGACCAACAGTTGGTTGTTATTAAAGCCACAAACATGCATATGATAAATGTACAAGCACAACTTTGTGTTGTTTATCAGATCAGACTGAATATTCAAATTTCAACTGTTTTCTACAGCAAAATTCTTAATTTACATTTAAATCGTTGACGGGGAGTTTATCCTTGCATTCGCAAAATGCAAATGAATTTTGAAACGACGACATATGACGGTGATGCATTATCAGTGTTTGGTTTCGTTCGATGGGAATTCATCTGAGCAGTGAACGTGTGAACTAGTTCATAATGTGGTTCAATGCCGAACGAGTACACGATTCTAATATTAATGTTCTCGTTTCGAATTCTATGCGTGAATGATCTTTGCGGAGTCAATTTCTCCAAAAATAGTCGTTTAGAAGTAAAGAGTTCATTGGGACGATTTGATGAGAGGAAACAAAGAGTGATGCGATAGCGACAGATTTGACAAAGGAAGCACTGTGCCAAATGATTACGAAGGAAGTGTGTAACACACACACACACACACACTTTATATCTCATATATTTTTGTGTTGATTCCATTTTTAAAAAAATCGAAAAATAGAATCAAAGCGACTTTTAAGACATTAATTGGCGAAAAGCGAAACAGCACAATTGAACTATGCGTAGCGCTGTATTTTTCGGCACCAAGTCACGTTTTGGAATTTCCAACTTGGAAAACGAAGCAAATCGTCATCCGACGCACAGATGTTTAGGTCAAAAATGTGTGGCACAAGTCACAGTGAACGAACGTGCTGAAGATAAAGGAAAACAGCGCTGCAACAACTATGTTTCCAAGAAACCGACAAACACACAATTGGCATAAGCACGTCGTTTGGCTGAGTTCAGAATTTGCAGAAACATGAACAGATGATGCGAGATGAATAAATGTAGTACACAAACAAGCAGCCGAATAAAAAAATCATTTTTGCTTGAGAGATGTTCAATTGATTGAAACAAAAATTTACTTCGGCTAACGATGTAATATCAAATCAGCGATGGCATCAGTGGTAGCTCTTTGAATTTCTAGAGTAAACGACTTACTGCAAAACCAAGCCAAATGAACCATTTGGCATCGAACTCGATGGGAAAAACTTGAAGAGATTCAATGGAAAATCTAGTGAACGATTTGCTTACGGTTTTTCTTTTTCGAAATAAGAAAACTATTCATGTTTGGTTGCAACTGATGAATTAAACATAACTTTTATGGAAAACACAAATAAACCACCCAAGGGTGGGGAGGGCGAAAAACTTCTGAAACAATATCGAAAGATATGAATTTAAAATTCAAAATAGGTTTACAACTGTTTTGTTTGTTGACGCAAAAAGTGGCAAAGATGTTTGTTGTTGCAAAGTTTTCATTCGGTTGGCATGCGAACATTTGCATTTGAAGTGTACATTTGAAGATTCGTTGACTTACAACCAACAGCTGCATGCGTTCCGAAACGACCTTCTTGAATCTCATTTCTGGCGACCCATTTATCAATCAACTTTTCTTTAGTTTACTTTACATTTTCTATATCTCGAGATATTTTGTCGGTTCGTCTTGGATCTTGGGCTTTTTTTTCTATGATACAGTCGAGATTGATTCAAGCACTCCAGTTCTTTCGAACGGATTCGCTGAATTGTTTGCGTCCTATGCTGTAAGAATAGCCTATTACGGCTTTTCAGCAGCCACTGTCACGACGTAGAACTAAGTTCTATATTGGTATTATCATTTGTATTTTTCTCTTAAAACTAATCTAAATTGATATTTGTTGCTCTCTTCCATCATCATCTCTTCACTCGCACTCGTCATTGTAGTCGCTGTAGTTGTCACTGTGATCGCTATCCGATGATGATACTGATGCACTACTATCACTGTCACTATAGTAGTCTTCGGTGAAACTATCAAATTTACCAAGATAACAGGCAGCCAATGTTGTCTTGTATTGCTGGGGATAAAGAAAAATAAAATGAATATATATTTGAATAATTGAATAGTGTTATTTTTTCAATTAATTACCGGTTTTCGTTCTAGTCCACTGACATTTGGATTGTTACGACGACGTTTGGTGCGATGATAATTTTTGGTGGCACTTATTCTGGCTTCATCCAATTCCAATCTTCGTCTTTTATTTCGATCGTTTTGACTTGGTGCCGGTTCAGTGAAATTTGCAGGCCGTGACACATCATATGTGTCGCAATAAACTGTATGTGTAAGTAAAAATATAGGAAAACAATCATCAAAAGCCCAATTACACCGCAACAGTAAGTAGTACTACTTACACAGTGTTCGAATGTTGATTGAAGCATTGATGTCGCGATTTAATGATCTTGATGCAACCGAGATTGATTCGTGGAAAATACGTTTTTTTTACCAAGATTTGAGTTGTTCCATTTTATAGCAGTTTTTCGACAGCCGATTGCCCAAAAAAATTGTTCCTACACTAAACTACATAAAATATTCAATTGAAATCGCTCTACCCGAAGTCATTTCGGCAAATCTTCCAAGATTTGAATGTTCATCTAGTCGAGAAGCTGCACGGTATATATAAAAACTAAAGTCTTTCACTTCAAGTGTCAATATCATGCGCAAAACAAGGTAAACATTTCGATTTTACTCGAGAGCTTCGAGTCGGGGCTATACTTACTTATTTTCCATACAAATGAAAACAAACAACATCCAAAATCAGTTCAAATAAATGTTTTGTTTATTGAGCGTGTGACATCATTTCATTATGTGTATTTTTTCTATTTATTTCGATACATCTGCATTGATTCATTTCGATAATTTTTTATTGCTATTGGTTTGGTGTTTACTTTAAAATCGGTTGAATGATGACTACGTTGCACTTTTTTTTGTCTTATTATGAAATTGCCGTTATTTTCTATATAAAATGCGTTCTAATAATAATTTCTATTGAAATGGTTTCGATTGTTTCGAACCAAATAATCAATATTATATTTCCATTAGGTGTGATTGTTGGGCAGATGATGTTGAAGAGTGACTGCTTACATAAACGCAATTCGATGCAATTATGCAGCACCGCCCAATGGTTCGTCGAAGATGGTTAGTTTCCGATCAAGTGTTGAGCCCCCGTCGTGTATGATGGTGATCTCGCTGAGCTCAAGTGCCAATGATTTGCGAGTGTCATACAGTGAAGGACTCTGGAAAATGATCCCGAGTGTGCCACCAATGCAGCTCAACGTAAACACCCACAGCAAAAAGCGATCCAGAACCATCGAAACAAATTTCCACTCTTGAACAATCTGAAACCGAGACAAAAAAAAAACGCAACCGCTGCATCAAGAGAATATTCTCTCAAAAAGTAAAACGCATTACCTCATTATCCTTATCGGCATCCTTAATATGTTGTGCGATGAATCGAACGCCACGCAGCGCTTGCAATACTTCTGGTGTCAATTTGCGCGGAAATATGTTATCTGATTCGGTATCAGCTGGTAGTTATACCCGGACGGAAGTAACCAATTGAAAACGAGGAAAATAAATTATATTAGAAATGTATATAAATTCATTTCTATTGCTACATCAAGCATGAAAGACACTGTATAGCTTGAGAACATATATAATACTATCTAAAGTCATAAGGAAAGATTATTTGCCATCTCGTTTGTTTACTTGTTGGATTTTATGTTGAAGCATGTTGGAATTTGTGTCGTTTCGTTATATCGAAGAGAGTAAGAAGAACAGGCACAAGCACATCGCAACGACACAATATTTTTTTTATTAAAATATACACCGAAAGAAAATGTATAGCGCACAAAGAGACAGACATAGATTAAGATAGATTTGAAAAAATCACAATAGATAGCATTCAAAATAGAATGGAATTTAAAGTGAATGAAGAAAAACGCATGCAAACCAAACATTAGATTTTCATAGATTTGAAGAGATGAGAAAAAGTGATGCACCAGAAGAGGCTAAAAACCCGTTGACATTTAATTGAACATTTGATGGATGGGGGCTTTCAAGTTTTATTACAATTTCTTTGATGGTTTCATCCTTTATAGAAATAAATTCATTTTTCGAGATACTTTCTACTGACGCAAGCTCAATCCAAAACAATGTTCAATCATTGTCAAACAGCAAAAGGAAAACAGAAGTCGAGACATGAAGAACAATTTCAATTATTCGATAATAAAATGTTTCACAATGTGAGCTTCACATACGGTTGGTTTGTTGCTGTACGCGGATTCAACCAAAAAGATTGACAAAAAAAAATTTCGAACACAAAATATATGAATGCATTTTTGAAACAAACAAATGAAAACGATGATGAACCAGTGCCAATTCACAACATCAAATTTCATGGAAAACTAAAAACATGAACATGATTAATGGGCAATATCGAACTGAGAGTTCTTACCAGACGTGTGTGGCACATTTGAAGTAATATTTTCAAAATTACCATCATGACCATCGATTTTGTAGTCGCTGGTGAAATCGCTAACACTGTCCCTGGAAATGGTGTGTTGAAATTGAAGCGTTTTTATCGGAAAATGCTTAGGTTTATCAAATTTTTTCTAAGTTTTTACCTAACATCCATTTCGTTAATGTATCCATGGATTGGTGCATTGTCATCATAGTCTGGCATTATGTATTTGGTGCGTCGCAAGAAAAGAATTTTCGGCAAAAATTCCAAAAATAATTTTCTCACACCCGTCGACATGTTATGTGTTGATGGTGATCTGTGGAATGATAGCATTGGAAAATGACGAAAATTCCATCAAAAGTACTTGAAACCACATTGAAATTGCAAACGCTCAAACTAAGTTTATCATTGATTAGCCTACCTGAAATGAATATTCAGAACGCACACGGTCGTCCAAACGGACAGTGAGACCAAAATCATTGTGAAGAGGAGATATTTTCCCAGCAATGGAATGGCCAGTGATGTTGGTGGAATAATTTCGGCCAAAAGCAAGAAGAACACAGTCAACGACACCAAAATTGAAATGCACAAAGTGACCTGTTTTCCAAACATATTTGCAGAAATTAATTTCGGGCGAAATTCTCTTTCGCTAGTTTATGTAAAATTCACCTTTTCACCGGAGTCGCTTGGCAAATAGAACACCAATACCGTAAGGAATGTCAGTGCAACGCATGGAATAATCAAGTTGACTGTGTAGAACAACGTCTTTCGTCTCATTGTAAATTTAAATGTAATATCTGAAAATGTGCATAGAGTTGTGGTTTAAAATTCATCGAATTTTAGTTTAAATTAAAGAGAAAGCGGCAAGAAATTCACCTGAAAATGGTTCAGTAAACTCCGGATAATATTCTTCATTTCGACCGGCTGGAATTTCGAGAATATCCCATTCAACACTCGGGTAAAATTCCTTTAAATCAACGCCTATGTTAACAATGTTGCTTCCTGCCTGTTGATCCAAGTGTCGCAAATCAACTTGCGCGCCATTATATGTCCAGGATCCTTGAAATTGTAGTCCATTTTTAATTTATTCAGTTTTTTTTTGTCGAAATAAATTTGATTTAAATAAACATTTAATATATTTTTTATACATCCAAAATTATAGTTCACGAACCAAATTTCATGAAGCAAGTTTGTTCGTCATACGGGAAATATTCGACATTAATTTCGCACGATGATTTGTAAATGGCTGGCGGTTCCCAGAATACCTGATTAGAATTGAAACTTTAATTACAAAGTAAATTGTTTCGAAATTATTTCATCATTTGCATACCTCGCCCGTGTATTTCAGTGTCGCTTTCGTCATCAATGTTACCTAAAAAGAATACGAATCATTTTGATAAAAAAAAAGTTTTTCAATTTCTTTTTTTCTGCAAACCTCATAATTTCCATCCCAATTGTTAAAAAGCACAATATCCGGTAGCCAAATATGTTCCGATGGAATGTAAAGCATTTCCACGCCGCCGTATTCTTCCGGATCCCATTTTAATTTGTAATCGTACCATTTCTGACAAATAAATAATTTTCTTCTTCAATTTTTCGTTGTTTTTATCTTCAAGTTTCTTTTTAAATGTCTTTTAGACAAATTAATCACCTGCGGCACCCATAAATTAGTGGTCATGACTTGATTTTTGAGATTCACTTCCATCAATTGGGATAATTTCAAGCCAAGCCAAACTGTTAGAGTTTCAGAGTTGTTGACAACAGGTCGGATTAATCGATTGTAATTACTGAGTAAGTCGTCATAAAGACGTTTTGCATCAGGATTCGCCTCAGGCGACTTGATTCCGGTTGCTTTTGGTTACAATATAAAAAAAGAATAAAAAAATATGATAAACCGACAAGTTGTCAAAAATGTTTGATATCGAGTATATACCTCTAGCTTGTGCTGCTCCCGCCCAGAAAATAAACACCACAAACACTTTCAACCACAACATTTCTTAATTTCTTAAATTTTCGACAGATAATTATAACTTTTCTTTGTAGATATAAACTTAAAACATAAATTAACAGTTTGTTAACTGAATTTTGTGGAAAAAATGACGAATTTGATGGTATTTTTTCAATTTTATCCGCAGCAAAAATCGTACACTATTGCTGCTAGAATCGATTTTTCTCATCTGTTTGAAAGATGCTGCGATTTGAGGAGAGAGACCTATGTTTTCAATGGATGCTCCTTTATTTTGAATTACAGCGCGCACTGGACCGAAAAAGTCGGAGCGAAAGCGGAGAAAAGCTTATCATATGACATTCGATTGGCCTGCGCAGTAAAAGCGTTCAAAGCACCGCGTTTTCATTTGAAAATGCTTTTGGATCAGCAAGAGACAGTTGCACGTGATATCAAATGAAATTTTCGACGTAAATATTTGTGTTGCGATTCAATTGCAATTTAACAAGTAAGGTTGATTGCATTTTTCGAATACGCACGCTGTCTTGCAAGAGCATTTGTAGCTCGTAAGATCAAACGAATGTTTCATATTGCATCATCATTCGTTTGACTCAACACTTGACTGATTTAGCTGTTGGGAGGAAGAGGGATTAAAATAAAGTCATATTAGTGCGATAAAAGTTTGAAGAAGCGTGTAATGCAACAATATGCAACAACAATAACAAAAACTGAATAAAAATGATGAAACAAAAAAAAAATCCAATCAATTGTCGAAAAATAATATTACGTATTTGTACATTCTTAAGAGACTTCAAAATACTGCACTTTCTTTATTCCATTTTTTGATTGTTTTATCAAAAAGATAAATAACGTTATCATATAGATTACCAACAGAATCATCGGTCGGTCGGTCGGTCAATCAACAGCACATTTGAAAATGCTTTTGTTTGGTGTATTCGTTGGTTATCATGCCCCAAAAATACGGCCTCTTCTGAGTTTATCTATTCATAAAAAATTTCAATTGATAATGCACTCTTTATATCCATAATCAAGTCCAAGATTTCATTGGAGAGTAACTCCAGTGTTTGCTTCGTTTACAGTTCATCATTCGACATTCAGATCTGGAACCGTTTAGTCAAAAATGAAACCAGCTTGGTCCCGTCCAATTGATACAACGAATTCGTACCCGAATGTTTGGCTAGAGTTTAATGCAAAAGAGTCAAAGAATTCGGATCGTATTATAAAATATAGGATCCAGGATTTGCCAGAGGATCGATTCGACGACGCCATTCAACACATAATTGATGATTTTTTGCTTGATGCGCCAATAACAAAGTTCTTTGGTAATAAATCCATTAATTTTGATTGTTTTTAGATATTTTTGTTCTATTGATTTATGTCTGTATTTTATTTGGAACAATTTTCAGGCGCAGCAACCAATAAAAAATATGTTGAAGATTATTTACGTTCTTGCCGATGGAAATTGCCCAACAAAACCACGCTGGTTTGTTTTCGAGAGGGATCAGACGAAATCGTCGGATTGAATGTTACATACGTATCAGTAAAAAACGATCCATTTTGGCAAGAGGTTACTTTTGCGGTACATTTCTTGAGTTCAATCCAAATATTTCTGATAAAAACTTTTCTTTAATTTAATCGATTTCAATGTTTTTTTCCCTTGTTGTTTCTCCATCTAAGGCACAAACTGATGAGTACAAAGATCATATGACCATTACGAGGCTTTTACGCGCAAATGTTGATATATTTGAAAAGTACAAGGTTGACAAATATTTGGGATGCATTTGCTTATCAGTTGCGCAAGCTTATCGCGGTTTGAATATAGGTCAACGACTTCTTGAAGCACGGTAAATAATTGTTTGAATCATCTAATAATCAAATGCAACAAGAAATGATTACGATAATTTATTTAAGGGAGCCACTGTGCAAAGCTCTTGATATTCGAGTGACACAGTCGTTATTCGTGTCTGACAACTCGAATCACATCGCTGATAAAGTTGGATTCAAGATCGACTCACAATACACAATGGACGAATTGAGTGAAATCTATCCAAAAATCCCATTCAAACAATTTGACGCAAAAATTTTCGCCGTGAAATCGTGGAATTTCCAGAAAATAAATGCATAGATTGGATGATGCTTAGCAATTTATTCATAATTTTTCCTTCCTTTTGGAAGCAATTTTAAAAAATATCTTCCTCTTGGTTTGTATTCATCCCGAAATTTGGAACTCACGTTGATTTCAGGAAATAAAAAAAATCTTCTAAATTGAAACAAATTTGCTTAACAATTTTGAATAAGACACCCTGGAAGACACCATTGCTCTAATTTAAACAGCTTAAAGTATTACGAATACCGTATACCGGGGTATACGAATACCGGGGATCCATTGAAAGATTCTATCCCATAAAAATATAGAAAAGAAAAATTATGCTTGGCTCTTCTATTGCCAAGAGTGCTCACTGCTCATTATGCTGTTCAATCACACAGTTTTTCACACTTTTTGCCCAAAATTGTGACGAAAAAAACTCAGTAATCTTTAATTACGAACAAAATTGCTAAGATACGTGTCTTTTCAAGCGTTCATGCACACTCAAATATACCAACAACTCAACTGTTGCGAATGCTATAAGAAAACACATCCGGTAAAAATAGACGTATTCAAAATTGAAATGTTCAATTGAAACAAAGCAATAAGTTTTGGCATCACTTTGATGTTCCGCATTTCTTAAACAAAACGAAATAACTGAAAAACAACTGTTTGTCGCATTGTAAACCCATCGCAGCGTATGAAACGCTCACTTGTTGATGTTTGTGCACGTTCACAATCGGAGTGAGCGTGTGAATCGACGAGATTTGAACGTTTTTTTTAACGTTTACACAGCGTGCATGTGTGTGTGCAGACTATCTTTGCCTCTCACTACCACCAATGCGATGTGTTTATCACACGATCTGTTCGTATGTGTGCAACGTGTTCCATATTTGACGTCTCACGTGTACTTTTTGCGTGTGTTTTTTTGGGTTACATACGACGTCAAGATTTTATTCTTGTCATTCTCGTCGCATTCAGTGGCCCATACAGAATCGAGCCTTGCTTTATTCGTTTCAAGTTCATTAATGCTGATGTGAAATTGCTTTTTCGTATTTTCACGGCGTCGACAACAGTTGTGTGGCATACTGAGTGTGAGTATAGATTCATTCAAATTGGTGTGGTTACGTAAATAGCACCGAATTTCGTTTGCATATTTTTAGACGACCGATTGATTCGAAATCATACGACGAGCATTCACAACAACACAGTACCAATTGCAAAAAGGAAAAGGAAGAAAAAAATCGGTTCTAAAAGGGGAAATATCAATCAATCTATTTTTAATGTGATTTGTTTGTGCGGAAGAATTATTCGTCAACAGAACACCATACTACAAGTGACAATCGTGCATTAAATCAGTCAGTCGATCGACGAACCTCGAAGTAGAAGCACACACAACAATCATCATCTCCGACAATTAAGCGATTTTTTTTTTAAAGCGAAAAAGAATCTGTGATAAATCATGGCAACTCCAGCTGCAAATATTGTGACTAAAGCATCGATCCCAACCAAAGTCTATCAATTATTGGTTAAAACAGCGGAACCATTCGTACCGAAAAAACTACAACCACTTTGGAATCATCCAGCAGGTAATCATGTCAATAAAATACGGAGTTTAATGTTTGTGTGTGTGTGTGCAAGAGGCATAAAACCAACGTTGACAGTTATTAAGTGCATTACATTTTATTGGGTTGATTCGCCAATTAAGCGAAACCAGTCAATTTATCTGTGAACTCAAGGTTATAATTTTGCTCGTTGATAGCATGTGTGCGCATGTCACTGTTTACATAACAAACGGAAAACAAACCGAACGCCAAGCAAATCGTTGCATTTTCTCCTATTTAAGTTTTATCCACTGGCTACTCGTCTGTAATTTTTCTTCTTTTTACATCGTTTCAGGTCCAAAAACAGTATTTTTCTGGGCACCAGCATTCAAATGGGTGAGTGTGTAATGATTTTGGCTGTGCAAAATGTTCCGTCTTCACAAGCCAACTCGTGAATCATTATCAATGTGATCGAAAATTACCAAAACAATGCCGCTAATCATACGATGAAGCCCCACGTACTTATCATCTTTATCTTCCACGATTTTAATGCGTGCGTTTTTTTTTTCTTCTCGATTTTTTCCCCTATCAACAGAGTCTTGTCATTGCCGGTTTGAGTGACTTATCACGTCCAGCCAACAGCCTGTCCATTGGTCAATCAGCATCACTTTTTGCAACGGGTGTCATTTGGTCACGCTATTCATTGGTTATCATTCCCAAGAACTACGGTCTCTTCTCAGTGAATGTATTCGTCGCGTTGACTCAAATCATTCAATTGAGTCGTGCTTATAATTATGCACAAGAACAGAAAAAATTAGCCGAAAAGCAAGGTGAAGGAGCACAAGAGCAACCGGTTGCCGCCACTGCAGTTGCCACAAAAAACTAGTTTAATACAAAAGTGCAATAGTTCAATTGAAGAGTTTAATCATTTGTTTTTTTACGTACCGTGATAACGATAAAAAAAAAAACCAAAATGATACAATTACGCTCTGAAAATGGTACAAGATATAAATCATGGTGCGATAGAGAATCAAAATCAAAGTGAATCAAACAAACCGTAATCGTTATCATTAGCGATACAATATCATAAATCTGTGCTAATTTTGGTGCAAACATTCGCTTTGATTTTCATTCTTATCACAATCATACTTGGAGTTCTGGGAACATCTCACTTCGTTGCTTCCTAAATGCGTACGATTTTATAAACGAAACAGAAAAAAAAAATTAAACGATTCATGTAATTTTAGTTAATTTATTAAATTGCATTGTGAACGACATGCATATTGAATCGCATACGCACACCTCAGTTTACAAAATCAAATGTCGTCGGACTCATAAGACTCAGGACTGTTGGAGCAGTTGAAATTATAACACAAATCTTTTTCTCTCACTTGTTGAATTAAAAAAAAAACAATGTTCTTCACTGGTTGCGGTAAATAATTTTTGAGAACCTTTTAAATCCAAAATTCTATACTTAAATACTTTTTTTTTTTGTGTAAATTATTTTGTGTATTGTAAATAATATGTCGATGACAAAAAAAGATGTGTTCAAATTGGACATTCAATTGTTAATTTTCAACACCTTTTTTCTGTAAATTTAAGTTAAGTGAAAAGGTATACTACTCTATAGGTGTGAATTTATAGGGATCTTTTGTTAAATTATCAACAACAACAAAAAAATAAAGACGAATTCAGTTATTTTCATTCGTGTGGTTTATATGATTAAGTTATCAAAGAAAATCTCCGCCTCAAAACGATTTTTTTTTACTGCCTTGTTACTGAGAAACAAAGATAGGCTGTAAAACCATTAACCAAATTACGCATTTCATTTGCTTAATTTATATTTTGCAAACTCATTCCAATGCATCAGTAGCGGAAAATATTCAAATATTCCAGCAAAATAATATCATGAGTTGAGTGTTTCAGTTGGCAGCACTGTGTCGAATTGCCGCTCCATACATACAAAACATGACATTTCATATCACACTCACAACTTTCAATCGAAACAAGTGATGGGCTGCTGTCCATTTATTTACATACGGAACATTTTGTGTTATGGTGTGAACGCCACTAGCATCGTTCGATTTCTATTTTTCTACTACTCTTTTGTTTGTATCGCTTGTAAATCAATTTTTTTTTTTCGTTATAAATACATTTCAAAGTGAATAATTTACGGCGACGACAAACACACAAACTATACGAGATAAGGCAGTTTTGACAGCATTAAACTCTTTTGATAAGAATTTTACGTTGATTTCAAAAACAAATGACGTACAAAGTGTTTCGCAGTGTAGAAGAACACTATACCTGAATATTATTCGCGATAAAGTGCAGTGAATTTTTTTTAGTGTTTGCATAATTAATGCACTTACAACACTGTGTGGTTAAATAAGAACTAAATTCGCAAACCGAAGAAGGCCAAATACCAAAATGTCACTGTCCAAACCACTCTTCAATGCGCTGAGTTTTTACTTGGAGCAATTGTTCATGCATCCACTGCGAACTAAATCGATTACCAGGTTTGTTACGACCAATTATTCCATCGATTAGTAAAATCCAATCAAATATTTTTCTTCTTTCATTTTTAGCTGCGTATTAGCGTCCAGTGCCAATGTCGTCTCGCAAAAACTCATGGGTCACAAAGAGATCAACCAGCAATCACTTTTTGCATACGCTCTTTTCGGGTGCGACTTTTTTTTTGTCTCGCTAAAAAATTACGCGCAGATTTATCAATTATTAATTGACTGAAATTAATTGTTTCTTTTAGGTTATTGTTCGGTGGGTCAATGCCTCATTACTTCTACAAAATCATGGAAAAAACCCTCGTTGGCCGAACCAAATTGAATCAAATACTATTCTTTGCCTGTGAACGTCTTATCTACACACCATTGTTCCAAGCTCTGTCGCTATTTTGTTTGTCCATTTTCGAGGTAAACGCAGTCGTAATTGCTGCTGTTTAAATGTTTAAGTCATACTAAATTTCGATCGTTTTTTTTTTCAGGGTAAAAGTCAAGAAGCAGCATTGCAAAATTTGTTTACTCTTTACTGGCCGGTTCTTAAAGCCAATTGGACATACTTATCTTTACTCGTGTTCATCAACATAAGATTTGTGCCGCCAATCGTAAGTTTTGAACGTTTTTTTTTTTCGGATGAAATCAAAAGTTTTATTTTATTTTAGACAAATTTACATTGAAAAAAATACTCATCGATTTAAATTTCTTCTATTGTAGTTCCGTGTGCTTATTGGAAATCTCATTGGATTCGGTTGGGTCATTTTCTTGACGATGAAACGGCGCAAGTTGCAAAATCAATTGGACACCGCGAAAAATACGCGCATCGTAGTGACTGATAGTGATTCATCGTCAGGCACCGGTGGTGCAACTAAAAAACGAAAGAGTAAAGACAGCAATTGAATCCAAATAAACGACCCGTCGCTTGCGTACTCGCTCAATTTTAACCGTGGTATTCGTGATCTTATCAATCGAAGATCATGAAATGGAATTCGTGGTGACGGACTCTTACACACATATGAACAATATTTCTGAACAGTGCCTAAATTTTATCGAATCCATTCCGTTTTAGTTAATTATTATTTGTTGACTTTTGAGTTTTTGAGGAACTTTCATTTTTAATTTTTATATTTTCTTTAAGTAAGAAAAACAAATCACTGTGAAATTACACACACATTTCTGGAAAAGGGTCTTAGGTCTACAAACTTATCGAACAAAATGACAGATGTTTTCTTTTTAAAATTAATTCAAACCAAATTGGATATTGTTTTTTCAACATTTCTGTTTGTTATCGGCAATAAAAAATGTTTTCAATTTTAAAGTATTTCACATTTTATTTATATTTGGTTTGTTCACTGGCTTGAAAAAAATGCACAACATGATATGTGTGCTTTGAATTCGCTGATAACGAATATTATGATCATTATATATTAAATTATTGTCGAATGACGAGTGGTTTAACTGAGAAAGAGAAAAAAATAACGGGTTCAAATACAATAGAAAAAGGAATGAAATTAAAGCTAACAACCGAATCCAATTCAACAAATGAGTGGCATTTCTAACTTTGGCATGAATATAGTATAGTCTAGCATCTAAATGATCGAGCTCACGAAAAAGATATATATTTAGGTATAATAATAATGTAAGTTACTGTTGGCAATATGAATTATTTGGCGATTTTGTTTAGTTTAACCGTGTTGATAACCATTTTGGTGTGCTTCATGTTCATATGCTTGCCCATTCATTTGTCCGTTTATCGTTTGAATGTCTTCATTTTTAACGGAATGAAGAACAGTCGTCGATTCAGTGAGACCGTCTCGATCGAAACAGGCAAAGTGATAAAATTTCTCTCCTTCGCCGAATCGTTCGCCATCTTCAAGTGTGGTTGGAAGTGTTCGGTTGAGCGTTTCTGGCAGCAATAGACACAACGCCGCGCCCATCAATGACATAACACCAAGAACAAGTGACGGCAATGGCAAGAAGAAATGCGACTGAAAACAAAGAATTAAAAAAGAGCTACAAAAATCGCATGAAATGGAGTCTCGATTATGGAGAAAATTTAAAAAATCAATTTTGAAGTAGGAATTTTGTATGATTCCGAACTAAGAATAACAGTTCAAAGCATCTCACCAAGTATAAGATGTACGCGCTGAAAAATGTGAATGCGTAGCCGGTAACGTGTACAATAGCAATACCTCGGCCTCTCACACATGTGGGCACCAGCTCTGTAGCGTACTGTGCAGCTGAATTATAGGCGACTGTCACACCGAAACGGCCAACTACAGAAAGCGCTACCAAAAGATCCGGTGATGTCACGCCACTGTAAACAATTATGATACCGCTAGCGGATGTGAAGATGCCGCTAAGCAAGAGAGAACTTGATGCCATCGCTTTACGGCCAATTCGATCTTGGAGTGCCAGTAAAACTAAACATGCTGGGAATATGGCTGATGCGCTCAATGAGAACATTACGAATGGAGACACTCCGAGACCTTCGACATTTCGAGACATTGCATCGTAGCAGAGCGTAATGACCATTCTAAATGTAAAAAATTGATTAGATTTTTTTGTGTTAGAAAATATGAAATTGAAAAGCTACTGAAAAAGAATGTTTGACAATGGAAAAAAATTGAGCCACTTACGATTTAAAGAACAAAATCAGTGTATTTCTGCGAAGTCGTGGAGTTTTAAAGAGATCGAAAAATCTCGGTCCTCTGGCTGTTTGTGGATTTTTAGCTGCTTGATTCTGATAATGGGTACGGAACGCTTCAATGGTGTCATTGTCAATGGTTCGTCCATTGAATCGTGCTACACGCCTGAAACAAACAATGGCGCCTTCAATATCGTTTTTTGATATCAGCCATTGCGCGCTCTCCGGCAAAATGAAGTAGAAAAATGGTACGATGGCGATCGGGAGCGAGGTATAAATGATATAAAACTTCCAGCTTGCGAGATAAACGGCAATCCATGGCGTCACCACCGACCCAAGGCAGTAGAAAATGCCAATGCACAGATTCAATCCAAATGTTCGCATTGACGGTCGCAGATATTCGAGCACTAAAATTGTACAAATGATTAAAATTTTGGTACAACTAGTCATTTTTCTTAACGGTCTTGATTCAATTACCTAAAATATACATCATTAAGAAGTTGCTGTCGACAGCCAATCCAGAGATGAAACGAGATATGGAAAATATTGGGACGTTTGTTGAAAAAACAGTAATTCCATTCCCGATTAATGCCATAACATTTGCGAAAATAAGTACTGGAAGACGGCCGATCAAGTCGGCCATTGTACCAAATATTGTCGTACCAACCACGGAGCCAACGAAGAACATAGATTGGCCTATCGTTGATTTCCACGCCGAACCACAGACCCAATTGAGCTGTTCAAATCAGATTTTTTTTTTTTGAAAATTAACTTCACTTCTTACGAATGTTTCATCACAGGCTGATATGACTTACTTCACTGCTCATACTTCGATATCCATGGTCAAATTCGTAAATCCATTTATCGCATGTTTCCCCATTGGTGTTATTTACACCGAAGAAATTGTAATTTAAACCATCTGTTCTGTATGGCGTACAATGTGGATCGGTGTAGTTGGAATATATGTGGCGTACCTCATCTATCGTTTTATTTACCAAATCATTATGATAACACCTGGAATGAGAGAAAATGCACGATTATGAGTTTTCAAAAATAATTGCGTTCATGAAACAATAAGGTGACTGTAACCAAATTTAGCGTAAATTTCAGTGTAATCATCGCTATGCACTAAACCGTAAGGTAAATAAACTCACCAGTGTTCTGGCACAAATAGAATAATTGTTTGCGAGAAATAGTGAACGGAGGCGAAAGCATTGATTACAGAAAATGCGGCAAGCATTACAAATTGATAAGGCCCAAAATCACCGCATTCTCGCAACATATCCTCTGCGGCGTTATCCATCTCATTTTAATTTTTATTATAGCCACTTGCGCAAATACACTTTAATCTGCTACTTTGACAGTAGCGATATTCGAGAACACTTATTGCAAACTCAGTTCTTTGTGTGCATTCAATCACTTTCTCTAATGAATGAAAAATCATTTACAAGCAATTTCGTAATTTTTGATAATAAATTTAATGAAATTCTTCTAAAAATCGTTCGAATATTATTCAGAGAGCAGCACAAATTCAAGACCATTCTTGTTAGAAATTGACATTGAACTGAAAGTGAAAATATGATAACATGAAGACGAATGTGAACCGATAAGATATTGGTATTCATGTAATATATATCCCAAGAGAAACGACCAATATGTTTATACGCTGTCTATCCGCCGAAAATACACTACAATATATATTCACGCAAATTGGACGCCGAATTCAATATATATTCTAGTGTATATTCGGTGTATTCTTCAGCGTGAAACATATTGAATCAATGAATGCATTCATGGCCAATAGAGGGCACCTGAATATGTTTCAATATGTTTCACGCTGAAGAATACACCGAATATACACTAGAATATATATTGAATTCGGCGTCCAATAAGCGTGAATATATATTGTAGTGTATTTTCGGCGGATAGACAGCGTATAAACATATTGGCCGTTTCTCTTGGGATGTATAATTGCAGCAAATTTCAATCGAAAAATATATAATATACTAGCAAATTCCATACGTGCTTCGCTACGCTAGAATTGGAATTCTTTGTCTTCTATTCTATTTTATCAATAACTTGCTTTGCTCGGACGCTAGCTCACTTCACGAGCTATTATTCCTTTCGTATTGATTTCGTGCTATGTTTTATTTGTTTTTATTACCGTACTGGTTGTGATCCGAAATAAAGATGAAATTAAAGAGACAATACAATTTTCATATATTTCGGAGCATTTAATATTCCGATTGATTTAAAATTAATAGCGATTCAAGTTATTTATACTGCGCATTTATCGAACTAGATTCGCAAACTAATTTATGGATAAAAATTTATCGCCAAACGACGACGACCAACATGATTGCTGTAGAGTTTTCTTTTTGTCTACAAAGGTTTGCTTTATTTCGATTAGTTGATCCATGGTGATGTTTTATCGGTTTTTTGCGCTATTGATTCCTTTTTGAGTTGTTGTATTTATTCTATCTAATTTGCTGCTATAATTGATCGTAGATTTATTGACAAAATAGACAATTTTTATTCAATTAGATGTTCAGATCAAACAATGTAGGATAAAATCAATGAAAAACATGACGCGTGTCGCAATTCATGCGATTGCCAATTATTTATCGTAATACATGATAAAGAATCAATTTGCATTGTTTGCGATGCTCATGCTCATATTACCCAATAGATAAAATTAGATTGTTTATTTAATCAGAAAATTTCTTCAAGTGAATTTTATTTCTGCTTGTAAAAATTCTCCGAAATTCGTTGCACCAGCAAAAAAGAATGATTGTTCAGAACGAATGTTATGACTGCATGAAATGCTTGTTATTATCTGTCGAGACATTGAGCGTAAAAATATGTTATTATCCAAAATGCGTAACAATTGATCAAGTTATTTATTGTATTCGTATAAAATGATAGTTGTTTCGAAGTTCATCTTATTAGTTGCAAATGAGCTGTTCCGAAGGGAAGACGATCAGTGTGTTTTGATATCAAGAACAAAATGTCTCAAAAGATTTTCTTCGGTTTGTTATCAATTTGTTGTTTGATCGTGAAATTTGCTGTCGCAGCAAATATTCTGTATTTATGTGCATTGCCATCGCCCAGCCATCAAGTCTGGTACAGTAAAAACTTTGTTATTCATTTATATAAAGAATATTTACAACAATTTAGTTGACAATGAATTGGCTTTCAAAAGATTTCGATATATTTCATTGAATGAGTTAGAAATCAATGAAAGTATAACATATTTTACAGGAACAGTGCATTGGCCGATGGTTTAGCTGCCCATGGACATAATGTGACTGTGATCGCGCCTGACATCGTAGAAAATCCACCGAAAGGTGTTCATTATATTTATTTGGAAGGGGTCTACAACGACGAATATCGTGCACTTCAAAAGAGTTTGTTCAATGTCACTGAATTAATGAATCCATTAGTTGAACCGGTCAATTACAACCGATACTGGTATTGGTCATGCAAAGGTAATGAATGTGCTTGTCGTCAGACATTGTATTGAATCAAGCAAAAATAATTGCATGATGCTCATGCTATTCAATTGATAATTTGCCCATTTTTTTCAATTTTTTTCATCTTGTTTTTGATGCATTGTTGCACGAAGTTCTTTCATGGAAATTTATGACATTGTAAATTTTAGTAATTTTGGAAACAAAGGGATTTCAAACACTGTTACAGTATCCAGATGATTTTAGAGTTGATTTGATTGTGTATGATTTCACGCCTGGTGCTTGTTTACTTGCTTTTATGCATAAATTCAAAAATCCACCTCTGGTGTCTGTGACAGCCTACGGGAATCCATCTTTGTTGAACTCGATCATTGGCGGACATCAGTATTATTCATACGTGCCTCATTATTATTTGCATTATGAAAATGATATGAGCATTTGGCAACGTTTATATAATTTCGCTGTTCATATCATTGAGTTATAGTAAGTTTTTTTCAACGATTTTAAATATGGTGATCATGGAACTCAAAGCTATTTATTGAAAATTATTGAAAAAATCAAATCGAAAATAGCGATCGTGGTGCGAATTTCAATCCAAAACTTGATGCACTTGTGCGTGAAAAGTTTGGCCCGGGCTATCCCAGTATGACTGAATTGGAACAACGGACAGCGATCGCCTTCGTTAATACAAACCCCACGTTCAACATTCCGGCGCCGTTGCCCGAAAATGTGATTGCCGCTGGAGGGCTACATATTAGAGACACAAAGCCATTGCCAAAGGTACGAAATGACAAAGCTTCTTGTTTCATAATCAATTCGAATTCTAGGAAGTTTTTTTCTCCAGGATTTGGAGCAATTTATTGCTTCAGCCAAAAAAGGAGCTGTCTTATTTTCCCTTGGAACAAATATTCGATCAAGTCTAATGGATGTTGAAAAACAAGAAATTCTTCTGAATGCATTTAAACATTTCGCCGATTATAATTTCTTATGGAAATTTGAAGATCCAACCATCGATTTGAAATTACCGAAAAACGTTATGATCCAAAACTGGCTGCCACAATCAGATTTATTGGCTCATCCAAAAATCAGAGCCTTTTTTACACACTCAGGTCGATAGCACTCACAACATAATCAAATGGAATTTCTTTAACCCAAAAATCTTATTTGGTCAACAGGCATGTTAAGTACACAGGAAGCCATTTGGCGGGGTGTTCCAATTCTCGGAATGCCATTCGCGTATGATCAACATGCGGTAAGATTTTTGGATAAATCATTTTTTCATAAAAAATTCAGCAAAGAATGATATTTTAATTCAAAAATTCTTTGTCATAGAATCTGTTAAAATCGATTCGCCTGGGATTTGCGGAAGGTATTGATTTTCAGACAATGACAACGGAAATTATAAAAGAAAAATTGCGCAAAATCCTCGAAGATCCAAAATACACGAAGAACGCAAGACAATTATCTGCTCGATTCAGAGATCAAAAAGAAAAACCATTAGACCGAGCTGTGTGGTATATTGAATGGCTTCTACGTAATCCAAATGCTGAGTTCTTGAAATCGCCCGTGCTTAGACTTGGTTTCATTAGTGGAAATTCGTTTGATGTGATTGCCATAATTACCATTATCTTAACGGTCATCTTATCGTTTGTAGCTAAATTGATAATTTCTTACGTTCGTCAAGTCATTCAAGATTGGGACCAAGGTGCATATCGCCTCAAAGCAGAATGAAGACACTCCAATAATTAAAATCAGAATCGAAATCATAATGATTGTTTTATATTTTCTTTGCAAAAATCTGTTTGGATCAAAAGGAGAATTTAGAGAATCTTTTTGTAATATGACTTCACAGTAAATTGAAATAAACCCTGATTTATGTATTGATAATACAGCCAGAGCACATGAGTAGTGTGATGTGATTCAATAAACTGCTTGTTCATGCAAACGACAAACTATTTTATTTATCTAAGATTATTGAGTTACACGTTATTTTTAATCTTGTTTTGAAAAATTGTCAAGTCATTCACTGATAAACTGAGCTTCGTTCACTATAAATTACTATAAAATTTGGCCCTCAATTTTTTCCAAAAAAATTTCGACAAAAATTGAGGACAAAAAATCAAACTTCTGCAAATGCGATCAACATGAAACTTTCAGAATCTTATTTTTTCTTTACAAAATGAAACCTCAGAGAGTTTGAAGCCAATCAGAATCGATTATCGGGTACCTCCCATACAAAATTGTCCAAAAATCGGTAATTTCAGTCAAAATTTCGAAAAATTTGTATGGGAGGTACCCGTAAATCGATTCCGATTGGTTTCAAACTTTCAGAATCTTATTTTTCTCCCAAAAAATGAAATTTCAGAAAGTTTAAAGCCAATCGGAGTCGATTTCCAGGTACCTCTCATACAAAAGTGTCAATTTTTTGAGGTTTTTCTTAGGGCAAGTACCCCAGGATCAAATCGAAAATGGCTCATCTTCGAACTTAAACTAAGTTTTTCGGATACAAAACTTTTGGCATTTCCAGATTTTGATTATTTCAATTATTTTTTGAGTTATCGTGTTAACAAACACCAACGACAACGACGACGACAACGACGACGACGACGACAACGACGACGACGACGACAACGACGACGACGACGACAACGACGACGGCACACGAACGGAAAAGTGTCTCAAAAAGTGGTTTTTCTACGCGTTTCATGAGTTTTTATGATGATCTAAACCAATTTTGCGAAAAAAGTTGTCGGGACCAATTCCTATACTTTCCCTTGACACGTTGTGTACGGAAAAGTAATAATCTCAATCTCACAAATAGATCTCCACGCCGATTGGTTAGATTGATGCTTGTGCCTTGATTCGAATTGCAAATTGCAGGAAGTGTCAATTGAATTAAAGTCAACTCTTGCTATTGTCAGTGAATTGGAGTCTGTTCACTTGATATTTCACAGATCGATTCGTGTTTTTATCATTTCCACACTTCGACACGTTTGGGTCGTCTCATCATCGAAAATGCATTATTCAACATATTTTCTCATCTTTCTTGGTAATTTAGAGTTTTCTTTATTTTTGTGTTTCACATTTTAATCAAGTCGATTGACTTTTGTTTTTCAACAGTGCTTATATCAATGCTCTCACAAGCGATATGCACAGAGTTAGCCTCAAAAGAAGAAGAACAAGGAATAAATAAATTTAACGAAGGCATTTCAAGTTTTTCACGAGAATTTTATCAGGTAATCATTTAGATGGAAATCATTATTTGCAAATTCAATTCAGGCATTTGATTACAAAAACTATCCGAAATGGTCTTTGGTACAGCAAAGCGCTGCAACAACTTCTGGGAATATCATCATTTCGCCATTTTCAGTGGCAATGGCACTGTCGCTTTTGTCGCAAGCAACCAATGGAACTACTTTTGATGAACTACGGGCCGGATTACATTTGAATATGGACAAAGTCGCGATCGCTGATCAATTCCATCAATATTATAGATTAGTAGAAAAAAGCGCTGGCCAATCCAAGCTTATTGTTGCTAATCAAATATTTGTGCAGCAAGGAATTCCGTTGAATACGGATTTTCAAGAAGTGGCTACCAAACAATTCTTCTCGGGTGTTGAGCCCGTGGATTTCGTAAGAAATATTGACACCGCTAAGACGATCAACGATTATGTGAAACAAAAAACCATCGAAAAAATACAGGAATTTGTTACACCAGAAATGTTCGACGAAAGCACTCGTCTTTTTTCGGTGAATACGATTTATTTGAAGAGCAAATGGGCCAAACCATTTAACAAAGGGGAAACATTCAAAGGTGATTTTTATATTAATGAAAACGAAAAAGTTATTGTGGATTTCATGTTTACTAAGTGCAAGTGTCCGATGGCGATACTTGATGATTTGGATTCGACTGCGCTGAGTTTGCCCTATGCCAATTCGAGTTTATCATTTGTAATTGTTCTGCCGAATAACCGGACTGGATTGCAAGCGCTAGAATCGCAATTAGCCAATTATGATTTATCACGTATAAATTATTCTGTTAGTAAATACGGTCCGTTTGTTATAATTCCAAAGTTCAAGATTGAATCTAAATTCAACCTAAATGAAATTCTGAAAAAAGTATGTGAACAATTGAATTTGTCGAAAAAAAAAATTATTTAATTATTGAGCATATTCAACTTTATGTATAGATGGGCATGCGTTCGATGTTTGGACGGAATGCTGATTTAGGTGGTCTATTTAATCCACCTTTTGGGAAAAATCTTTATGTAGCAGATGTGCTCCATAAAGCCATCATCGAAATCAATGAAATGTCTACGGAAGTGGCCGCAGCCACAGGTGAAATTTTATGATTAATTCAAATTTTCTAGAAATTATACAATCTTCTTTATTTTCAAGGAGTACGCAGTATTCTTACAAGTTCAGCCATTCGATATTTCAGTGCCGCTCATCCGTTTGTGTATTTTATTTGGGATAATGAAACCAAAACTTCGCTTTTCAGCGGTCGAGTCACAAATTTACCTCCTTCAACATGAACAAGCAATTGCTTTAAAGCTCTCTAAATTTTAGACGGTTGAGCAATTTTTTTTTATCGCACATAGTTTCTGATACATTCAATTTTTAAAAATGGATTTTTGCTCTGTTTTTGTGTGTCTTTAGTAATATAGATTCAATCTAGATTTGGTGAAGTCTCATAAGAGAATCAATATGTTAGAAGTATAAATCAATCAAAAATGATCTAATATTCAATGTTGATTGTAATAATAGATCTGGTGTTGAACGCGATATTGCCAGTGATGCTGAATCTGATGACTGTACAGTGTACAATGTACATTTTCATCCAGCTCTGTGATTTTTTCAAAACAAAATGTGGTTTCGAAATTCATTGGTTGTTATTTTGGCTTCAATGCTAACAACAATGCTTGTAAATGGAGCAAATATTCTTTATTTGAGTGCTGTTACTTCACCATCATATCACATTTGGTACAGATATAAAATTATTTCGAATTTGAGATTGGTTTCGGAACTCTCAGAAAAGTTAGCGGAAAAAATGTTCAAATTTATCGACACTCGGGTGGACTTATCGGTCTTTCTAGTAAAAAATAATTCCGATAAATCGGATGGATTGTTCCGAATCGGCTATAATAGTTCCGCTAATTTTTCTGAGAGAATTCTGCTTAATACATCCAATAGGAATAGTGCGCTAATAAATGGATTGGCTGGTCGTGGGCATAATGTGACCGTATTATCGCCAGATGGAGACAAAAATCCCCCAGAAGGAGTGTATTATATTGTTTTAGAAGGCCTTTATAACGAAGAATATCATAAGATTGTAAATGCAATGCTTAACGCGAAACACGAGGTGAATCAGCTAACAGCACCGTATAATTTTTAAGAATTTTGTATTCAATTTGCAAACATATTATCGGTATTGCTTCTATTGTCTTATTTATAATTTTGGTGTTGATTATTAAAACCAGTTTGTTAATACTGCACAAACTGACGGCAGTTATGCAAACAACTGAATATAAACATAAAAAGATTAAACACATTAAATGAAATAATTATTATGAGCATGGTTTGTCATTTGGAAAGAGTGAATCTGCGAATTTTCTTCAATTAGAGAGACATCTATGTATGTTACGTTATGTTTCAATTTCGGGCTTTTGGCATTGGGGAAGCCGAAAAAAAAATAAAAAGAACACAAACATTAATGGTTTTGTGTCTGCTAAGCATAGCTTAGTAGGCATGACCTAGTTCCACATACGCACAAATTTTCGGCTTTAAAATAAAAATGACACGTGATTTAAAATAATAAACCTTAGAACAATGTGTTTTCACGTGAAATAGACAAAATATTTGAGCGGAGTCTGTACAGATGGCCATTCGAGGGTCAGTTTGACAACGTAAATCAAAATGCATTCAGTCTCATCAAAATGGTGTTTGAAGTAAGTTCTTTGCTTTTCTTACTTTTGGCATGTGCCAACGCGGCCAATATTTTAATTTTGAGCTCGTTGCCGTCTTTCAGTCATCACAAGTGGTAACCATATGTCGACAGTCAATTTTATTTTTGTTATTATTTGATTGAAATCAATCTGACATGTGCTATTAACATAAATTTCGCAGGAATAGTGTGCTCGGTGAAGAGTTGGGTGCCAGAAATCACAATGTGACAATTTTCTCTCGATTTTCTGTGTCATCGCCGCCCAAAGGTGTTCAATATTTATTCATCAAAAGTCAAAGTGATGCATTCGGAGAATATGCCAAGAAAGCACCGCAAAGAAGTCGAAAACCGTGTGCTTTCTTCGAATTTCTAAATATAGCGTTGTTATCCAGACAAATGTGTTTTGGTATGTGTGCGTTGTTGAATTGATTGTGAATTGAAATTGTTTAAATTCAATTCTTTTGAATTGCAATTTCAGTGAAAAAGCGCATAAATTAAAAAAAAATGTTTATTGTAGAGGTTATTGAATCTACCGCATTTCATCAGCTGTTGAGCTATCCAAATGATTCCTTCGATCTGATTATACATGACTTTACTGGCGGGCCGTGCATTCTACCGTTTGTGCATAAATTTAATACTGCACAATTAATAATTGCAACACCTTACTCAAATTCACCGTTTTTGGCACACATCATTGGAGGACATCACCATTATGCCTACGTTCCTCACACGACTCTTTCATTCAATACAAACATGACATTTTGGCAACGGTTGATCAATTTTTCATTTCATGTCATCGAACGATTGTGAGTGTTTTTAAATGTTGAAATAATTTCGTAAAATAAAGAGCAAAACACGTGTGTTTTTCTAGTGGTCGGGAATACATTCTGTTGAAGGAGTTGGATTTCATCATGCAAAAATATTTCGGGCCTGAATTGCCTCCAATTAGTCAATTGGAGAAACGCACTAAATTGGCGTTAATCAATGCGAATGCAATCATTGATAATTTGGAACCGTTGCTACCAACTGTAATACCAGTTGGAGGTATTCATATCAAGAAAGCGAAACCATTGCCAAAGGTAATTTTTTTTTTTAGACTTTACTTAACGTTTTTGTGTGAAAAATACAATAACATATAATGGTGTAAAAAATATGCAAAAATATATTAAAAAAATATATGAAATAAAATGGTTCAATCCTGTAGGATTTGGAGATGTTTTTGAATTCATCAAAAAAGGGAACCATTGTATTTTCATTCGGTTCAACCATTCGCGGTGACAATCTCTCGTTGGAAAAACAAAAACTGTTCATTCGAATTTTCAACGAATTCCGCGACTTTAATTTCTTATGGAAGTTTGAAAGTAACATAACGATCGATGAGTTGCCAGCAAATGTTCAGATTCAACCATGGATCCCTCAATCAGACGTCTTATCTCATCCGAAAGTGAAAGCACTCATCACACATGGAGGTTTGCAATTTACATGTTAACCGAAACCTGCACTTGTTTACAGCAATCGACTCTAAAAATGATCATTCATGTTAAATTTCCAAATATTTTAGGTTTATTGAGCATTCTCGAAGCCCTTTGGCGCGGAGTTCCAATGATTGTGATACCATTTCTACTGGATCAATATGCGGTTTGCAAATTTATTGCTGGCACAATTTTATTTTTTTATTTTGATTGACGTGACAATTCTTCCTTTTTTCAGAATACAAATAAAGCAAAACGGCTGGAAGTTGCTGAAAGTCTTGATTTTTATACGATGTCTTACAACGAAACCAGGGAGACGCTTATGAAAGTGCTCAATGATCCAAAATATTCGATTAATGTGAGGAAATTGTCTGCCATTCTTCGTGACCAAAAAGAAACCGCTCTTGATAGAGCTACTTGGTGGATTGAATGGTTATTACGGAATCCAAACATTGATAACATACAATCTCCCGTGCAGAATATGAGCTATATTGTTGGCAATTCATTTGACGTTTTGGCAGTGGCAGTAATTTATGTGATATTGCATGTGTTTTTATTGTTTGTGTCACTTTATTTGTGTTGTAGAAAAATTGTGTGCCAACTTATAAATCTAGTCAAATCTTCCTATAGAAAATCTAATAAAAAACACGAAAAACAGTGGTAATTTACGTCAAATACACCGTAATCATACTGTCTGATGAGTTCTAGTGAACTTTGAACTTGCTACGGTTAAATTGCACCGAAAATAAAAAAATAAAACACTGTGAATAAAATTCGCCTTATTTTTACCCTGTAAATATAAATCCAATCATTCCACTTGAATTAATTGCTTCATTTAATTAGGAACACTTCCTGATAATCGCGATAAACCGATTCATATGTGATGATAAATCAAGTAGTTATATTGTCAACCAAAAAGTCTATACTGAACCTAGGTTGTTATGAAGTGCTTCGTTTGTATTCTATTCAGGAATTGTGTTGAATACAAATAATTGATAGTGCAAACAAATCTTATGAGCGTGATAGCGAATCTTTTAACTTCAATAGTCCGCACCACTTGAAAAAAGCAATTTTGGAGGATCATCGTCTAATGGCTATGACTTGCTGTATTTACTTTGTTGTGATAACACCTAAAACCGCTCGTCATTCACTATGAATGCAAACATTCTCGTACACAGATCGTTAAGTCCACTTGTATTTATCAATCAAAGTTATCTGTTTGCCAATAGACACGATTTTGGTTAACCTCTCCGTGGTGAATTTATTTAATAAACTAGCGATGTAAAATAAACCCGTAAATATATTGCGAATTTTTTTTATTTTGTAGAAAATGTTTCCCAATGCTCTGAAAAACATATCAAAATTCGACACCTTTTTTACTGATACAATACAACATCATCGCGGCGAATGGGTTAAAAAAAAATTATAAAAAATATACAATGCCACTGTGTCTATATAGATTTCTCCTCTTCACCACTTTACTTAGTTGAGTGCTGTTCGTTAGTAGGATAAGGCGAAAATTATTTACGAATCGGTTTCTATCATCAGCAATCATGTTGATACGTCTAGGTTTTGCAATAGTTCCAAACGTTTTATTCTATAGGGCAGCAAATATACTGCTTATCGCCACATTACCTTCACCCAGTCATCATATATGGAAAGGAGCAATAATCAATAAGTTGGCTACACGTGGCCACAATATCACTGTGATTTCACCAGATATCGACAAAAATCCGCCACTCAGAGTACATTACATCCTCATTGAAGATCAATACACCGAAGAACACCGTGGATTTGTTAAGGAAATGCTTGCAGCAAATGAAGCAGTAAATCCAATATTCGAAGTGTTGGGAATCATTGCACTTTGCATTGAGTTCTGTCGAAGTAGGGTTTGCATAACAACATCTTTAGACTTTAAAAATAAAGACTGGTTCCTCTTTTTTGCAGTTCAAGTAAAGACAAATGGATTTAAAACATTGCAAAACTATCCGGATAGTTTTAAATTCGATTTAATCATTCACGATTACACATTGGGCCCATGATTTTTACCATTTGCACACAAATTCAGTAATACACCGTTATTGGGAGTAACTGGTTTCAGTAACCCATCATATACATCGTCAATATTATTCCTACGTTCCACACAATTCACTCTTGGCCGATGAAAATATGACTTTCGGGCAACGATTCTATAATTTTGTTCTGCACATCGTTAAATATGTGTAATTAATTTTGAATGCAACCATATTACATTATTTCAATTAATCAGTGCATATTTAATGGAACAGTGGTGGAAAGAATTATCTCATTCCCAGTCTTGATGCCATAGCGAAGGAGAATTTTGACCCTGAAATACCATCAGTTGGTGATATTGAACAGCGAACTGCAATCACTTTACTCAGCACAAAACAAGCAATGGATTACTTAGCTCCACTGCCCGAAAATGTCATTCCAGTCGCTGGTGTACAGATAAAAGATCCAAATCCAATTCCAAAATCACGAGCGCATTTCGAAATGTGCACAGTGCAGTGTGCACTACTGATAATAGCGTTTTTGATAACATATTTAAGATTATTATCTAATCGGACTTCTTCGTATTTCGATAACGTACAGATAATAATATTGTTTTGACATTCCAGGATTTAAAAGCATTCATTGATTCATCTAAAAAAGGGAGTGTCATTTTAATATAATATTTTAACTTTACGGCGACGCTAAAAGCTTCTCTGTGGGCCGGTACAACGCGTTAGCCAAAACGTATTGATGTTTCGCAATGGTTACTCGATGCATTTGCCAAAATACTATGATTTTTGTACTCTCTTCTACGATGTGTGTGCAGAGAAGCTGCTAGTGTCGCTGTAAAGTTGATTATATTCAACTCAAGCCACACACGATTGAAAAAAGTTGCTCGAAATATTCGTTTAGCGATGTCATTGGCTGTCTTTTGGTAATTCGGCAATATATTTATGAGTGGGATTTCGGCTTGTGGACTGAATTATCTACCGTTAAGAAGCAGATAACAAATACAAATATATATTTATAGTGAACTCAGGAGCCTTCACATGAAATAATCACTGAACTTGCAAAATGCAGCAAAATAAAAAATATCATCATACGAACAGTCAGGGCGGGCATATTCATACAAGGAATAAGTTTAAATATAAATCGAAATGAAATTTAAGTTCATTTTTGTGCTTGTTTTATTATACGTACCAATATCTTTCTCTTCGAATATTTTATACTTATCGATTTTACCTTCGCACTCGCATCATTTTTGGTAGGAATTTTCCATTGTTTCCATTTCAGTATATTCGATTTAAATCATTTCTATTTCAACACAGGAATAGTGCCATTAGCAATGAACTTGCGAAACGTGGTCATAACATAACAATAGTATCTCCAGATGCTGAGATAGATCCCCCAGCAGGTGTAAATTATATAATTCTTGAAAATCAGTATGTGATCGAACAAAATTTTGTGAAAACCATTCTAAATGCATCCGAAGCCGTCAATCCCTTTCATGAGGCAATTGAGTTGCAACAATGTTACGATGCTCTGTGTTCCGGTATTTGAATCGAATTGTTCAACTGTGATTTGTTAAGAAGAAATTGGATTTTCAATTATTATTTGCAGGTGCAGTTGAAACAGATGGTTTTCGAACTTTATTGAATTATCCGGATAATTTCAAGTTCGATTTGATTGTGCATGATTTTACAGTTGGCTCATGCTTGCTACCGTTCCTGCACAAATTCAATTACCCGCCCATGCTTGCTGTTACAGCCTTTGGTCATCCATCATTTGTGAATGATCTGATTGGTGGCCACCACTATTATGCCTATGTTCCGCATATGTTGCTTCAGTTCGATGACACAATGACATTTGTACAGAGATTTCTTAATTTTTTGATTCATGTTGAGGAATACGTGTAAGTCAAGATAGAATTGTTGAAGTTTGTAGATTTTCAAACATGTTTTTTCTCGATTAAAAAGCACAAGTTCTCCGCAGTTTGTTCAAATACTATTTAATACCGAGACTTGATGCGATCGCTGCAAAATACTTTGGCCCAAATGTTCCGTCAGTTGGTGAATTGGAGCAAAGAGCGGCGCTAGCGTTTGTAAATACACACCCTGTCATGGAGACTGTTCCACTTCCGCAAAACGTTATTCCCGTAGCTGGTGTTCAAATAAAGGAACCAAGGCCACTGCAAAAGGTGATTTGCTCTTTTGAATGAAATTTGCAAAGTTATTTACGATTTGGATTTGTGATTTTCCAGGATTTGAGAACATTTATCGATTCATCAAAGAAAGGAGCAGTAGTTTTCTCTTTGGGCTCGAATTTCCGTAGTGATTATATGCCAGCAGCAAAGCAACAAATTTTTTTGAAGGTTTTGAGTGAGCTTCCCGATTATCATTTTCTTTGGAAATTTGAGAGCAATATCTCAGCAGCGGATTTGCCAGAAAATGTGTTGATTCGGCCTTGGTTGCCAGTGTCAGATATTCTCGCAGATCCCAAAGTTAAGGCAATTTACTTCCACGGTGGAATGTTAACCACACACGAGGCCATTTGGAGAGGCGTTCCAATGATCATTATGCCATTTGCACTTGATCAGCAACAAGTAAGAGAAGTCATTCAGTGATATAATATTGAAAAACAAAAGGGTCAAGATTAACAATCGTAATCAAATATCGATTTTCACAGAATTTAATAAAAACAAAGCGCATGGGTATCGCTGAAGGTGTTGATTATCTATCGTTGAACCACAATCAAATCCGGAAAACAATTCTGAAAGTACTGGAAGATCCATCGTATTCGCTGAATGCACGGAAATGGTCGAAACGATTCCGAGACCAGAAAGAAAAACCATTAGACCGAGCTATGTGGTACATTGAGTGGCTCATACGAAATCCAGACTGCGAATATTTGAAATCACCCGTTCTTCGACTCGGTTTCACTATCGGAAATTCTTACGATATTATTGCATCTATTACAGTGTTTCTTACCCTATCACTGATAATTTCACTAAAATTATTCTCGTGTTGTGTGAGAAAAAGTTTCAAACTCAATTATTCCAAGCCTTTGCACAAGAAAGTTGATTAAATTTTCGTCAACTCGCTTTGACTAATTAAAAACACGATTTTCATTCAAATTGATTAACAGCGAAAATGAAGTCATTCGAATATTCGAGTTTCTGTTGAGAAAAGCAGATTCAGCTCGTTATTCACTGAATTATTAATCAGTTTGATCCTACTGTATCTCTTTGTACTACATAAGTAGAAATCAATTGGGATTACAAGTAGGTATTGTATTATTATAGAACGGGGAATAGATAGATTTGTAAATTGATAGACTTGTGGTCTTTATAACAGAGAACACGTTTACGGTGACTTATTATATGCTTAAACAAACAAATTGTGTGAGCAGTTCACGATGCCGGTGCAGTGTGTGATAAACAATCATCAACTAGAATGAACACCAACACTAGCACTGCCACTGAAACATTGACCAATAAAAAGAGCTATTAATATAGGTCACTCTTTGCTGTTTTTCGTTATGCCGCACGTGAGAAGCTATTGCCAGACTTCCTATACACTGCACCCTTTTCATCAATCATTATTCATGAATAACAACGACTACGCGGAACGCACTTATCACTCAATTGCAGGCCTTTATAAGTATGAGAGTTTGGAATGAATTTGAAAAAATCTCAAGTATTTAGCACATCACTTTCATTCGAGAGACATTCAAATTGAAGAAAAAAATCTGGCAGAAATAGTTAAAAGAATGAGATTCACATTTAAAATACATTAGCATTTGCTCAAGTACTTTTCATTTAATTTAATCGGGTAAAATTCATTAAGTTTGACACTGTTTCGTATTGAAGTTATCTGCATATAACTTACGATTAAACAATTCGACTTAATTTAGTGGCTACGGAAAAGTGTGTATTCAAACAAAAATGAAAAGATTCAAGTGGCTTCGCTTTTGATCACATGGTCTAGATCTTAAACTGACAAATAATAAAAAACGTTGTGTTGCCACTTACCAGTGCCTTGGAACGAAGCTAATGATAGTTTGTGAATAGTAGTGTATAGACGAAAGAATGTTGATCACTCCAAACAGGCCCAACATCATCAATTGATAATAGCCAAAGTCTCCGCACTTTTTCAGTATGCGATCTGCGTCCATTTTGCTTGTGCAATTCTTTCTTCTTCAGTTTATTTATGTCACAATTCAATTTAGATTTTTTAGTCTTTATTCTACGTCTTTTGAATCTATTTCAACGAATTTCTTTTCATACACATAATCACTTTATTCAATTGGAGCAAAACTAATTGCTAATCATCACATGAACGAATTTTATCTTAATTTTCCTATTGGACGTCAACTTTCGTGCTTTACTGTGAAAATTTCCAACGGAACACTCTTTTTAACGCTATTAATGATTGCAAATGTTCTAAATTCTTCACTTTGATTATAATAACATGTTGCGACGTTTGTCTGGTTTAGATTTATTTCGGTGTATGATGTTCCTGCGTTGTAGAATTTTGGTCAATAGTCAAATAGATACTTGAGTTTAATGTTGTGTGCTTCGTTGGAACTAAACCGTCTAAAATCAGAATAATTTTGTCTGTCGCGTGGATTGCGTATTTATGGTAATGTTTTGAACTCTTTTGACGAGGGCTCGTAAATTAACATGTGTTTACCATATGTTGTGTTGGCACTGTGTTTACTTTCGTTTGGCACTGATTTGCCGGAAAGAGCCAAATGCGTTATTTTCTCTTCTCTCTCATTTGCTGTGGATTATGGAATTGTTGAGTCAATCTTTGCCAAGAGAAAGAGAGAGAAAGAGGTAAGGAGAAAGAGAGAGAGAGAGAGAGAACACGAACTATCCAGTATACTGAGAAAAAGTGACAATACGCGCAAACTATATATCATAAAATGAGGTTGATTGTAGCTTAAATAGTCGCAAGTTTGTTTATGACACTACCGCCTGTGCCGACAACAATATTTCAGGCAAGTTTAACTTCATCTCACACAAACTTTGGCTAAGAATCAGAGTGCGAATAAAATTTGTATGAAAGAAAATAAATTTCGTTTTAGATATCTTAATTTTTGATTATTTTTACGAAAAAAATCCATTGTATCAAAAATCTCAACCATTCTTCCCTGTGTGTAATTTGAGATTTACATAACAAGAACATGACGTATTTGAAACGTCTAACTCCATCTACGGATTTTTCCAGCAGTTGTATTCTATTGAGTTGCGGTTTTAACTATTTTTGGGCGAAATTATCTCAAAAGTATGCTAAAATGAGTTATTTGTCATGCGAACGCTCAAACGACTACTGTTAATGTACGCACTGATTCAGTAGACATGCAATGGTTACTAGATGACAAATTTATAATACACTCGAGTGCATGTATTTGCGCGTACATTTCCGGTAGCCGTTTGAGCGTTCGCATAACAAATGACTCATTTTTGTATATTTTTGAGATAATTTCGCCCAAAAATAGTTAAATACGTTATATATCTACTCGATTTACAACTACTGGAAAAATCCGTAGATGGAGTTAGACGCCCGTACCAAATGTAATGTATTGAAACTCCATATACATGCTCGGAGTATGGAGATTTATTTCCTCCCAAATGACCGAAATGAAAAAAAAATGACAAACAGAAGCGAAAAAAACTCGCGGCGTCCATGTGAATAAAAATCGATCAAAATCTTCGTGTCGGTTTATAATATTTCACAGATTTCGTTAATCGACAACAAAAATAACTATAGCGCCTAACTATATTTGGTTGAGTTTTTTGTGCATATAGTATCCAGCACAGAGTAAGCACAAAGTATGCTCTGATTAGGAATACAAGATTATTGTTCATTTCACCGTCTAATCATAGACTGAATAATATCATACAATTCATTTACAACATTTATTTATTGCACAGCATGCATCCCATTTGATTTGAGTGCTTAGAAATCGATCCAGTGCACAGCCCTTTTGAAATGTCACAAGGAAATGAATTGGTCAACACCACATAGGTTCACTTAACAGCAGAAAAAGTTCAAGTCATTCAAGTTCGGAACACATGGGCTTTGTTTGCCTTGCATTGTTTAATTTTATAAATATGGTGGATTTGATAATTGATTGATGGTGGTTTTTTTTATATCAAAACTAGAACTTTGCGATAAGAATATCCCAGAATAATCAGCTTGATTCTCGGTTGTGTAATGACAGAGTTGCGCAAGCACTTTTTTCACCATCGATCGAGAAGTCATGACTCAAAATAATTCATTGCGATCGCATTTGGCAAACCGCAAATAAATCAATCAAACTTTACTTCCTCTATTTTATGTTCAACAAAAATAAGAGAAGTATATGCGTTTTTGTCGATTCATTAATTCGAATATGCACTTTGAGCGAAAAAAAAATATCCACAATTTTCTATTGTCTTCAAAGATCTTTGAAGAATTTTTTGTTCTATTTTTATATGCGACAGTTTTTGACATTTCACGTAAGTTGCCAAAAATGCATCGTAGTAGTACACATCAATTCGAAAAATGTCATTGAAAGTGTAAATTCGAACGGTAAATGAACATAGAACGACGAATAGCGAGTAGAACAGAAACAAATTGTTGGCTAACACGATAATCAAATTCGCCACGACGATAAAATCAACACATCCGTTGGAAATATACCGTTGAAACCAAAATGATGAACACAAGAAACTCTCTGAATTCGCAGCCAGAAAAGTGCTTTGTGTACTGTTGAGAATGCTGTTAGCAACTAGTGCCCGCTCGTGAATCTAATTGAAAACGAACCCTTTGCGAAAGTTGTGACTTTTGCTTTTGCACCAGAGCATGCGACGATATACATGCACATTGTACAATTGGAAAAATTTCAATACAGCACGGAATCGGTCTTTGCGATGAGAATACAAACATTCGCTTGTAGTTTTCCGATTTTTATTTTACTGCTCTTTCATTAATGAACTCACAAACAAACAAGCATGCACAATGTCGCTTGTGTTTGTTGTTACGACAAATTTTCAAGCGATTTGTAGTTTTCCTATAAATTTCTTTTTTTTCGTGTGAGATTCGGAATGTTTCAAGTCTATATTGCAAATGAATGTCATCGATAACGATTGAATCGCCTTTATTTATGGGCGAATTGATGACTTGGAGATTTTGTCTCGTATTTGGGCTCTATCTTTCATCTTCTCACTCTTTCTTGCTTCCAATGCTCCAAATGACGTGTGCGACGTTTTCGTCACACTGGATAGAGGAAGTTACTGAATTATGAATGATACAATGTATTAAAGCCATTTATAAGTCCCATCAAAAGATGCGGACATTACATGTACGTACGTACATTGCATTCATCTAATTTCGACACATTCTCGATCGAATTTCATTGCGCTACACATATACCAGAGACCAATAAGCAAATGGGCAATGAGCAATCATACTTTTAGTGCCGGGTGATTACAATCATATCGTGCTATGCTTCGAATATTCACAAAACGGAAGTTAAAATTATTGTCATTGTTGTTTCGGTTGCTATTGCTCTCGGTGTATCGACGTCAGAACAGAAACTGATGTCGTTTTGAAGCTCCAGCAATTCCACGTCAACTAAACTCGGCTCAGCTCATTTCACATGCCATCCATCGGTGTACAATGTGCAATGATGATAATGCATTATAACGTGTAATTTGGCACGTGTGGAACAAATAACCTTAGACAATTGATCAATCGAGCGAAATCAACTAGAAATTTGGTTCGGCTTTATCGTTGTTGTTTTCGTCATTGCAAATTAAACAAAAAGACTGCATTGAACTACAGCCGTTGTGTTTGGTGTGTGTACGCGCTAATGGAATATATCTGTAGATAATCAAAATCCGAAAACAGTATTGTCAATGAAGCTCAGAACACAATCGCCTAACTGAATATTCGAACGTTTTCCTAGTAATTTGAAAATAATCAAAATATTTCATTCTATTTTTATTTACTGCGATGAAAATGGGAAGTGAAAAATGAATGAAAAATATCTCCATATATTTGTGCAACATGCAAGTTGATTTCTCTGTTGTCATTTATATCGCCGTACTCGTAACTCATGTTGTTGGTTTTGTATTGCCTTAACCCGTACGGGTTACAACATGCAAGTTGATATTTCAATTGATTTCTTTTCGATGACCTGGAACTAAAAATACATTTGTTTATATTTATCAAGCAGACATTCCGTTTGGCTGCATATTGAGCTGAGCTATTTTCAAATATTTGGCTGTTTGGTACATTTTGATTTTGTGACTATCTATCCATGTAAATTCATGTGGAATGATGAATTTATGACGAAAAAAATTGGTCGAAAGGATTAAAAAAGGTGTCCTAAACTCATCACTCCATATGAATTTGCATGGCTAGATAGTCACAAAATCAAAATGTACCAAACAGCCAGCTATTTGTAAATAGCTCAGCTCAATATGCAGCCAAACGGAATGTCTGGCATCAAGAAGATATACCAATTGTTTTTGAATACATTGCATAGTGAATTTGATTATGATTTCATATAAATACTCAGTTCGTCTTTATTCTGACATCAACAAAAAAGCTATAAATACTCAGTTGTGTGGAATCTTTTGAACTAAAAAACGGCATATACAGAAAGTACGGAAAAAGAATAATCTCACCACAAGAAGTGAATTGAATTTTTTTTAGATTTCGTAGGTGTGTGTGTGTGTGCACTTCAAATTAATTTCATTTGAGTCTGTTTTGTGTGTGTGTTTTTTTCCAATTTAATTTTTCATTGGTTTTTACAGTATTAAATCTAATTATTTCCGATGCAGATTTAGTGGTGTGCGTAATGGGCTGGGGCGGCAGCGTAGGCAACTGGGGCAGCTACGGCGGCGACTTTGTGGACGAGTGGTTCACGACGGACAACAGCGTTAAAGCCATTGATGTCATCAGCGGTGTAGTCAACGGTACGTTTGTGGCCATCAGCATCGATCAATGAGTAACTGCCGTGGACAACATCTCCTGAGCGAGTTTCGTGTTGGCTTTTCGAGTCACCGGTCAAACCATCTTCAACACCATAGGCGAAGCTGTATTGTGGGTTTGGATCGTATTCATCGTCGTGGTGGATGGCCTTGGCATAGACTGGAGCATGGGCAACTATCCAAATCATAGAAAATTGGATGATATTTTTGGTTTGGAAAAAAAAAAATCGGAAATGAATTTGTTTTTGAAATTTCACAAAGTCAAACACTTACCTGGTGCGGCGTAGGCAAGAGGAGCGGCAGCATAGGCTGGGGCTGCAGCATACGCTGGAGCTGCAGCATAAGCTGGAGCGTGGCTGATGACTCCAGCACGAGCGACAGTGACGAAAGCGCAGAATGCCAAGAACTGAAACGAAATGCAAAAAAAAACAACTGAACTGAATGAATTGCAGAACACCATCTCTTTCACTCTAACCACAACATACACACAATTTAAAAAGTGCTGTAGTTAGTGTGAGAAAGAGAGAGACAGAGAGAACGAATTATAAAGGAAACATCACGGCATCTTTTGCAACACAAAAACGACTAAATTATCCACTTTGTTCAGCAGTAACTTTTCACTGATGACTATATCTCCGCAAATCCACCAAATTTGTCCATAAAATGCAAATTTTTGAAATTGAATATTCAACACTTTGTCGAATTTTATTTGTTTTTTCTTTCTATGTTTCTTTTTTTTATTTTCGAATATAAATAGTTGGTTTTTCGTTGTTTTTTTTATAAGTATTAACAATTCACACACACACCTTGAATGCCATTTTTAAAATGTTTAACTGTTTTTTTTTGTTTCAAAAGAAGCCGTTGAGCTTATCGAACAATGCAGACGAACTGTGCCGAATTGATCGTTGGTCGCCGAATTTATATCAAATGTTCATTCCCACTGCCAACGGTAATCTTAAGATGGAGCGTGACGGAATACGTAATAAGTATGCGCAACAATGCGACCGAATACACAAAAAATCCCCCCCTCGAGACAAACAATGTAGCTGATTGCATTAAAATTACCAAAATCATATGAATTCTCTGCGGACTTTTCAAGAACAATCCATAAAGTCTAACATTTCTTGTCATAGCACACATATATGACGCGACTGACAGTTTTCTCCAATTGTGCATAGTGAAAAATTCCGTGGACTTGAATGTGTAACATGCAAAAGAGAACTTTTGAATAGTTGCAACAAATTATTGTTCAATCGTGGCCAAGAGATCAAGGTGTAGCAAAATAAAGAGATGAATTAATTTATTAGATTTCAAATTCAGTATTTTGAATGTACCAGATTTATACTCAGCTTTTTAACTGTCTTGAAGTTGTGTTTTTACGCTCAAAAGTTCAAACAATCTTATCGGCTACATAATGACACTGTGAGAATTAGACAGTTAGATACCGTTTTTGTTTAGTTTGATAATTTCATTTTCGTCTAATAATTCCCAGTATAGAGAGGATGGTAGTATTTTTTTTAGTAAAATAAGTCATATTTTGTCATTTCTCTGTTCTTAATACGTAAATTGTGTTTAAAGTATAAACTTTATACTAATAAGATCTACATGTGTCTTTAGCAGTGTTGGCTTCGAACGATCGTTCGTTCGACATGATTTCGAAAAAATGGTTCATTCAATTGTTTGAATTCTTACATTTAAAATACATATGAGGCGAATTATATTATGACAATGTTTTGCTGACATTGTCATGAAGGAGGAAACTTATTTGGACAAACACAAATATGTTCATTTTTGGCTGTTTATCGCGGTATTTATCATTTTGGGCTTGATAGACGAGGGATGCGCCTATCTGTGTAATTTGTTGTTGTAATTTGATCGTTCGAACTCCCACCGCTTACGTGTACAATGCGAATCAAATGTATTTCAGTGTGGCGCTAGTAGCATGTAGTTTGCCTTAGACGCAGCTCTCGTTGATAAAAGATCAAAAATAGTTGTCTGAACGAAAATTTTAAGGGGGTTTGATTACAACTTTACCGAAAACACGAAAACATTATTTCTCATCAATTTCCTGGAAACTGCGAGAAAAATGCCAAAGTGGAACATACTCATCTTTGAACATTTTGAAGACCAAGTCGGTGAAACACTCTGAATCATAGAATTCCTAATGCAATTCACTTCCTATCTATTTATCAGTGTAAAATAAAACGAATGTACGAACACGCAGCAAAAATTTCCGAACGAACGAACAAAACAATCTTTTAATCATGTCGAACGAACGAAAAAGAATTCGAAAGTGTTCGATGGTCAACATAAATCTATACATTCGATACTATAATATCGCTAATATTTATTTGATGCTTAAGCCGTGATGAGTTTAAATCCCAATTGAATTTGCATTATATTTGACTACCAAATAGATGGAGGAACTATAGACTAGGAACTTGATTTATCAACAATTTAATCATGGGAAACATGGATCTGTTTATAACATGCGAATTAAGGAATAGAATTTTGCTAGAGTCTTCGACATTGGATATAATAAACATTATTTTTTTTTATCTAGGATTCCGCCATGAAGAAAGAAACTCAATGAAAAAGTGCATGAAAGTCGACAAACGAAATATTGTAATTAATTTATTGTGAAAGGTAATAATTGTGATAGGTCCAGTTCTGAAATATAAAAACATGAATCAAACTATTTTGTTTGCTAAAAAGAAATTAATAAATAAAAAGGCGTATTGAATTTGATTTTGGTTTTATATAAATACACATTTTTTTTCTTTATTATTTCTCACTCATTTTCCATTCGTGTTTTTTTTTCTGACTTTGATCAACAAAAAAGCTATAAATAAAATACTCAGTTTAGCAATGAAAGGTGTGTGGGATCTTTTGAAAAGGAGCAAACTTAAAAACAGCAAACACACAAAAAATACTGAAGAGGAATGATCACAATGAGTTGAATAGCAACATCGGCAGAGGTGCATTGAAATCGAAAGACAGATTATTTACAAATGAAGTTGGTGTTGCTTTCGCGATTTCAAAGCCATGCGCCTCAAATTGATGTGGTTGTTTATACGTTTTTCACTTCATCTGCTGTCTAGTTTGTGCGATTGTTTTATCTCAAGACGATTCTGGTGGTTTTTACGGCGATAGATGTAGTTATTTTCGATGGATGGATTTAATGGTGGTAGATTGGTGAGTGAGCATAATGGGCTGGGGCAGCAGCGTAGGCAACAGGGGCAGCTACTTTGGTAACGGCGGCGACTTTGTGGACGAGTGGTTCACGGTGGACAACAGCGTTGAAACCGTTGTGTGGATCAGCTGTGTAGTCAACGGTACGTTTGTGGCCATCAGCATCGATCAATGAGTAACTGCCTTGGACAACATCTCCTGAGCGAGTTTCGTGTTGGCTTTTCGAGTCACCGGTTAAACCATCTTGAACATCATAGGCGAAACTGTATTGTGGGTTTGGATCGTATTCATCGTCGTGGTGGATGGCCTTGGCATAGACTGGAGCATGGGCAACTATCCAAATCATAGAAAATTGGATGATATTTTTGATTTGAAAAAAAAAACGGAAATGAATTTGTTTTTGAAATTTCACAAAGTTAAACACTTACCTGGTGCGGCGTAGGCGAGAGGAGCGGCAGCATAGGCTGGGGCAGCAGCATAGGCTGGGGCAGCAGCATAAGCTGGAGCGTGGCTGATGACTCCAGCACGAGCGACGGCGACGAAAGCGCAGAATGCCAAGAACTATAACAAAATGAAAATTTCATTGAAATATATACATCACATCACAAAGTTATCATTTGCAGAACAACGACAACAAAAATACCACTGAATGTGGAATAGTAGTTTTTTTTCACAATTGATATCACAAATAACTACGATTCGTATATTCGTTTTGAATATCAACAACTGTTGTCCATAAAATGCGAAAATTTTGCGAATAATAAAATTTTGATTCGATGATACACTTTTTTCTATAAGTATAAACAATTGACACGCACCTTGAATGCCATTTTTAAAAGGTTTAACTGATTTTTGTTTCTTTTCAAAAGAAGCTGTGAGAGCTTATTGAATAATGGAAGTGAACTGTGCTGAGTCGATCGTTGATTGCCGAATTTATATGAAATGGTTCATGCCCACCGCTAACAATTATCGATCCATTGGTAGAGAAAGAGAGATGGACTAAATACACGCAATGTAATGTAATACGTATTGAACACATGAAAAATATCCTCCCAATAACGAAAAACAATGTAACTGATTGTAGCTACTGCTAGCGGTTTGGTCATGAGAAAAGATTATTTTGTCAAAGATGGTAGAGCTCAATACACTTGTGTGTATGTGTGTGTGTGTCTGTATGTGTGTAGTTGTTTCGGTACTTAATGTTTACATTCAGTGAGTGAGTGTCTGTCGTAATAACAACAGTAACGGCCGCAATCATTTGCCAATTTAACCGTAATATGTGTGCGCTTCACCTTCAAGTTGCTGAACAACACATGGATCTTGTGGATCGTACTATTTCTCTTTCTGTTTGCATTTGTCTCCCTTCCAAATGTAATGCCGATTTGTTGGTTTGTTCGACCGTTCATTCATTGATTGTAGCCACATTACACGCACTTACCTTTACCAAAATGAGCGCGAGCGTGCGCGCACATTGCTCGTTTATTCGAGATTATCTTGCGGTATATTCGATCGTACATACATATCGTGGTCAGGCCAACAAAATGTTGACTTTTTATTGTTGGAATTGCAACAGATTTCGGGCTCACCAAATTCAAATGAAATCTTTTGCTGAAAAGATCGAAAGACCGCAAATGCTATGTGCCCAATGTATTGCTTCATTCATTCATCGAATTTCGAATCTTAGAGGTATCGTATCTTGGGTTCTCTTCTTTCGTTTGGCGTTTAGTTTTTGTTGTTGTTGTTGCTTTTTTTTTCTTTTTCATTGAATAGATTTATTTTGGCTAGTTATTGAACTCGATGAACTTTTGTTATGACTGACAATCATGCAAAGTATACCTTGCTGATGGTGAAGCATTAAATCATTTATCATATCTGCGTGTGTTATTTTTTTCTCTCTCCCAAACTTAATTTAAGCATTACTTGAGGTGCTCATAAATCTCATCAATTGAAAATTACACTACACGTGGAACATTCGCATCTCAGACAGTTTGTGGAATTTTACTTTGTTCAACGATTCTGTGGAAAAGCAATTCACTGAAATCGAGAATGTGGAAAGTCAATATATTTATGTGGATTTTTTTTTTTTTTGGAATTTACTACCTCACGACCACATTATCACTAAAATATTGTATTAAATGAGTGATGTAGGGCTGAAAGGCTAAAAGACATTGATCACATCGAGCGATACATTGTTGCACACTCGTCGCTCGCTTCCATTTCAAACTTCTTTCAGCCCGGCCAGTCAGCGTAAAATCGGTTTTTTGGGATCTAAAACGGTGGGTATCCATATTCAGACAGGCTTAAACGCTGCAAAAGAAGGTTTAATGTCAATAAAGTTATTAAAGTAATAATATGGTTGTTGATCAAACTAGTTGTGCTATGATTTCAGTTTCTTCTCTCTTGCTCACTCCTTCGATGTACGACTCAAACATATCTTCGTTCTGAAGCGATTGCGTTTTAACTTGGCATTATCAAATCAAATGCAAACACGTCTTGAAAGAGCAAAACTGTATACTTGATTTCTTCCAGCTCTCGAAACATGATTATGTAATACGATATACAATATATTTAATTTTTTTTTATCTTTTTTTTTCTTGAATTGAGCAATTGCTGACCAGCAATCATTTTCAAAAGCCTCTCGTCTACATACGATGCTTTTGTATCTCCTCGCTCTCACAGCACCATTTCAACGAACTCAAGTTATTTATTTGCATTTTCGTTGCTTTGATTGACTTTCGATGATGAATTCAGTCAGTTTTTTTTTTCACGTCGGTTTGGGCTTTCATCATTTTGTGAGTGTTCTTTAGAATTCCCACTCGACCTGTTGCCCATAAATGGTTAATTGCAGCATCAATTACTATGGCTATGGTTGTGATTGTGATTCATTTGGTATTTTCATCGAAATCTCTGTCAGAAAGACAGTTTGTAACAATCTCAACGAGCCCGTTTGTTGGTGTCGCCGTTGCCGTTGCCATTGCCGTCGCTGTCGCAGATTCATTTCAAACATTATGCACGGCGACCATGAAATATTTTCACTCTTTTGTGCCTGTTCACGTGATGTTGTTGTTGTTGTTATTTACGAAGAACAGATTGATTGCATAACACACGTGTTTATCTCCTGGGTCCAGTCGAAAATTATCATTGGAACTGAAATTGAATCGCATACAATCGATAGCAACACAACGCATGCTGTGCAAATTTGAATTTTGATCCAGGCCCAGCAATTCACACTGATTGATGATTGATATTGAATTTTCACGCATTGAATTCTAGACGTGCACAATATCCAGGCCAAACCGATCCAAAGTAATCATTCAACACTTGCAAACATATATTTGACTAAATCCCATCAGACTGACAGTCAACGGATTAAGTTCAAGATTACTTGACTCGCGACGCACACGTCAGCGAACTCATTCAATGAAACATTGCTTTTTTTTTCTTCATTCGTTCCAACAATAGAAAAGTCAACTAATGAACGACGACGACAACGACGGATTGCTCATGCCGAAAATTGACCTGGTGGTATTTTCCCCAAATAATTCTCAATTAGGTTTTAAACTGTATGAGAGATTGAACTTTGATTGTCATTATTATCGGACCTTTTCGTATAATGCTAATTCTGATTTATATTAAAAACTAAATTTTCGACTTACAAACACATTTTCTATGGAATTTCTACTATAATTCCACCAGGTATAGTTATACCGTTTGATCAGCTTTGGTAGTTTTGTTTTTGTATTCTATTATTTCGACGCTCGATGGTATTTTTGCTCAAATCAATCCCGCGAAGCGAATTTGTGTCTGAATCTGGATTCTCTATGTGAGATTTCTGAATGAATTAAAATCCATTCATATTGAAGACGTATAGTTCACTAGACGATTAGGTACGAAATATTTGGGAAGTTCCCATTGGAATGGGCCAAGTTCGCGATATAATCAATCAAAAACATCTTAAACTGTTCTCTTGGTAAAGTCAATAATAATTAGTCCGTCAACACGGTAATTATACCGCTGAACCCGATCATATTTCAATTTGAATAACCTTTCAATTTTTCGCACAATACTCGTTTCTGTTGATTACGATCATTATCGTCAGCAACGGGGAGATTTTTGAATTAGCAAATATTAGAATCGGAAAAAATGTTTTGAATTTTGGTTTTGGTTTTGGTTGTGATTTCAAATTAGGTCCAATGTGGCTTAAACCTTCTGCAACTTAACAATCAAAATCGACCAACTGACCTTATCTTTAACGAATTAGCATTACCTAATCTAGCTTGACTTTTTTGCGGAAAAAATGTTATCAAAGACGGAAGATCATTTGCGCACAGTGATGAATAAAAACCAAAATGCAGGAACCATAAAATTATGCTTTTGTTTTTCTTCGTCTTCTTCTTCTTCTTTCGAGGAGTGGTTTTAAAATAGCTTTTAATTTGACATGAAACATGATAAAATTATCCATTAGCAAATGAGTCGAGTTTGTGCTGTGTGCATGGAATAAATCATCTCTTTGAAATGCACAAAAAAAAACACACACACATGATTTATAAACGCCGAGTATGTTTGTTTTTTTCTCTCTCTTCTACTTCAATGGAACGAATTAGTCACTTCTAATCGTTTTAATCAAATGATGGTTAAATGCGGTGTATACCATTTGCGCGCGCGCATAAACACAAAGTTCATGGGATTTAAGTATGAGCAATTTATATATTTAAAGTGTAAAAGGTTGGTTATTTTTCTTCTATCTCTCTCTGTTTATCAGCTCTTCAAGCCCCCAGTTTAGCCTATGGGTATATCTTGGCATGAAATTTAAAGAAAAAAAAACATATTTCCCATAAAATAAATGTACACATTGGAGTCGAGTGAAATAAAAATGCTGTGTGTTTCATGCCATATTGATACACAGGTTCATTCCATGCGATCAATCGATGATGCGCTTCACTCAGAAAAGTAAACTTGAAGTATATGAGCACCATTTACTGCCAACGGAATAATCACATGTGAAGAAACATCATGTTTCCACGAATGATCCATGATCAATGTGTAGTACGAGTCGAGATCGATTGCATAAATTAATAAAATTTGTTTAACAAAATTGTGTGCAATCCAACAGCATTTTGATTGGTTTTGTTGTGTTTATTTCAATGATTTAAGTGTGTCTCTTGGAATTTTTTTTTCGATTCGATTTACAATTTCCCACGGCATCGACAACAAAAGGCCGAATTGTATGGCGAATGTTCTTTTCCACATATTGCAAACCATATGCCTGTTTTCTTTTTAGGGCAGCGTTTCGGATTCGTGTGTTTGAATCGGTTCCAATTATTTCTGTTTCGAATGGTTTCTTTCTGTAAAAAAAAATCTAGAATATGTGAGGGATATCAGAACACCTTTCATTTTGGCAATCAGCTGTTGATACAAATCAGCCATATGATATTTAGCATTCATCATTAAATGTAATTTGGTGAGTTACCACCATTTTCCTTGCACCAACCAGTTTGAACGAAGTGGCAAAAAAATCTCGCCGATAATTGAAATGAAAGCAAAAGTGGTTTTATACGGTGCGCGCGCGCATACTCTTTCGTGCAAAAATTCATTTAAAGACCCGAGTGTAGAAGCGAAAAAAGGCGATCAGACAGTAGTAGCGCAAGGTCAGTGGAACAAGTAAAAAGAAAACCGATTTTGTGGTTGCATGTTCAGTCACACACAATCGAAAAATATTTCTGGTTGCTTTCGAAAATTGAGACAAAAAAAAAGAGCAGAAACAGAGAGCAGACGGAATAAGTTGTGCGTGAACACACGGTGAGAAATTGACGACTAGCAACAAAGTGGACGGAATGGCACACGATAACGACAAAAACGACCGGTACATCAGACGAAAAAGAAGGCAAAAACACAGAAACAAAGACAGAGAAAGAGAGAGAGACAGCGAGATGAAAGTGAAATTCAGTTGAATAAAAACCGTGCAATATAATCTACGGCAGTCAGTCAATGTGACGCGTAGATGATATAATAGCATGGAACCGGTTCAATATGTGATTTCATGATTTGCATTTCAATCCAACGATTTTCAAGTCAATCCACTTGGACATTGTTTACATGTGGCGGTAGAGTGCATGCACATGCACAATCCGATCATATCAATCATTTTCATTAAACTCGGCGAAAAGTCAACGAATTTCACATTTGCAACGATGCGTTACAGAAAAAAAAGCGTTGAAACTCTTGTATATCAAAGAGTGCGACAACAACAGCATCTAAATACAAATGGAGCACATGTGGCTGGTTTGGTTTGGGATTAAGTAAATGCGTTTTTTATTGTAAGAGATACAATGAACAAACAAAAAACAGAGCAAATAGATTTTTTTTCTGGTTGCCGGAACAGTAGTTGAGTACGAAACGTTCAGCATTGAACGCGAATTGTGACCGAACAATGAATTCGATTTAGCGAGCCCATTAACCAGATTAATTCAAGTGAATGATGCTTATGCATCGAAATTGAATAAATGCCATGTGGCGAATAACAATCACCATAATTATATCATGCAGAATTAAAATTAATTATCTCGCTTTTGCGACGAAAACGCGCTAAATATTTTCAATCAATCATCACAAGCGCATGGCAGTGTAATGACTGTATTAGCGCCAAAGTGTTTTTTTTTCTTCATCGTTTTTATTGTGAAATATAATTAATTGGCTAAACGCATTTTGACTGTCCAAATGTGTGTTTTTAAAGCAATTTTAAATGTTGCCAACCATAAATTTTTCGGGTGGAAATTTATGAGAGCCAGTTATCGAAATAAAAACTACATGAGTTCGATGCTGTGATCTGTGAACAGGCATTAATTATAATTTTATTATATTTATGCGTGGAACTGCGAGGCACAAGAGCTAATTTGAACTTTTGCCCAATTTTTTTTTTGTTTCCAGTTTTGTTTGAATGATTTTCGCATTAAAATGCGTTTTATTTTGAAAGAGAAACAGAAGTTTCTTCATTGTCTTACGTGTCTCGATTTGACGATTGAAAGAAAGATGGAGAGAAAGAGAGAAAAAAGCCGGCGCTGAAACAACAAAAGCCTCTCGTTAAATAGATAACAACGAACAACAGCTGACTATATCTCATTTCAAATGCGCGTTTAACATTTTGCATCGGTTTTTATATGCTGCTCTTCCATTCGTAAAACGGTCTGCGGTATGTGAAAACGAATGGTATAGAATGGAGAGACGGTCAAACGGCGAATTGACGCATTTAATAAATTGGATGCTTGACATCTATAAACGCCTATTGATCATATTGTATTGCATTGCATTGTGACCGATCAAGTTCATCCACGTATGGATAATATGCAAATTGTGTTATGCTGTGGATAAATGACTCATATCGCGCGTGCGGTCGCTCGCTTTTTCGATCATTCGTTCGTTTGCTCGTCCGCCCATTCAATTCGATTCGGTGAAACTTTCCAGCGGCCAACGTTATTTATCACTGTAACAAATGCATGAATATTTATTGTTGTTTTTCCTTCGCCGAACTACATCTTTCAAATAGGTTTCCGTGTCAATCGCAAGGTCAATATTTTAAGCACCGTAAGTGCTCAACTAAATGTAAAAGAATTTAATGACCAAAATACGGAAAAAAATTATCACCGAAAAATCATCTAATCTTATTAAAAGTTATGTCAGTTGCAACGCATTTTACGGAAATCACTAGACAAAAATGACCATTTTTATGCGACTGGATTACAGACGTCTGTAGAAAAAAACGATCTCCATCAAACGTATCATATTGGCGGCAAATATACCAAGCTGCTATCTATTCAATAATAACGATTATGATGGGCGGCACGCCATGGTGATTATGTAAAACCTGTTACAGTTTTTCAATTTGAAGGTCAATTCAATTGGATTGGATAGTAATTTATTTATTATGCTTTTACGGTATACTATTTCCTTTGTCTGTGTTTGCTGAAATTGATATTCACTGGGCCTTAAAGATGAAGAGAGCAAGATATAGATCACGAAGAGATCGTTGCCAAATGGAAATGTATCACCGCGAAGTTTGTTTTCTTTTTTTTTCTTTTTTGAAATATCATGCGCTTTGTGTTTATGCAGACAGACAAGAGCTCTTGAGCGATTTAGTAATTGATTAATGAGAGTGACGGATTGTTAGGCCGCATCTCATACACACCCGATTGAATTAAACACACATTGATGTAGGTTTCATAAGTGTTGCCGCGATCTGCTGCCGAAATCAAAAGCACTTTGCTGAACCGCGTGCACTAATGTATCTGTGCAATGATCTGCCACAATAAAAACAACAACAACAAATTTAACAACGACAATTCAGCTATTCGTTGCGACCGAGTACCGAGATCATTTTTTGTTATTTGGCTTGCTTCGATTTGATTTATATGCGTGTTTAAATTGAAAACATCTGTTTTAATGGGCGATTCGGTGAGTATAAGCTGCGCCAGGCCGCAAAGATCAATCGATCGTTGGTTCTCTTGTTATTTGTCTGGTTGTTTCCTTCGGGTTGAGCTCATTATTTTTTAAGCGCGATTTAAAGGTCATGTGGCATTTTGAATCTTCGTCGTCGCCGTCGCCGTCGGCAACTGCACATTTATTGAATTGGTTTTCGCTATTGGTAGCCACAACACATGGCGCAGTTTAAAATCATATTTCACCATTGTACCGCAAATTCCAAAATCAATGCGACCACATGATAAAATGTCATACATTTTTTGTTCCAAACCAAAAATCGCGCTACCATAAAGCCTTCAGCCGTTTGATTGATGATGTGTGATTTGCAATGGGCAATTTTCGATAATTTAAATGCTATTTTGGAAATGTGTTAACACATCACATAACAGGACACATGTGATGGACGCCACCATACACATGTGATGGACGCCAGAACACAGCCGTCGATTGATAGACATATATGAGTTGAGTTTATTCCACTGTGTTATGAATGGTCGACATTTCCGTCGTTTGTTTGCTTTTTTCTCAATGGATAATGCATAAACTTCGCAGATAAAAAAAAAACTGATTAGCGTTATCTTTTTTTTCGATAAACCCAATAAGAAGCGCCTTTTATGTTATGAATAATAGCATCACACCATCGATCATTAGCTCGTTAAAAGTGAATAGATGTTGTGAATTTTTTATCGCTTTAATTTTGTCGATAATCCCATCGAGCTGCTATCACAATGACTCATTTATGGAATTCGGTATTAACATTGCCTTGGGCACGCTTTACACATTAAGTATGATTGTTTGTATTTGATTTTTTTGTATTCATCTCGAAGCAAGGGAAATAGTAAAGGATGCATCTCATAATCGAATTGAATTGATGATGTGAAAAAAATCAACCGCTGCTTATTGGCTTTTATGCCGAACTACACACATTTCAAAACAACAAAGACCATTGTGAATATACATAAACCAGCGAACATCAGCAGCCGTTTAAAATTCAAACATTTAAAGATATGTTTCCATTCACAAATAACAAACGCCTGAATTTATGTGATTCGTTTCGATTTAAATATATTCTATATTTATTTTCGTCAATAAACCAGATAACACTATGAAATTTCATGTGAAGTGTCAATGACATTGTCCTTTATCATTCAACATTACAACAAAAAATATGACAGATGTCTACGATGTCTGAATGTGATAATAAAACTATCAATGAACAAATTATGGAAAAAGTATGACATTTTGTAATAATAACACAACGTTTTATTTCTATACTAAGAAACATAATATACTTATTCGAAGAAAAATTATTTTAATTGCAATTCATTGAAAAATGACAGAAAAATGGTCGTTTTTATAGAATGATATGAATTTGATGAATTTTCGTCGAGGGGCAAACCACTAAAAAGTAATTTCTAATAAAGTAGAAGAATGAACATAATATGTAAGTAATTTTTAAACAACAAATTACTTTTAGTATAAAAAAAAGTAATTTTTAGTATAACTGTCACATCCTAATATATCGGTGCATTGAAAAAATATGTTAGTTCAATGTCATTGTCATACATAAATGACTTTTGGTAAAAAGCAAATGGGCCATATTCAGTAAGTAAGCTGCGTATAGGATTCATAGAGGCGCCATCTATCGCTGCGCTTTCGAACTCTTATGTATTCCATTGACTTCAATGATATATTGGGGAAAGATAGTGGCGCCACGCTTTATTCTCATGCTTTATTCGTGAAGTTTTAGAAGAAAGTTCATACGCTGTCATCAATGTATTTACATTGGTTGTATGGTCCCATTGGTAAAAAGTAATTTGTAATTTGCCTACTAAATAGACTAGGTAATAGAAAGTAATTTTGAAGTAGTATGGAAGTAATTTGTAAAGTGATTTGCCCCTCGTTTTTCGTAGCAGATGAAAGGATTGAGCACATGTGCGAGCACTCAATATTCAGTTTTGACGTTAAACGCCACAAGCACATTTCGTCGCATGTTCATTTGTTCCATGACACACGATTGGAACTGGTACCGCGAACGTTAGTTTAGATTGTCCTGATGACGAAACGTGCCATTGTTTTCGATTCGGTGACCATTTAGCTTTATGGAAATCATTTTTAGCCGTGAAGGTTCTACAAAAATTTGATCAGAACAAATCATGTATGCGAAGTTCTTGGAAAATAGCCAAGTCTGTTCATATGTCCCCTTAGCGCAGTGGAAGCGCGTTGGACTTCGAATCCAGAGGTCGTCGGTTCGATCCCGGCAGGGGATGCGCGTTTTTTTTTCTATTTTCTCTTTATTTAATTTGGCAATAAAATCTGCATACATCCGGTGACAAAATGCCACTCACTGCACTGATGTTACAAATTGAGCCAAAAAAGTTAAAGTATCGACCATTTGATGTTAAAAACCATTAATTTGCCTTTTTATTATTAGTCATAACATTATAAAAAATCGTAATGACAATTTTAAAATAAAGAGTGTCAAAATCAGAAAAAAATATTCGACCAAGATGGGACTCGAACCCACAATCTCTGGATCCGAAGTCCAGCGCGTTAGCCATTACGCTACTCGGCCGGTGATGTTTGAATGGAAACTTTACAATTTCGATCCCGGCAGGGGATGCTTTTTTTAATTCGGCAATAGAATCTACATAAATCATTTTATACGTGCAATCATTTTATCGCATGCTACTTGCTACCTCATTAATTATCTTTCTGATCAAAACTGTTTCTCTTTAGTTTTGTTTTTTTTTTAATTCAAACGAATATAGTTCTCTCTGTAAAATAGAAGGAATTATTCGACTTTTATTTAGGTGCTCTGAAACAAACAATTCAAATTTAATGTGTTTATCGGTGATAACATACCACTCACTACACTGATACCGCAAATAAATACATAGAATGTATCATGGTCTGTATGGAAATTGCAAAATGAGGAATGACGAAATAAAAAAAATATTCGACCAAGATGGGACTCGAACCCACAATCTCTGGATCCGAAGTCCAGCGCGTTAGCCATTACGCTACTCGGCCGTTGATGTTTATATGGAAACTGTATAATTTGGACATTCTCCGTACGTTTATCGCTGAAAAAAGATCCATTCTTGCTAAGCAATCGGGCCGCTTGGTAGAGAGTAAAATCAAAGTGAAGCGAAATACAATTGAAAAATCGGCGCATGATTTGGTCGCATTTCGGTAAAATAAAACAGAACGACATTCTAAGAATGTATATTGGCATTTATATTTGTTAAAATGACTTTGCAACAATAAAGGTAAACACGCAAATGATCCAATCTGTACTACTACGATGATTTGTTGTTTGTGTGTACGCCAGTTTTGGCGAAACTTCAAAAGCAACAAAATCAACATTGTTCGAAATGTTCTCTCGGTATGGATAGGAAGACATAAGACGAACAGAGAGACGCCATCTACTACGCTAGAGTACTTTACTGCAGCCGCCTTTCCATGAAATACATTGAACGTTTTAGTTCAAACAAAGCCCTTGTGAGCATCGATGCTAAATTTAAAAAACAATTTCGAAATAAAAAAAAAATTGAAAAAGAAAAGTTGAACATTGTCCATCCACTATCTTTTTTTATCTACAATTTTATTTCATTCCAAATTTCAAAATGGTTTTCAAAAAAAAAAACATTAAATCCATACAAATTTAACCGTTTGTTCGTATAAAGCGCCGCCACTCATATTCAACGCATCTAGTACGTTATTTCTACTTTATGGCGTCGACGCCATGTTTAATTTGACTCTTCAGGTCATTCTCGTTGGGCAAAAAAACAGTGTAAGATCGATGCCGCTTCTATGCATTACATACTGAATCAATCGTATATATTCTTTTCGACGACGACGACGACAACAACACACCGCCGCGCAACAAACGACGAAAGTGAAAAAGGTGCAGAAAATCCAAGCAATCGTCAAAAATTACACCGTAAACGCATTAACGACGAGAAAAGCAATTAAAAATAATTTGGTGGTGAACAATAAAAACGTGGTACATTGTGAGACGGTGTTTTCAGTAGACGGAGAGAGAAAAAAATTCTATATATATGTGTCGCAAATCCAATACGAAAAAAAGTCGAAACGAAACCGGTAAATCGATTTAGCGAACAATATTTTGTTAATTCGCCCAGAACTGACGGTATTTTTCACCTGAGACGAGCATCAAAATTTCCCATAAATCGTGCGAAACATAGACATTTTGTGAATGTATTTATTAGCGACGATAGTTACGTGAAAAGACAAAAACGTAGAACCTAAAGAAAATAAGAAGAAGAAGAAGACCGAATCCAAAATGGATAACGAGAATGGTACAGCAGTAGTAGTAGCGGCAGCAGCAGCAGTGACTACCACAAAAGGTATTGCGCTTATTTTACAACATGTTTTTTTTTTGCCAGTTTCAGTTTCATGCGATTTTACATTCACATTTCTACAACGCTGGCCACCGAATTCAATAGAATCCGAGCGAAATACACCATTTATAGGTTGTGTTTAGATATACAAAGTGACAAATTACGAACCGGAACTTTTTTCCCTACGTTTTAACGACAACGACGACGGCGGTGGCCTAAAGACAATGAGAGCTCCAGAAATCATAAAGTATTTGTTGTTGTTTTCATTTTCGTTTCGATACGGTTCTATTCTGTTCCAAGAACACACGCACAATCCATGTGTTTTACGGTACGGCCGATTGTAGTAATCAATGTCTGCTGTCTCTCTTTGTCCTAATGACTTGTGTCGATTGAGAGTTTAGTCGCTTCATCCAACCACAATATTTTTCCATTTTGATATCGATTTTTTCCGCTCTTCGCAAACAAAAACACATATTATAGTGTTGTTTATACAAAAATGTACCGGAAAAATAATGATCACAACCGGGCGCGCGTTTTTTTTTGCTTCTTCTTCTCTTCTTTGATTTTCAATCATTCTCCGCTCGGTACGAAAACAAATACATGCTTGTTATAGTGAACGCATATACACGTGTACGTGCATGTGTGTGTTTCAGACGGTCATCCATGCGGTAACGGAAAACAATGTGTAAAATAAATGAGTTTAGATATGTTTAGATTTTCTTCTTTTCAATTTTCAAAGATTTTTACAATATTTGGTATTAACTTGGTATTTTTTTCTGTTCTTTTCCGGCCAAAGTTGATGAGCCAAAAACCGCCGAAATAACGGCCTCAACAAAAACAGATGCAATCGACACACCGATAGTGGAAACCGTGAAAAATGCCGAAGTTGCACGTTTGGATGCAAAATTGGTTGAGGCCGCTGTAAAAACCGACGAATTAAAGGCATTGAACACAAATTCAACGTCAAAAGATGTGACGACGGCGGAAGTTAACAAAACAACCACCACAGTTACAGTGAATGTAACGCAAACAAAAGTCACAGTTGGCGATGTAGTGGACAAGGGCCAGGGAATTGGTGAAGTTGTATCGACGGTATCGAGTATAGCCGAGGCTGCGGTAGGTGCAATCGAACACGAACTGAAGAAACCAGCAGAAACGGCCGAAGCCAATTCAGTCGACGTCGATGCTGATGTTGAAATGGTTGATGCGGATGCGGTTGCGGATTGTGAAATGAAAGATGTGTCTTTGGTTGAAGAACAGCCACAAATTGTGACGACTACAACCACCACAGCGATTGCCGGCAACAGTAAAACAAAATCCGCTGAAGCCGATTCAGTGAATTCAAGCAGCAGCACGGTTGCGACAGTAGAAAGCACTGCTTCTGCAGCAGCAGCAGCACCCACTGCAACTAACGAGGCAGAACAGAAGATTGATGATGTCGAAAAGAACATTAGTAATTTGTTCAATGGTGGTGATGATAATGTCGTTTCCACCAACGATAAATCGAGCGATGACCCATCAAAAGATGAACACTCGTCGTCACAAGTTGCCAGTTCACAAAGCGACAGCATTTTATTGAACAATGGCACCGATGGTTCGGCCAAAGAAACAAAATCACGACATGACGCAATCAAAGACAATAATGACCTTGTCTCGATACTAGCTGGAAACGACAAGCCGGACGAGAACATATCCAGCAGCAGTGCACAAAAACAAATGGCAACCAGCGACAAAGATGCGAAATCGATTATGTCACCGAAAAGTCAGATTACATCGAGTAGCAGCACACCGGGAAAGTCTACGACAGCACAATCGAATGTTGTGAACAACAGTACGCCGGTGCCGACAACTCAAAAGCAATCCGTAATCTCATCGGAAAAGGTGGTTAGCACAGCCATCGATGCTGAACAAGGTCTTGGCGGCAAAGCGTCACGACAAGAAATCATTTCATCTCTTTCGAGTACAATCAAAGAGGAATCGTCATCGGATCTTTCATCAACTGTTTCAGGTTGGCTTTCTAAACATCTCAAACAGAGACTTTTCGTAGTCGACATTTCGATGCATTCATTTTGAAACATTTTTTCTTCTTTCTCTCTAACACACATAAATAGGTAGTGAATCATCGAGCGACAACCTAAAAAAACGAACAAGCCTCAATGGTTTGTCCGACGAAGCCGATGCTGCTGCTGCATCAAGTGGTGGCAAACAAGAAAGTCCGGTGAGTGGTGTCGGAAAGAGTGCGCCGAAAGAAGAATCAGCTAAAATTGATTCGTCAGTCAGTGCAACACCAAAAACTCCCATCACACCCAAAGTTTTGCCCGAACAAAGCATCTTCAATGTGAACATTTGCTACGATAACTTGGAATTGGTTAGCTTCAATGTGGAAAAGCAGGACACAAACAAAACTGGCACACAGAACAACAGTTCAACACCTTCATCGTCCGAAGCTGTGTCGTCGCCGCAGAAAACACAACAAGAAGTCAAAGGCGCTGTAGCCCTTTGCACATTCATCATTGATCATTTCGAAAAGGTAAGCTAGACTTCCCGAATGGGAGTGTTCATTTTCAATGCATTCAGTCATTTGGAATAACAATATTCACATCCGCATTTTTATGCACAGCTCCGGACAAAGTTGACCGGCAATGTTGACACTCACAAAACACCAGCAACAAGTGGTCGTGGCCGTGGCAAAAATGCAAATGCTGAGCCAACAACACCGTCAGTAACAAGCACGGCATCGAAACGGAAGCGTGGTGCCATCGCCACGCTAGAGTCACCAGCAGCACTCAATGACACGGCCGATTCGGAGGCGCAACCAAAGTCAGCTAAAAAGGCTAAGAAAGAGCCGGCCACTCCAAAAACTCCCGCAATCGCCGCCGAATCCGAATACCCAGAAAAAGCGGTACTCGCACGATGGGTAGACAAGAAATTTTACGCGGGTCGTGTAATTGAACAGAAACCAAACAACAAGTACGTTGTTTTATTTGAGGATGGCGCAAAGAAGACACTGCCTGAGGAACACATTCTGTTTGGCAAGGAGAACAATATTTTGCCATTGGTCAATGAAAATGTGCACGCACTGGTCGAAAATGAGACATACGAACCGGGCAATGTTCAGTCGGTGGAAACGAAGGACGATGGCGGCGTTTACTACACGGTGCTTTGTGAATCGACAACGGTTACAGTGACTGCGTCCGATATTTACTTGGAAGAGGAACAGGCCAAAGTGATTCTATCAAAGCATGCATCAAATAATCCAGAGCCAGGCTTCTCCGGTGGCCTCAACACCCGAAAAGATCGACGCAACAAGAGGTACTCATAAGCAGATTTTAATTTTCATTATACAAATTAATGTCACATCCTTTTCTTTTTCAAACGAAAGAAGAAAAAACACACACAGACAGGAAACAGAAACAGAAACTGAAACAGAAACGGAAAAAAATCCATTTTGCACGTAACGTTTGTTCACGTTATTCCAATTTATTGTCATCGAACAATCTTTTTTTGTATTGCTCTCGGACAGCTATTGTCTCCCCTTCCTGTATCCATCACTCTCTTTCTCTCTCTCTCTCTAAATTCTCTTTTTATTCACACCGCATTCACTCTTTCCCAAGTGATGTGTGGCTTATAACATTCAGGGAGATCAATATTGATAGGGCATATACATTGTACATTGTACGTTGTACAGTTGAGTTTGAGTCTGGGAACATACGTTCATTCATCTTTATTGAAAAAAAGGCAGAATTCAATTTCAGTAGAACAAGGTTAGCTTCATCAGGAAATAGAAAGAGATTTTCATTTGTCAAGATCTGAACAATATTAACTGCATAAATAAAGTATTGGTGTTAAAAGCGTAATAAACGAAAACAGACAGATATTCAATTTTCAGCCAAAACAAAATTTTGTCGGAATAGACCATTTTTACCTCTAAAATTCCAACTCCGTTCTCTGTATTTTGAAGAATAAACAAAATAATTTTCCAAAATATAACTATATATTTCAACACATGATTGTCTCAAGATCGTCGACTGAAGGGCAAATGGCTGGATGGCTGCAAACGCGACTCAATTTCATAACATCGGCAATGGCAAAAAATTCTTCAGTGAACAAACCATCTCCACCGAAAATGGCTGCAAACCAGCAAAATCGCCTGAATCAAACCGTTTGAATCGTGGCGCATCAATCTGAGCCGATTTTAAAATTTCATTCCTCCTGACACGAAACTCAATCTGCATTGACCAGCAAACAACGAGTCTATTTGCACTTCTCTTTTTCCTTTTCAATTTTTCTACATAGCATAAGTCTGAGTTCTCCCCCGCCCACTCTATTCTTATAGTATTATATGTATGCGACCAAAGTCATTTTTGTTTGCATTCTATGAAATTGAATTGAAAATGTTCCAATAAATTTTTTTTATGTCGTCGTGTCATTTGTTCATTTTTTGTTATTTCCAACACACATTCAAGTATGTATTCTATATGCATATATCATTAAATCAATACAATACAATAAAATGGAACTGCAAATTATTGAATGAACACAAATGCACGCCAAAAACAATTTTTAAAAACAAGTTCCACACAACTTTCAATTTTAAAGTAAAGTGAATTACATAATCGTAATGTAATTTTTATGCATATAACAAAAGAAAAAGAAGATATATATTAAATGGAATTAAAGCGTTAAATCAAGCAAACACAAGATGAAGAATAGAAAAACAGCTCCCAAACAGACCAACTACATTTGGAATTGGTTCATTGGATTGACATTACAAACGATGCAAAATGTTTCTCGAAAATGATGTACGATTTAGTAAAACGTTGAGAAAAACAAAATATAACCATAATTATAATAATGTACAATGAATCTCGTGATAACGTACTGATTGGATCACCTCCTCTGAATAATGGAAATTAAAACAAATTTTAATTGGAATTTCTTTTTAAATGAACTAAATAAGCTAACAATTTATCAATTTTATCGGCTTTATTATGCCACCGCATATTATGAGATGTGCGCACGACGAGATTCATTGTACACCAATTGTGGAATTAGATGTTAAAAAATCCAATAAAATGACATTTAAAACAAACATTTAAAATTAGTAATTACCGCCATTTTATACATGCAACAGCTATATAACGAATGGCGGTGCCATCCATCGTAAAACAGTAAATTCCAATTTCTTTTTTTTCTATTCGATAAATGCAAATGAAATACAAAAACAAAATACAAATATCCACAAAAGTCGAATGACACTTTTGATATTTTGGAGGATTGTTAAGCTCTCGATTTACTCGATGGAATGAAGAAACACAGAAAAACCTATTAACTAAGGAATAAGATCATGCGAATAATAGAATCAATCACTAAACACATTTTTTTGTCTATTAATTAAAAATACAAATAAAAAAATATGAAATAAAATTAAACACAAAAAAAAAACATCATTATCTACTGTCATATCGGGTAATTTGATTGCACATATGTAGATTGGCTTTGAATATACTATATAATTAAGCATTAGATATTATTCTGGGCCTTATTTTAGAATTTGTGATCATGTGGATTAGCAGATGGTTCAAATTTGCTTCTTTGAATGGTAGTCATTCTTCTTACGTCGCTTAAGTAAAGAATTGAACCGCAAATTGTGCGAACGCCAATCAAACATCGTCCTCTGCATTCGTCGATAATCGTTGTCGTTGTCGTTGTCATTGTTGTTGTTGTTGTTGTTGCTCGAACCGAAGAATATTAGGTTTATCTTTTTTTTTTCTGTTTGAGCTAGGCGCGGTGATATTGGTTTTTTTTGTTCAATTTCGTTTTTTTTTTTTTCATTGATTTGTCTTTATTTCACCAATGCTCTTCTCATGATTTTTTCTCTCTTTTTCCATGTGTGTCTCTCTGATTCTTGTCACGCGCGCGCGCGCTCTCTCACTCCCTCACTCATGCACACTCAGAGCGGAAAGTAATCGTCACGTGCAATGGTTTTCTGAAAGCGATGTATCCGATATTAATGAATCGGATTCACGGCCAGCCAGTCCTGTAACGGTATTAGAAGCGGTTGATGGTGTTCAACCCGAACTTCAGCATACTCAAAAAGAATCTGAACTTGTCAGTAAGTTTCGTCACATCAATGTTCTACAAAAAATATGCTTGCAATTTTTATTTCCAATCTTTCTTTTGTTTTTAACTTTTTAATTTTTACGATTTTATGAACTCAAGCAATTTCGTTTTCAATTATCCGCGATTTTTTCATTTTGAGAGCGCGCATACGCACACACACACACAAACACACAACTCATTCACACTGACACACTTTTTTCTCGATTTTTTTTTTTCCATCTTTTTCTTGTTCTCGTCGGCGATGTTTGATTGGGGTTTGGTTGAATTGTAAAAGGAATTTGCTATTTGATGGAACGGTTCGGCAACGATTTTAGAAAGGTCAATTTGGACAATGTTTTGGGGCCCATCATAAAATCAAATATTCTGAAAAATAAAAGTTTCCTGCTCACCTGCACGATTCCCATTAAGACGGTGACGACAAATGGCACCACCAATGGAACAGGCAACGAACGGCAAGTATGTATTTTCATTAAGGTTTTTCTGTTTTCTTCTGAAATTCTTTCTTGTCTGTCTGTCTCCATAACGGAGGATGAATCGCAATTTTGATGTTGATTTTTGCTTATGATCTCTGAAATAGAATGTTCGAAGCAACGGGTATGATTTGAATAGTAAAAATACAGTCTTCTCATCGGTGCCATTTTTTAAGGACTATCTGAAGCAACAGATTGAAGCGGCCGGTGGAAATGTTTATAGTAATTTTGAAAATATTCCATCAAACAAGTATCGCACTTGCTTCCTATTGGCACCTTTCCCATGCATTACGGCTAAATATGTGCAGTGTTTGGCGGCAAACATAACGGTAAGTTTTGGATTAAGGTGAAATTAACTTACATAGAAACGAAAATCGATTTTAATGCAACGAATTGTCGGAATTTGATAGGCTGTGTCACACGAATGGATCGTCGATAGTTGCCAACGCAACAAGCTATTGAACAAAGATGACTATGTGCTGCCGTCCGGATGGTCAATCATCGAAAACAAATACAAACCATGGTCGATGGGACGGGGTCGTGACACACGTAAAAATGCATTCAGCAAAACTACAATCATCATCACCAGTCAACAAACTGATTTCGTGGAGTTTTGGAGTCGTGTGTGCAAATCGGCCGGCGCGAAAATCCGTTTGGTCAAATCGACGACCGATCTAACCGCTACGACAAAGGGCTACATTTTACTTGACGACGAATTTCCGCCTGAATATCAAAGCCGAGCCGAACGCTTCCACATTCCGATCGTGTCAACGGTATGGGTCATTCAATCGCTTATCCTTGGCAAAATATGCGATCCCAACGCTCATGCAAAACTCACACAACTGTACGAAGACGATATATATTAGACTATCATTTTTTATTATTATTATTACTATTATTACGAATGAAAATTCAAAAAAAAGCAAATTTGTTACATTTTGTACAGAAAATATCGCTACGATGAACTAGAAATGAACTAGAGTCGATCACATCGAACAATGAAGAAAACGTAGACTATACATAAAATATTGAAATAATGTACAAAAACAAATCAAAGAAATCACGTTACTTGGTTTTTTAAAAAAAAACATATAAGACAACACAAACGCTATCGTACCTAATGTTATTTACTGTTAGTTTGACGAGTTTACTCAATTTATTATAGCAAACACACAATTTTGATGTCATATTGATAAAATGACAGAAAAAAAAACGAACAACCCTAGAAAATTGTATAAACATATTCGAATTGACCAACAACACGGTGCATCTTTTTGCAGCCGGTTTTTTGTTTTGATTTTGTAGATAAAATGGAAATGACAAATGCAAAATGAAATAAATGTATTGGAAGGAAAGAAAATTGAATGAAATGAAATTGAAAATAAATGGAGAAGAAGACGACGATTTGAATGAAACTTTTTACTCGTTTTTATTCGCCTTCTTGTTGAACGTCTAAATTCAAAATGTATACAATTTGAAAGAAACTCAGTTGGTTTTCTAAAGATGTCACCAGTTTATGTGTGGATGATTGTTCCGTTGATTTGTTTGTTTTTGTTGTTGTATGCAGTTTCCATGCATCGCACGCTTGTTAGCGTCATCTGTTGAAATTACTATCACTGCGTTCGGATGCGGTCTAGTCAGTCCAGTTCAAACATTTGAAATTCAATTTGATTCAAAATTCGTTTCCGTTAAATCGTTGAATTCTTATCGGTTGAGTGAAAAATGCGGATAATGAATATTTCATGTAATTCATATTAACATTCGATTTTAACTCAGCCTTTTTACTATTATTAAATTCAAGGCGAAAGAAACACAACAAACGTAAGTATGAATCGAATGCAAATTGATTCGACACTGCAACGGATATAAAATTAATTGACGATTTTCATTCGATTGTCTTTCAACTGATCGTTGTATGAAAAGAAAGCAAGAAAGAAAATAACGAATACTTCATCATTTTCGAGTATTATTTCTTCAACCAATCTTTATTTTGATATTTACTTATTTTGTACGTATTAAATAGGAAAATACATAATAAAATAAATTCATTTCTAAATCTAAATGCGATACAATAGATGAATCATTATGTGCAGTACAAAATTTAATTCTATCATGAATAATTTAATGACAATCGAATGGTTTCTCTTTTCTCTTATTACATACGTTTTGTTTTGTTGTGCTTGAAAATATCTCCTTATTTGTTTGGTATTCTTTTATGCCACATATTTTGGCTTCCATTTACACATTTACTACAAACTGGTTGCATATTTTGGTGTGTTGAAAAAGTGTCTATTACGGATATGTTTCAGTTGCTATCACCACAAAATATTGTATAAAAAATTATTCTCGTCGCTTTGGAAAATAAATGAAAAGTCGACGATCCCTTTTTGATTAATTCGAAAGTGTTGCTTATAGTATTATCGTCATGCTTTTTTACACTGTCTATTTTAACTAATTGGCAATTCTTTTTTTTTTCATGCCTTGCTTACTTCTTCTGTGTGATTTTCGGGCATATTTGTGGAACAATTACAGTTGGCTATCACCGCGTTGAAATTAAGGTTTTTTTTTTTTGCATGGATTCTATCGCTTATTGAGTTTGAAATAAAGTGTGAATATGGTTAGGATGTGCATTGTAATGATAACACCGCTCATAAGACAAATATTGTGATATGTCTCAAAGCCGTTGATGCTGACCTCGCGTAGAAATACCGCGGGCTTACGGAAATGGCAGTAGTTGAATTTGGTGTCTGGTGGACACCATAAATCAGATCGATTCATACCGTAAACGGTATCGAGGACACCATGAAAACCAGCACGGAAATAGCTAATGTGCCACATCCATTGGAACATTCGATTAATGTCAACGTATCGCGTACAGAATCCAAACACCGAAAATAATACCGCCAATATTGGACCGATGAAAACAGCAATCTGAAATGTTTTGAAAAATCGAATTTCGACGATTCAGAATGGAAAGATGGCAGTCAGAATCTCTTTGATTTGATGTAACTTTAAACTCACCTTGATTGGCATCGTTGAACCGATAAAGAAGCCCCACGATTGTGCCGAGATTGTTGCCAATAGACACATTATGGTGAAAATAATGAAACGATGCGGTTCACCAGCCACATAGTTCCCGGTCAAAAAGTAACTGCCGCACACATACAAAAATGTGCAGAATAGCTAAAAATCGAAAATGGTTTTATTACATTTTTATGGTTACTCTCAGACTGTGTGTGTGACAGTTAGAGAAAACACTCACTTGGAATGGTATTTCGAACAATATGATGGAAAAGTAGTATGGAATTAAATTGTACCATCGATTAAAATGCTCGCGCCGGAGCGTTTCCATCTCGAGTGGAACTAGAAAAGTAAACAAATTGATTTAGTGAATATTTTGTCCGAAGTGAACACTTTGAAGATAGAAAATTCGCGAATAAAAATATCCACTTACAAGACAACACGACCGACATTTTCCCCGTATAAATAATGAGCAAGATGGAACCATAGAGATAGACGTAGTTTCCGAATGTGTGGGTGGCATCATAGCCTACGTTATGATAGAGATAGCCAAACATTGGAGCGATGCACAAGTGCGAGAGAATTCGAGCGTAAATCAAAAACTGGAATGGAAAATGAATAACGACCGATTAACAAAGGTTCAATCGGGGTTTTTTTTGTCATCGCAAGTCAGTACTGGCTCGCACAAATTCATACAAACTCGCGAGTCCTACCACAGAAAGTACAGAGTCAAAAAACAAATCTACGAATCAACGAAAGTCAGTCATTTTTTTTTTTTAAGAAATAGTGACTCGCTAGCTCATATGATAGACTCGCATAGTTGCCCACATTTTTCGTATTGACTCGTGAGACTCGTATGACACATAAGCCCCTTGGATTCAATGAGAATCACAAATTTCATGTCTTTCTACTTACTGCATTCCTTATGCTGGCTTTGAAATTCCGATCAAAGAGTACTAAAAACTGCATTAGAACCGATGCCCGTTCGCTTTGGTTTTTGATTCGAAATTTGGTGCCATCGTCTTTGGATCCACGCGATATCCTGTATCGCTTAACATTCATTTCTTCATTGTTGTTGTCCATGGTGTTGAATTTATACACAGCCACCTTTCCACCATCGAAACTTCCGCCTACCGAAATTGAACCGTAAGAATAAAGTGTTAATGACATGAGTATCTAGGCTGATTGCAATGACAATAAAACTAATTAAAATGTATTCATTCCAATTATTTGTCATTACAATTGGTAATTAAAACATCACACCGTACCTGAATCAGCTCGAATGAAATTATCTCGCTTATATGTGCCTAAATAGTATGTATCACGTTCCTCGTGGTACTTTTTCACAGCCGCTGCCATCAATTTACTCAAATTGACATCATATTCGCCAACCGCAACTTCAATAACTGTTAAACGATAAGGAAAATGAAATACGTTTTCATTATTATTTGGACTAGCACATTCCAATTGCAAAGAGGAAAAAAACTGAATCAGAAATACTCACGAAAATCAGCCGGATTGTGATAGCTAAAAGTGGAAAAGGATATCATTACTTTTTGTTGATTACTTTCAATCGGTGGACAGTTAAAAACTCTCACCTGGGACACTCTAAGCCATGATCGCTCATAAATGGAACCAGTTCTTTGATGGGACCTTGATAAATGCAGTTGCCTTGTGTGACCGCATACAATTTGTCAAACATTTCAAAGACCAATGCGCTCGGCTGATGTATGGTGCACACGATTGTACGACCTTCTTGAGCCAGTCGCTTCAACAACGATATGCAACTCGTACACGACGAACTATCTAACCCACTAACCGATTGCAATTTGCATCGGAATGGAAAAAAAAGAAAAAAAAAAACACGAAAAATATTATAAAATCATGAAAATAAAATGCGAATAATTAACAGTTTGCATTGTCAATCAAAATGTTGCGGTGGCTAATTGACTAAATTGTACACTAATTGGACATTTGTGAATCAAACATGCAACGATGATTTTTTTTTTGTGTGTGTGTTTTATGTGAATGGATCATTTGAAATAATTGCGTCTGCGGTTGTTTTTCTTCGTTTCAATGCATTGTGTGTCGCGAGTAAGGAAAAAAAAGAGATCTTTTATTCAATTTAAATTTTTTCGTCTTCGCTATCATCGAGAGAGGGAGAGAAAAAACCGGTCTGGACTGTAGACACCTGATGCCAAAACGCCAAAACAAAGTGGTTCTCACATAAATTTTTACGTCGATTTTTTTTTTGTAGAGAAAAAAATATTTGAAGTTGTGTGTCTGTGTATGTCTTTATCTAACCTAAGCAGTTGATACGCATTAGAATGTGCTGAAAAATCGAGTGACTATATAGTTTTTTGTTCTGTCGCATTGCAATACATGTCATGGCAATCGATTTAATTAAGCCGTGAGACTTGATTTAATCGATGCACAACAACCAAACCGAACCGGCCTCAAGACCATCAATGTTGTGTCTACTCATAAACACACGTCGGCAATTGCTGAGTGGCAACATTTCAGGCTACTGCAATTTTCGACTAGAACATGAAAAAAATGTGTATAGACTTGAAAACGAGTTTTCAATCTCTTCCAATCTCTCTCGCTCACGCGAGATAATCATATAACATATTTTAATCAGACCAACCATCATCGTTGTCCGCATGAAGCAGTTCGTATTAAAAATACGCATTAAATGACTGTAAAATTGAGGTTTGCGTGTATTTTTAGCCGCAAACAACACAATTGACACCATACATAAAATATCTTTTTAATTTGGCGGAATTTGAAAGATCAAGTGCGGTCAAAAAGTGGCTTCAAATTAAAATGAATAACAGATTTTGTTGTTTTTTCTCTCCCTCTGTGTGTGTGTCTCAGTTGACATACTGATTATTGTGTGCCAATTAGAATGCATGACGTTCGGCTTTATGAATGTCACTCGAAAACTCGGCTCAATTTCGGAAAAATAACAGCACGTGCAATACAGTTGGGCCTAACCTACCGTCGTCATGACTCTCAATTGAATGTCATTATCCTTGTTGATTGTAATAACCACATACACAGATACACTCCCCTCTTACACCTTTCGAATCATGCATGCACTACAAGCTGTTTCAATATGCATTTACATAACGGAACTATCACACAGCACAAAATGTTGCAAGAAACGTAAACAAGTGTCGAACGAGTAACTGTGTAAAGGTACATGATCAACGGAAGAAAAAAAACGCAAACAAAATCTTGAATTTATGCCCAGGAAAAAGATTTTATAATTTGATTTAAAATTAATTTCGGTATGACGACAACGATGACGACCACTTTTTTTTTTTTTGGAATGATCCAGGTCCATGGCAACGAAACTGAATTTCAGGAAGTTCAATGAACAAAAATTGCGGTTCACTTACGTTGTTGGTTCGTCTAGAAAAATCACTGACGGGTTACTAATTAGCTCGAGCGCGATGCTCATTCGCTTCTTTTGTCCGCCGGATAATTGGCCGCATTTGGTGTTGAATCGCGTCTCCAGTCCGAGCAACTCCAATATACTGTGAATCTGAAACGAACAAATAAACATACATGGAGAAACCAGAATAGATCGATCAATTCGTAAGCAATGATCAAGGTTTTTCCTTAAAACTAGTTTTCTTTCACCTTCTCCACCTTCTTCTGTTTCTTCTTACTTACCAGCTGTAGTTTGTACTCTTTGGTAATTTTAAATCCTAATTTCAGATCAGCAGAATATGTCATGGCTTCGCACACAGTTAGATATGGACGCAGCGCATCGTCTTGATGTATATATGCGGATACGTTTCGGAAATTCTCTGAATTACTCGACCGACTCTTGCCATTGATTGTGATTTTGCCCGTGACACCAGTTTCACTGTGGGAGAAAATATTGACTCATCATTGAAACATCAACGAAGAAACATTTATTTGCCAACGGCAAGTAATAAATAATCAATGAATATGATAGATATACTAACACGTATCCAGCCAGAATGTTCAACAGTGTCGATTTTCCTGCGCCACTAGGGCCCATAATAGCGGTCAACTGGCCGGATCGAAATGCGCCGCTCACATCATGCAAAATTTCTTTTTTCTCTGTTTACAGAGCGAAAGACGGAATAAATGGGAAAACATAAAAAAAACTGCGTTTATATTTTTTGTTTTATTTTGATTGCGATGAATCGAATTTATTCCACAATATTGATTCTCTAGCTTACGGTCGATCGACTGCATTTAACGACAATGTGAAAAAAAAAAAAACTGTAATTCCGGCTCTGAATTATACACCGCACAGAATACTTAATAATTACGTTCAAAAACAATAACTACGCGGTAATTATCCGAAGTGATTTATTCTTTTCATTCAGAAGATGATGATATGTACGGCGAATATGAACAGAGTGTGATTAAAATCATTTTCAGTGAAACTGATTTTATTATCGTAAAGCATAACAATGGAACATGAGAGAATTGCAAGGTGCGCGCGCTCGTGCGAGAAAGCTAAAAATATATATGTATGTGTATTTGTGTATGTATTTTGGTTTTCACTATGCGCTTGAGCAAAGTCCGTAAACGGCGAATTTGATTTGCATTTGCAAATTAATCTAATGATGGGAGTATGTATTCGAGTTTTAAACTGTTTGATTTAGCATGTACCCTATCTGCACATTTAATGCACCGGAACAAATATATTTATGGTGCGTGCTTAGCGCTCATCTTGACGATTTAATGCCCAATAATTAATTTTAATCAATTCCATTTCTGCTTTGAAAACCTCGTTCTTCTACTGATTTCAGATTACATAATCTAATTAGAACATATACAATTCCACTGCTGATTCTTCACATCGAATTCAATGCATTGTTTGCATTTCGTCGATTCTAAATTGTTACTCTATTGCCCATGAGTACAAAGTTTAATAATTTATTTCAATGGATAAACAGAAAATTGTAGTTTTTGTTTATAAAAGAGTTGTATTTAATAGCATTCGGGGTGAATATTTTGCTCTCTCTTTTTCTCTCTTTCTACAGCAATTAATCGGCCCAGTAATTATAAAATAAATTAATGCAAAACAAAAAAAATAACACGCGCTCGAACGCGAAGATAAACGAAATTGAACGAAACAAATGAGTAAAACAAATGAGTGAGGCATGTGCGCTTCGGCGCGTAGAAATGATTGGAATTCCACAAATAATTTATCAACATCGGTTTCATATTCTGGGGCGTTATCGCGCGCGCAATTTAAAAATGACCCAATTCCGTTTTTTTTTTTCCTAAATAATCACAGTCGAAAATATTGTACTAATCTCTCACTGTCTTTAGAGTATTCTATGCTGAATGATAGGCACTTACCAAATTGGCGATTTTGAAACGAAAACTTTTTTACGGTGTATTTAACATTTTGGAATTCGATGTCGACCTTTGGCCGCTTCGGGAATGTAAAATCAATTGATGCCTTTTTCTTGGCAATGATATCGATTACTGCTGCGGCTGTTGCCGATGCCACTTTTTCACTGTTGACATTATCCAATGCATCGGATGCATGAAAGAGTGTGTTATTGTTTGGTGCTTCGAGGTCTTCTTCAATGTAATCAACGATTGAATTTTCTGGTGTGGTTGAACTGGATTGACAACATCCGACAATGGACGATGATGTTGACGGTTTCTCATCTCTTGTCGCTTTGACCGACATAGTTACGACCTATCTGGCTGCGTTTCAAAACAACAAATTCATAAACACACTCACACAAGTCTCTCACTCTTTCTATCTGTCTGTCTCTCTATTTTTCTGCTATTCTTCGATGCACTTCAGTTCATTTTTACACGTACGGTTATCTAGAAACGAAGAAGATGAACAGAAAAAAAGTCACATTTGAAAAATGTTTGTTTCATGCACAATTAATCGCAAAGTATTTGTATTCGAAGACACAAGATTATCATTTTTTTCAAAAAAAAAAAAAAAACACACGCGTCCAATGTTTGCCTATTATTTGTAGCTCCATTTACACATTAAGTGTTCAATGGCTTTGTAACTATAGCTAGAGAATTTATTCACTATTCAGTTGTCGTCGGCGGTGGCGACAGCGATCGATCAACTCTTTTTTATTGAACTAAGAGACGACTGTTTGCTCGTAGCAAGCAAACAGAACGATTCGATTGATTGCAATGCAATAGCGTTTGTGTTCGAATACGAATTAAGCCAGAATGTAAATGTTTGGCGCTTCAGCACAGCACGGTGCTATAAATACATTTTGTCGGTCGTTCGCTCGTTCCTTCTCTCACTCTCTATGTGTGTGTATATTACACGAGAGTGTCACTGAACCTGACATTCTGTATTCTGCCTGTATGTGCGATGCATTCGGTTGCATTGCAGTTGATTTTTGCTGCGTACGGCATTGCAACATCAAAACCATGCAACATACATATATAGGCGCATTGACGCTTTGCAGCAGCACAGAAAACTTGTATTTGGATGAGAAAAAAAAACTTTATATTTATGCAACGATGCAGAAGAGTAAACCAAGACATGGAAATGAAAAGAAACAGAAGAAGATACGGCCTTTGCAATCCGGTATTATTTATCAGCAGCGATAATAACACGCCAGCAACATTGTCGAGTTCTGTTTTTTCATCTCTTTGGCTACATAGAATGTTTGGACAACAACGGTATCTCCGATTTATCCGTTCATATTTTTTTGTGCTGTTTTTGTGAATAAATTCAGCTCGTTCGTAATTTTTGTCAATAAATTCTGTTTTTTGAAAATTCAATTTTTTTAAGTGGCTTAAAGTTCAGGAAAAATTCTCTGCAAACTGCACAGCTCACGAACAACAAACAGAAATAAATAGATTTCAAACACACAATATACAATGATCAATTAACAAACGCCCCAGCCGAACGAAAACAACAGCAACAAATGTATTCCTCATTTGGTATGCGCAAAAAATATTTAAATGAGATGCAAATGAAATAAATTTCGATGACGACGCGCGACTATCATGTTTTTTCGCCTTTTTTCCGTTCTTCTTTTATCGCACACACTATCTATTGCGCGCGCGAGAGCCTGATTCGTTCTTCCTATGAAAAAAGCGAAGCACAAGCGTGCTATTTGCTTTCTGTGTGAATAAATGACTCATTTTCATCGATATTAACTGAATGCTGAGGAATAAAAATGGTTAGCGACAAAAATACGTGTGATATGCATGGGCAATTTGGCATTACGTAATCAATTAAACATTCTGGTTCATCGATACGATACGAAGAGACACACCACGACACACACTTATCACACACATGGATCTCGTCACGTATTGAACATCGCACTTTTGATAGCAATTGGCGGTGTGTCATAAATATTGAACTTATGGCTACGGCTATGATTTCAATCAAATTGAAACACACACTCACATTCGTCTGGATCGAATAGAGACAGAGAATAATATACTGTATTGAATAGAGATAGCAAAATTTCAAAAAAATACATTTTTCCGTCTGTAAAATCACTTTTTTCTCGAATTTATTATTCCGGTCGCTCACACTCGTCCACTCAAGTTTGTTTGTCATCAAAACATTGGCGGCGATATTTTGCAAGTCACGTTTCAAGCGAATCTTGAACTGATACAATCTTGTTTACAGATTAATGTGCTTTATCAAAACGGAATTCTGATAATTTTGTTCAGTTCCCGTGGAAGTGAGCTGGTCTTTGTTTTTCCGGCAAATGGCAAATCGTATCGTTTTGTTAATCGTGTGTGTGTGTGTGTGCGTCGAAAGTGTTAAAAATACCTGTATTTTTTTGGTCATGTCATGTTCTTTACATTCGAAAACGTTAAGGTCAAAGTCGAAAACAGTGTGGATGAAACTAGCAGTAGTAATAGCGGTGGTGGTGGTTGCGCGCGAGCGCGTGTTGGTAGTGAATACTGAAAATTGGCAACTGTCTATTGTGTTTGTCGATGCAATAAAAGCATGATTCCATTCACACACTCAATCGACGATGACGACGACGACGACGACGACGACGACAAAGACAGTGGCTTCATCGAGCAGAAAGTTGTTTTAAATACGTAGTTCAAATGTCACAATTGACTTGCGTACAGCACATTGTTAAGTGTGAACACATATTATTTACTGCGGCATTACACAAAGTAATTTGTCACCTTTGGAGCTTTTTTGTTCACATTATTGCTATACGTAAATCTGGACTGAAAGTGAAAAAAAGGAAAAAAAACTGCATTCTTATATTGCGGAGAGAGAATGTGTGTTCTCGTGTCACCAGGGAACAGTTTATGTGCGGGGTAGCACACGACGGCGACAATCATCGAATCATTCTGAAGCACAACTTAACAACATGTTGTCTTATTCATTTTTATAATGAAAATGCAATTATGGTTATTACATTAATCGCATATTCATTCTGAATGCTGTAATTTCGATATGTTCTGCACAGAAAAGTGTTTTAGAAACGAAACGAACGAAACAGAAAAAAAAAATCAACGTATATAACAAGCTCAAGGCCAAACCTGTTTTTTTTTTTCTTCGTTCAATTTCATTACTAGATATTGCAACGCTAGATTCAGTTGCACTTAATTTTTTTTTCGTTTCACCGATTTCTACCAATTTTCAGCGCATTGATTTCAGCCAGTCAGTCAGTCGTTTACATTGCACACAAATGACGCTCATTCCAATTGGATGTGTTCAGCAGTGCGTGTTTTATCGTCTCCATCTACTATGCTATTAATGTGTAACAACAACGACGACGACCCAACACACAATCACATACAACGCTTCGATTCGCCGTCCAAGTGGTTCGTCCAGATCGGTTGCATTTAATTGGTTTGATCGGTTTTCAACGACGAAGACGAACAACAACGATTACATTTGTCGGCCGAATATCGAATGGCCTTTGTTAACCGTAATCAAATATGGCAATCACAATGCGAATATTTTTAATTAAATATATAAATGACCATAGGATCGTAAAAAAACATTCGCATTTTCGGCATTTCAGTTAAATTGAAATTTTATTGAAAAAAATACAAATCTCCATTTCGAGGCTCATCTTTTGTAGGGAATGCCAAAAGAGATTCTTTCGAATAGTTTTTGGACAAAAATTATCTAATAAATATGGCCATGCGAATATGTAGATGGTCATTTTGTTAGGAAGAATGTTTCGTTTTGGTGTTCTCAAAGCCACAATCTCATGCTAAATATAAAACATGCCATAAGCTTAGTTCAAACGGTGTACGGTGTGGGTTTCTCTCTCTCTCTCTCTCTCTCTCTCTCTCTCGTCAATTCACTTTTATTTTCCATTTGTATAAGATCTAATTTGTGTTTTGACGTTCAAAAAATCTATGGGTGAGATTGAGAGTAGTGTATATTTGATTGACTTTGTTACGAAAGAGAAGAGCAAGTTTCTGTCGACTTAAAAATGGTTAAAAGCGAGTATGTTCGTTTTTAGCGGGTCCTCGCGGTTTTTCACGGTTTCCGTGGAACTGATAAGAGATAACAACTTGGTGTCTTCGGCAAAATTGTAGCACTCGAGGTCTTCTATAACATCGCTGAAGACAGTTCCGCGAAAAGCGCGAAAAATGATAAGAAAAAAAAAGTTCTATATAAAATTTGCTTTTTTATGTGCGCGATTTGCGCGCAACTGATAAGAGATAACTGTCTTCAGCTTAGTTATAGAAGACCTCAAGTACTACAACTTTGCTGAAGACACCATGTTGTTATCTTTTATCAGTCGCGTGAAAACCATGAAGACCGCGGAGGCTAGACGGTACTACAACATACTCTACTTTAACGCCAACAGAATCATCAGAAAACATACTCGCCTTTTCAAAAATATAAATCGAAGAAAAAACATACTCCACTCTCAATCTCACCCATAGAAATGACCAAATCAACGGTTTCAAAGGTATCAAATCACCGTTGAGTTAAGCGAATGACCGTTAAAAAGGTACCGCTAAGTAGTAAGTTGAAATGTTCTTTGCTGGTTATACTTGGCACCAATTCAATTGGCTGAATTCCAATGAAAATAAAAACTCGATTCGCACTTTGATTCGACGAAGCCTTACAAATAAACGATGTGTACCATAAGGCAGTTGGGAAGTTTGCATTGCATTGCATTTAATTGAAAGTGTAAGAAAAATAAAAAACGCAACAAATTGAAATTTGATTGGTAATAATTGGAATTGAAAATGGGTACTCGGTATTTGTGTGTGCAAAACAAGTGAGGCCGCACTCACGGTGGAAATGACAACATTTTATTGTTTGCGTGACGAATGCCATGTTGTGTGTTGTTGCCCTTTTTTACTTCCACAGTTTATACTAAATGATTTTCACTTTTATTATTCCAGCTTGCGAAGCGACGACTGTGTTCAATGCGATAAATCGAAGAAGAAAAAAACTTGAAATTTATTCGCGACGATTAATTTGCATTGCGCGCGCGACTAACAATTGAATTTGTTGTGCCAGGTCATACGACGGGTATGACTTTCATTATCAGGTAACCCAAATTCGTCGATTTTTCGCTGTTATTGCTCGATGACGGCGATGACGATGACGATGAGTGAGCAATCATTTTCGGTTTGTTTGTTTCTTCCAAAAAACTGACTTTTCCGAACATATCGACGAGCTGCTGTGAATTGGTCATCGACACACGACAGTCGATTTGTTCTAATTTGATAACGGTCAATTGATTACAACATGCGTTTCCATGTCTTTCGCCGTTTCCATTTGAATATGTATCAAATATGGTTTGTGTTTCGTGCAATATTTCCCGTATTCGGTGAGAGTTTCTAAGCAACACACAGTTCATTGATAATTTTCATGGGTTATTCGCCGGCAAATCAATGCATGCATAATGAATGTATTTTATACATCACCGGCTGGTCAAAATACAAAACAAACAACGATTTATAATTGTGTAAATATTTGAATTGACGTGGTTCGGTGCCGAATATTCGCGTGTACACGGCATTTTATCAATAATGTTCTACTTTATGAAATCAAGATCAGACGAAAATGTCATCGAGAAAAAACAGCCTGTTTTCGCTGATTTGTCCATATCGTCTAAAAATAAATGAGTAAATGAGTTCATTCTAAAATGTAGAAATGGCCTTGAATCACCGGATAACGAAACCAGCTCTATTTTTCCCTTCTGTAATGTTGTTTGGAAATGAACTTTGGATTCGATAGTGATAATGGGCTAGCTGGTAATGCGTGGTGACTGTGAATTATAATTGGTACGATTCGGAATGCTTTGTTGCTGACTTTGCCCGATGGCATCGCACGATGTGTTTTCGTTATTTTCGATGTTGAAATCTTGTCTTGCATCTCACAGCACAAAATTGTGATTACAACAACGCAATGGGGGAATGTAATTGTCGACGGCATTTTGCATTGAATTGCATCAACACTGCCTGATCATCGTCGTCGTGCATATTTGAGGTTCAAGAGTGAATTTGCATTTGTTTGCAAACTACATTTGCACAATGTACACATTTTAATCTCGACTTCTTCTCGAACGAAACATTTCCCTAATCTAATTGCGCACAACTGGTTTTGTCGTTTCGTTCAAATCTCAAATCCGCCCGTTTAACTTTACACTTCCCGCATAATAATTGTTTATTGTCACTACACTAGCGTGTTCTATAAACAATTTGCTGTGCTTATCAACTGAAACATTTTGCAAGCCATGTTCCAGTTTGATCATTCCGTGTGATTCCGTAGAAAATCTTTTAAATGTAGTTAAATTTCTTATATTTCTCTGAATTAGATTCAGAAAAGAACCGAGTGCCATTTATTTTACGAATCATTGTGGTTTATTGAGTACTTATAATTGAACAAAAGGGTATTTCCAAACATTGTGCTATTTCCGCCGCGCGTCGTCAACTGGTAGATCGTTGTGAAAGACAACGAGAATAGAACGACCGATTCATGATTTGCCTTCGCTTTGTGTTTGTTTTGATAGATGCAATTCATTCCGTGCACACATTTAACTTGTTTCGTGCCACATTGTCGATGTTTTCAATGTATCTTTTCTTGCATTCACTTGACTCCTCTTTGCAGCACACAACCCGTTTCGTTTTTCTCCTTCTTACAACAAATTAAAGTTGGACGACTGAATCGCACACACCGTACGCATTGATTGATATCAATTGATTATTATGATAAAGAAAAAATTATCATATCATAAAATGACAAAAAACCAATAATAATTACAACTAATCGACAAGCGATTAATATTCATCAAAATGACTTGAAATCAATTATCCTAGTCCATTCATTTAAAGTCTTTTCTCTGTTTTTTTTTTTCTTGGCATTACGATTTTTTCCTCACATTCTCATTGAAAAATTTATTATGTTTATTTATAACAGTATATTTTCTGTGCAACGAGAATGTCAACGATAAAATCATGTACGAACGAGAAGAAAAATCGTCAAACAAATGATGACTCAAACAAAGCGAGTCGCTGTTTTATCGCTGCTGTAGCGAGAAAAAAAAAGCAACAAGTTTGCACAGAAAATGTGTGACGATATTGTATTGCGATATAGTCTGGCTACTGACAAATCCAGTTCCACAGCGCAGTTTATTTTGATTTATATGAAACAGAAGCAGAAAATAGCGCACAAACACACACGTTTGATACACATTTTTGCCATGTTTTATTTACATTTTATATCACCATTTGCTTCGCATTTCACACATGAAATGGGCCGGAATGAGTGGAATATTCTGTGCAGTAAAATTTTCTATTGCTCTCTACATTAATGCGAAATAATAGTTGCTTTTTTATGGCCCGAAATTTCGTACAGGTCTTTTTTGCGAGTTTCTTTACACATTTTTAACAATAGATTAGGTTTCTCCATTAACGGCCGGCGAACAAAAGAAACCGCATTAAAGAAGCTCGAAATGGTCAAATAAATCGTTGTGGTCACGGCAAATTTTGCATGATGAACAGAAATGTTTTATGAAGTGGTGGTTTTCGAGAGCCATCATTAAAATCAAACCAATCATACATTAGTAGCAAATGATGCCTTTTGTCTGGCTCACAAATGATTTCGGGTCAACATTTTTCACGGGTTTCGAGTTTATTAGCGGTTACCTTCAAAAAAACGAAGCATGTGTTAAATATTCGGATCACTTCTTAATTGGCCTAAGCATTGCTTAGTGTTATTATCTTGGCGCATTATGGAGTTGAATGCGATTTGTGATTTTGATTTCATTTTCGAAGTGAAAACGAGTGAGAAGCAAAAGAAAACGAACAAAACTGCGTGCAAATTACCGAAAAAATCCAGCACTTGAATCACGTTTCGAATTTTCAAATCAGGGAATGCAAACCAATTTAGAAACAACCAGCACGATTTATGATTTTAGCTAGAAAATGTGCCAATTGTTGTTTTCTTCTTTTCGATATACAATGTCGATGTGAACAGCGAATCGATACAGAAAAAAACGATACTTGACCGGCCAATGAATTGTGAATGAGCTACGAGCACGTGCACACATCCATATCAAAAACCATTTGCATAACAACAACAACAACAAGCACGAAAAGTTCTGGTTTTGAAACAATCGAATGTCACACGGGCGTTCACTCAGAAATTCAACAAGGAAACTCAATGAATATTCGCCGCGACAATTTCGCACTAAAACCTATGAAGGCGAGAGAAACCCACAATTTGACTATAAATCGTGTTAATTTACTATATATATATATATTGATCGGTCGAGCCTGTTAGATATCTCCGTTGTAGAAGTTTTAGTTCGGTTTCATCATGAACCTGCTGTGCTTGCGCTATAAACATGAACCAAAATTTCTGATTCGTTGTTATGAATTGCAAACAATTTAAAAGAGGAAAATAAAGCAACAGCAGCAACAGCAGCAACAACAACAACAACCGAGTTTTGAAAATTAATTGGTTTTTTAGACAAAAATTCCGACGCACAAAACTCACTTTTCGACTAATACTTAACACAACACGTATACACTTATTCGAATTCGACTGCTGTGTCGATCTGCTCCGGTTGTGGTTGGCCGATTGAATGAACTGAACTGAAGGCAACACAACTCTGGTGTTACACATTTTTACTTGGCTCATACTAGCCGGTGTGTTATTGCGACATCATTCAATTTTCCATCCAAGCAACCAAAACTGATAAAGTGTCGCATTGTCTCTGTGTTTTGTTGGTTGTGCTTAGTCTACCACAACTTTGAGCAATGGAAAACGAACTACATATGTGTTTGTAATTAATGAGTCAGTATAAACAACACATTGTGTATCGTTGGCGGCGCACAATAAATGCATCGGTGTGTATCGTTATCGATTTTGTTTTCTATGCTGCGTCGAAGAAAACACAAATATTTTTGTTTCGATTAATATTGGACTTCATCGTTTCTCTCTATCGGCAAGATTGAATGCGTATGGGCCGAAATGGGACTATGATTCTTGTCCGGAACGATCGAACGAACGAGCATTGCACATATAAACATATTTACAATGTTGCAACAACAGTAGATTGTGACACACAGTACAAATGACTTTGGGAAAAAAAAACAGCAACTAATAGTGCTGTTGACGATGTTTATCGGCGTAAAGAAGGGATCGATAGAGAAAGACGAAAATCAACTGTGAAATCCAACACGCAAAATTTCGTTTCATCATTCGTATGGTGCGTTGTTGGATGCAATCAGACTGACCGAAACATTGTATGCGTAAAACGCAACTTCATCATGTTCTGTGTGTTGTTCAGTTTGTTTTTTCGTTACTCGAAATATTCTCATGCTACGATATACTTCATTTTGTTTTCGGCATGTGACGCACATTTCCTATTCATACATTCCATCCATCCGTCCACTCGTTAGTACACGCACAAAGAGCACACATCTAAATATAGCGTTGATTTTATAAATAAGAAATACGTACGTTTTATTATTAGATGTTATATATTCTGTTCTTTTTTTGAAGACTTTAATTAAACTACATGAAAATTGTGTTTTTTGTGTCCAGTCAACGCCTTCGTTTCTGCGTATTTGTAAACTAATCAAATGTCAAACTTTTGTACAAAATGTGGTATAACTTTTTTTTCTTCAAAAACACTTATGAATTTTGTCTCTTTTTTTCTGAACACAGACAATTTTTTTTATCCACAATAACTAGGCAAAGGATTTTGAAACGAAAAAAAAATCCGTACAAAAAAAAAATCAATAACACAAACGTCAGCTAACAGTGTCAATTTCTTCTAAAAAAGCATCCTCTTGAAACAGAAACGAATGCGATGGATTCTATTCTTGTTTTTTGACACATTTGTGCTTCTTTTCACCGCACGTTCTAAATAACAACTGAATCAACAGCGCTCGAACTAATGCAGGTTTCGTTAAAACACAACGACTTGTGTGTATAGCTATTTTTTTCTTTTAAGTATTATGCGCGCAATCGGTTTGTGAGAGAGTGAGCCGCACCAGTGTTTCTCAAATGAACGCACTGTGTGTGTGTGTGTGTGTGTGTGTGTGTGTGTGTGTATATATATATAAACAACAGCTGTTGCTTCTTTGCAACCGTTTTTCACATTGGATGTGACGCGTTACACATTTGAATCACATGTTGCATTTAATGTGCGACGCATTTTTCGTTGTTACCCGTTGCTTGGGCGAACATTTTTACTTCTGTTACAAACACAATACTTTTTTCTTGTTACGTTTGATTAAAGCGAGAAAAAAAACAGAGGCGTAATTAAACGCATTTTTTTACGAAACAAATCCATTTTATTGTGTTAGATTATGAAATATTCAAACTTTTGATTGTTATTTCGAGCAAAATGCCCATTTTCAGTGGCATTTTATTATACATATTAACAAAATTATACACTTTACCACATTGTTCAATTAGGTTTAGCAAACATTCGTATGTTTAGGTTCGACGATAATGGAAAATTTTTCGGTCATACGTTTTGAAATCATTCACATACATATTGCAAATTCGTTTGTCCTCTTGCGTGAGTTTAGGCTTTTGGTGAATGGGAGTCTCGTTTTGATTCGCATTATCGTACACCAGCGAAATATTTTGATAAAGTCTTATGGTGGCAAAATAAACAATCTCAACAATGTTGACGAGCGAAAACCCCAAGCACAAGCCCAGTAGCCCACCGAAATTACCTGAAAGCGAATGTTACGATTTACACAAGCCCTAATCGCATATGAATTCCTTCTTTTATTCGAAAACTAAATGGAACTTACTGACAATCTCCTGCCACGTCATCAAAACATCGGCACTAAATAACGTTGATTCACCTAATGTGGATAATAGATTTAGAAATTGACACGTTAGAACTTTAAATTATTTTAATGAAGTAAAATTTCGTTAGATAAATACCCAGTGGATAATAGATTTGTACGATGGCAATGTTGTCATAGGTTGACAAATTTTTCCTATTGAAATTTCAAATGAATGAGGAATGTGGGAAGCTTGAATTGAAAATTCCAAGAATCCAATACAAAACGTATATATATATATATATATACTTACATCAACGGCATGTTATTTGCCTCGAGTCCCTTTTTGTTCAATTCAAAGTAGGAAGGTAACACGCGGAAATAGGTTTTTGAACAAATTGGTAAACACTCCAAACATTCAATGGTATCATCGGATGGTTTTTCAATATTCGGAATGGTATACGAGCTCACCATATCTGAAGAGAAAAATTGGGAGAAAAGTAGACCGACAAACATGCACCCAATAAACAACGACTTAAAATAATTACGTCTTATTCGTTCGAGGCATTTATTGTGGGCGAGCGTACATTTCACCGGTGAAATCAGTCCGTCTGGGAAGTTAGTTGGGAGGAAAAAGGGCATACAACCACATATTGTGATAGTATTGCGAAGTTTACATTTTAACAGGCAATCAACAAAGCTGTAGTGACCTGCGTATTGTTCAAATAGCTCATGTTCGAATAAACATCCGCGCTGTACGGGGGAGTATGTTTCGATGGCTGGCTTTGAGTCTAATGTAGTTGATATTAGTTTGAAAACGGCTTTTGTGTTGCTGCCGACGAAGAGCTGTGTGAGGCCACCGTTCTGTACGTCGGCAAAGTCGGAAGGATTGAAAATGTGCACATTGAATCCAATATGATCTCCAGTGGAAAAGTAATAATCGGATGTAGTTGTATTCAAGATGACAGTTAAACCAGTCTCTGGCCCTGTGAACCCAGTTTTACGTGGCTTTTCGACGCTTTTTATTCATTTTTTTTCGTTTGTTGGTTTATTCATCGGTGGAGGAGGAGGAGGAGAAAACAAAGGATTTGGTATAATAACAAAAAATGATCCCCTTAAAGATATATCCTAAAAATACAGATTGTTTGACACAGAAGTACACGACTATCACACACGGCCATGTTTTCATTTTCACTTCATTCGACTACATAGTCGACTCGCTCAAACGGTTTGCTGTTCAGTGTTCACAGACACGAACATATAGTGTGTGAATTGTTTATTAGGGCCAATCGATTTATTTTCTATACGTGCTTTCATTTGATCATCAAATGAGATTTCTCTGTTAGTCCCAACATCGACTTTGGACTTACCGTACATAAATAATGCATATTGGGTTGGTTCGGTATTATTTGGTTGAGCCAGCGGAAAATATACTCACTCTTGTGTGGAAAGTGTATTGAATTGTCGAACGTAGTTGAAAAGGCAGCAATAACCCTCCCGTGTTTTACGAAACTTGAACAGTCTCATGCAATCCATTGCTTTCGAATTGCCCCATCGACATCGTACCATTAAGTCTTCGCATTTCGGAGTAATCTGTCAGCAATTTAATTGGATAATTATCGTTCTGGCATTTTCACTCCCTCTGTCTTTCTCTCTCTCTCTCTCTCTCTCTCTTTCTCTCTCTCTTTGTATCCCTCCTCAATTCTGTGCTTAAATTATATTTATACCTTGAACTCGAATTTATCTTGTGTATCAAACGTGAGCGTTGCATTATTCAAATCAATGATGTCGAGTAAATCCTGAAAAACGATGTATCGCTCGTAGAATTCGGTGTTAAAATCGAAAACATAGCCCAAATTCCGTATATTTTGGAATAGCCAATCGACCGTATAATTTTTCGTTCGCTTTGATCTTTGAATGAAACAAAAAAAACTAATCTAATGAGTAGATGAGACCCGAAATCATCTCAGATGAGTCACATTTCTACAAAATGTAAAATTGAAAACATTTCTTCTTTCTTCTTGCACACACAGTTCAATCGCGTAGTCCATGGCAGCTTTGCTACTAATTTTGTTGACTGAACAAACAGCAACGGCTGGGAATGGAATGGAATTTATTGGATGATCGACACTTTCTAATGATGTAAACGTTGGCTTCGAAACGAAACCATCCAATGCGAAAAATAATATATAGCCACCACCAGCCAAAGCGCACAGTTGAACCACATACCAAAGTAACCTAGGCCAATTTGATAAAAAAAATTGTGAGTGAAATTGATTCGAAAGAAAAACTTTTCGTTGTGTTGTACTTTTCGAAAGTGGAAAGTCCATGTTTAATTAAGTATTTAAATCCATGCAATGATGTGCTTTCGAAGAACTGCCGAATCGTTACAACACACAATTTGGCTGTTAAGAAATCGCTGTTCAAATAATTCGTCGCCATTGACCCTGGGGAATTTTTGCGTACAAATGGAAATGAACAGTCGAACAAAACAAACCAGACTACGGATTTTTTCGACATATTCAAGCCATAAAAAGCCCCATACGCCATGACAGATGCACTTCAACCACTATAAATGATAAATAAGAAGTTGTATGTTTGTTCAGTCGTACATGAAAAAGGTGTGCTGCTGGACTGCCCATGAAACAATTAGATTCGTGTCGAACTTCTGAATATATGTATTTACGGGTTGCGAAAGAACTGGGATATGTTGGACTTTTCAACAATCAACTGATCTGAATACTTTGGGATTTGGAAAATTCCACAGAAAATCTTTTCCTACTAATTTGCCACTAATTTTATACTATCACCCTCTGTGAACACCGTGTATAGATGTACTTTCGATCTTGAAATCCGTACAATAAATTCGATAAGCTCCACGAATTGGACGTATTGGATTGGGCCAATTATCGTATTTCTGAACCAGTTCGGCCAAATTGACATTTAGCCGCTCATAATTAACCATGTCCTAGCTAATTACAATATTTTGATTGAACAATGAAAAGTCTACTTCCTAACAATTTGATTTCGATTTGATTAAACATATTTTCTTAGAGTTGATAGCTATTTGAGAATAGTAACAACTGCAAGCTAAATACCGTGAAGAGTACTTACTGTATATCATACACCACAATTTGAGGCTCAACTAACCGTGTAACCTGTTCATAAAAAAACTGTCCGATAAAAAAAAAAGTGGAACAAAGAAGGCATTTGAAATTATTTACCGCAAATAATGCTTTGGTTTATTGATTTTTATTGAATTTCCTTTTATAATTACATTATAATTTGTCACTTATGCGCGCTTATGTCGTGGTTGGGCTCGACGATTTAAATGCGAGATGCTTCGATCTTGTCTACACATTTTGCATAGTTTGTCTTGAATTCAAAATATTTTTTTTTCTTACTTAGTCACAAATAAGTACAATTTTTAGTTTTTTGAAATTTTATTTGTTTGTTTACTTGTCTATTTGTTATATTCTTGATAGATTTCTCTCTCTGTCTCTCTCTCTCTCTTCATCTTCATCACTCTGCATGTTCAGATCGAATGATGTGAGTTTGGTTGCCATATTGATGATGAAAATGATGATTTGGAGCGTTAATGTGTTTTTTTGAAAATTGGATAGGCTCACCGAATCAAATTTTTTTCTTGAAATAAAATACAAGCTCTACGAAAGAAAGTGTTTAATTTACATAAAGAGAAAAAAAGCCTACGAATTCCACATAAATTGTTGGTGAAAATCTACAAATAGACGAATTAAATTCAAGGAAAATTCTTCTTGAACTAAGACGAGAATTTCGTTCCAGTTAGAAGCAAAACTATTATTAATATTATTGACATTGGTATTGAATGTACTTCTTTCTTATTTAAGATCTTCTTCGTCTTCTTCGTCGTCGTCAAGTAAGCCATCTGCGTCTTTCTCCCAATCATCACTCTTGGCATCGTCATTATTGGATGCACCATTATCGCCAACCAATTCGAATTCCTGCAATTCATTGTCCAACTCTTTTTCCCATTGCTCTTCTGTAAACACATATCAATTTTCACATGTTGAAAATTACAAGCGACAAGAAAGAAAAAAAAAACAGCCGGAAACTATGGTGAATCTGCGTGTGTATGTGTGGTATGTTTACCGCCCCCATCCGATATATAAAAGTGAAGTGCACAACTTGCCTTGAATCGGCCGTGTTAGGCATCAGGCTTTCGAATGATATGGAAATTATAATAAGCCATCGATGGCTCGAATAGCGGGATGGATGCGGAACAAAATGTCAACAAGTCAACGGTTTTCTTCTTTTTTTTGTCATCAGAATTCAGGAAAGGAAAAAAAGAAACAACACAATTTTTTTCCCAAATGATACCCAATTCAATAAACATGATTTAATAGTACTATCCCAATTGATGCGCGGATTGTTTTTTAGAAAAATTACGAGTTGTGCGTTTTCGTTTTCTTGAAGGTTTCTACGAAACTTATTGACTGTTTTCTTTTGTTGTAGTTGTTGTTGTTCATATGTTTCAAAGAAATATAGAGCTACAATAGTGTATAAAATCGCATTAAGTGGCAGTGTTTTCGATTCCGTTTTTCTTTTCATTTCATTTTTTTTTTTCTGTTGAATGTGTTTTTTCGAAATCGATATCGGGAAAATGGGAAAGGTGTTCTATTTTTGTATTTCGAAAATGGATAGATTCCAGATTTACATCGCTCCATCCCGCTATCAAAGAAAAAGATACCAAAACGAAAGAAAAAACCGTCCATTTCAACGTAAAGTAAGTTGTGCTTGGAATTGCTACGATTATCAGCTCAACCAGAAGATCCAACGCAAACATTATTTCGGCACGGAAAGTGAGAGAGAAAGAGAGAGAGAGAGTCATACGTTCTAAATATGAATTAAAATGTCATTTGATAGTGTTTTTGGGTGATGTTGTTGTTGTTGTTTTTTTTATCGGCCACAAGGAAACGATTCGATTGTCCAAGTAGCAACAAAGTGAACAAACCTAGAAGAGTACCTGATGATGAATTTTACACAATTGTTGTTGTTGTTTGTTTGTGATTGATTTCCATTTTGTCTTTTTTTTCTGTCCCTATTCACAATTTCGATTTGCTAAATCTTAATTTCATCTCACTGAATAGTTTGAATGTCTTTTTTTAAAATGTTTTTTTTTTGTTTGTTTCGATTACAATAATAAATGTTCTTTTATTGTTTGCATGTTTGCATTCACTTCTCTCTTTTTTTTTGTATAATATATGATGTAATACTTTTTTTTTTGTATATTTGTATATAAATTTCTTCTTCAAATTGTTTTTTTAAATGCACATTTAGATTAACTAGTAGTCTGTTTTTTTTTTTTTTTTTTGTTAAAGAATTCAATTTGTATTCATTTGCTCTATTCTCCGTACCTATTTCGTTTCCATAAAATTGCATTTTATTTTTTGGTTGCTCTCTTTTAAATACATTTGATGCGTTTCATTTTGATCTACTAAATTTAATTTATACAAACCACACTCATTCACTTTCAAATTCTAAAATCAAATGGTTGACAATCGTTTGGTTTTTGTTATTTATTATTTTGTTGTTGTTGTTTATATTTTAGAGAAGGCCCATAACCCACATCCATGACACGAACATCACAATGGCCATACGAACACACACATAGGAAAAATTGCAAGAGTTTTTCAAGCGAAAATGTTCGCTTTCATTTTGCTCAGAAGAAAACAGAAAAGCCGGAAAAGAAGAGAAGAAAAGAGGTGTTACGCGTTCGATAGCCATTTGATGATTGCTGTTGGATGCCGTTTAAAGGAGGTGTCTAAAGTAAATATTTACATGGAATAAGAGCCGAATAAAATCAATTGAGTTAAACAGAGACAGCGGGAGATATATAGCCTTGTGTGTGTGTGAGAAATGTTCCAGCATTTCCAACAAATTATTTTCGTTTCGGTGCTTAAAAATGATTTGGAAGTACATCGACTTGTCAGTGTCATCATCATCATCATCATTTCTAAATGAAAATGGACATTTCTTTCATTGTGTGCATTCACTTTGTGTCCAGGTGAAGGGAAATTGAAAGAAAAAAAAAACTGGAAATCAAATTGACTGAAATCATCGAAACATTTTCTCGCATTCATTCACATACCTTCAGCATGCACACACAATATGGCTTGGTTTTGGTTTACATGTACAGAAAGCGATTTGGAGAAGTGTGGACACATTTAACAAAGGGTTAAAAATTAACACACAGAAACGTAGAAATAGCGAAAGACAAAAAATATTTTTTTTTGTTTGTTTGGTAAAGTTTGATAGAATTTAATAGATTTGTTTATGTATATGTTCAAATTTTATTTTTCTGTTCACTTGATGTTTTTTTTTGTTATTTTCTTGAATAAATATCTATTAGAGTAACGTATTTGTTTGTTTAAAGATATTTTCTTTTTTTTTCTCACTAGATTTTATAAATTTCAATTGTAATTATAATATATGTAAAAGCTGTGGCTTTTTTTTTTATATGCAACGGAGTTTTCCATAGTTTTGTTTTGGTTTTTATTTCTCTCTAGAATACAATGAATAATAAATATTCGGTTTGAATAATAAGTAGAGTTTGCATTTTTTTTTTGGGTTTGATTTTGAAGTTTTTTCTTTTGGTTGGTTTTTGTTACAACACCATTTTACACATGAAAATGAGAAAACAGGAACATTTAGCTGGTATTTTTTGTTAGACATTTCATCGTTGCGTTGCTTAGCAAATGAAAAGTACCATTCATCGTCCTTATTTTGTTCTCTCAGTTGAACACCTTACTTTTCAAATAACTTCATTTTAAATCCATTTTTAGCTAAAATATCGAAAGTATTGTGGTTGTTATGGATCAACATTTTTAAAAGACTTTCTTTACGACCAACCACAAAAAAGAAATGGATAAAGCGGCTTTTTTGCCATCTTTAATCTCTAGTTTGCACGTGTTCCAGGGTTAATTATATAGACATTATCTACCACAAAACATTCATTCAAATAAAATCAAAAACTGAAACGTGAACGTATCCGATAACTTTGAGCTTGATTCCAATTTATTGCCGTTTTGTACAGAAATCGCCTCGAAAATGCAATTTACAAAATAATAGAGACGAAGCCGAAACACGAACGGGAACTTTTTCTTTTACATTAGGCGCATTAGCGGAAATTTATGTATAAATCTGTTCGCAAAACATGAAAGTAAAGTAGCCTATTAATGCGCCGCGGCATCAATTAAATTTCGAGTATTTCTGCCGATAGGAAATGGTTCGTTTGCAATTGTATGTGGCTTTGTTAATACAGAATCATTTTGACTGGATTGTAATTTATTTTTAAAGACTATCCTTACTCTCAATTATTAGTAAAATTTCATTAAAAATCGAAATAGATTGGTGAACGTGGTTGGGATACACAGCAAGAACGAAAAAAAAAAACATCGATTGCAACTGGTTTGGAGTAAATAAATGGTTTCTTTCTTTTAGTATACATTCGTCGCGCGATCTGATATCGTTTCCTTTCTGAATCAATAACAAGTGCAATGGAAATTAATATATCCGTAATATGCCACGGCCCCCGTTTTTTTTTTTATTTTCTAGCGTCGTTAAGCCGAATTAACTCGTGTTTCGATGGGAAAAACAATTAGTTTCTGGTTTTATTTTGGGAGGAGTGAATCAATGGGAATTGTCCAATGTCTCAACTATTGGATATAACAATCACAACATATTTTTTTTATCTTCTTTGTATGTCTAAACAATTTAAACTGTGATCGCTTGATCGAAACGAAAACATATCACTTATTATCAACAATCTAAAACGAAAAAAAAACATTCAAACTGTTTCTTTTTTTTTTGTTTCAATTAGGCGTTGGTTTGCGCAAAAAAGCGATCGATTATGCTCTGGAATGCACTAAAAATTGCTTTCATAGTAAAGAATGGCCGAAAAAAATAAATAAGTGCGAACGCGCGCGCAATTTATGCAAAAGATCTCATTGAATATATTATTGCCTACTAGTTTTTTTTTTTTTGGTTTCTTGTTGTTGTTACTGATATTTGCTTTGGTTATGCGTGTGTATGCTGGTTTTAGTTACATGTGTTCAATTTGTGTTATATCTCAAAATTGATGTTGATCTTTACAAAATAAATGGTATGAATTGTGTTGTTCACTATACAAATGAGAACCAATTGAACTCTCGATCCGGTTAATTACACATGACCGAAACAAAAAAAAAAAATCTGCCTGTTCCATTAATTTCGATTTTCTCCGCATATTCAATGCCATTTAGTCTTCTAAAAATACGGATACAATGTCCACTTTTGACGATAATTCAAATAGAATTGCTTAATTATTCTTTGTCTGGTTGTTGCTGTTGCTGTTGCTGTTGTTGTTTTGTGATTATTTAAATTTATTTATTTTTTTTTGGTTGTTGTTGTTAGTAATTACAATGCAATATTGATGATTTTTGTCTTTAAATTCAGATTATTCTCTGATATTTCAATTAGTTAAGAGATTCTGGTTGACGAGATGGGCAAGCAAATGATTGACAATTTGATTGAAATTGCAATTCGTTGACGGAAAAAATGGGAAAAGAAGAGAAAAAAGGGGAAAACATATTATTGATTAGTCGATTGCTTTGTTTGTTTGTTGCATGGATGATGTTGCATGATTGAAATCGATTATTGATTGGTGTGATGCAATGGTTTCGAATGGAAATATTTGCACTTGCTACGGTTTTATACACATTAATGTTATTGCTTTTTTTTGTACAAAAAAATCTCTCTATATTTGCTCTAAAAACTAAACTACAAATTTTCCAGAGATAACAGAGTTTCATGAACAAAAAAAAAATGGAAAACTGCGATAAATGAAGAAGAATATCGAGCGAAAAAGCTGATTAACAGTTAATGAAAAAAAAAATTGGAGGTAGGAAAAAAAGATGTTTTTTCAAACGATTTTTTTTCTCTGTCAATTTGGTGGGTAGAGCGATAAAGTGGTACTTTATTCCATTGATTTGCCAATTGAAAGCATAAAATCCCAATTTCCACGAATGAGTTCTTCACAACACATAAATCGAGTTGACTTTTAATTCGGAAAATTGAACAGAGGAAAAACAAACACACATATACACATAATGAATCAGGAACATGGATTATGACATTGATGTTAATGAAAAAAGGAGAAAAAAAATAAAGTAGAACGAACTTTAGGAATACTTCAGAAATCAACATTCGCTTTTGATAGCAGGAAAAAAAAGTGCCACAATATAGTCACTTGACTTTATCGAGTGGTTTGACAACGGTTTCGACTTTTTTGTCTTGTATTCTCTCTGCGAGTGAGTGTGTGCATTTGTATACTATTCTTGGAACCCGGAGGAGTCAAGGAAAACGTGTGCGTCAATCCATTATTATGTGAGCGCGAGCGAGCGAACGAGAGAGTGAGTGAGTGAGTGAATTAATTTTCTAGGCATAATAGATGTGCCATACAAGTTTGCCACATAAGGATGATTGGCGAAGCCATTAACATTATTCATCAATTAATCTTAATAAAAGCTTAAATGGACAGCAAAAGTCGAAACAGATGTCTTTATCGGTGAGGTTTTTTTTAACATGCAACAACAAACAGGCTTTTAAAAATGCGCTGAGCAAATGAAATCAACTTCAAATGAGATTATTATTTGAAGCAAAAGGAAAAAAAAAAAGTGAAATAACAACAAAAAACAACGAATCGAAAAAGAAAGATATGCTGTAAAACTGGACTTGAAATCCCGTCAGGGTAATAAGTAAAACGTCGAATATTATTTATGGCGCTTGTGCTTGTGAGTGAGTGTGTTTCGTGAAATTATGTTAAAAGATTGAGGCTAATGCATTCCATGTTTTTATGGTAATAATAGCACGGAAATGCACCATTGACGGCCATTCTGAGCATCTTTACTGCGAATGCGAATCAACCGATAAACCTTGAAAGTTCGAAGAAACGGTTGAGTAAATATATACGATTACGCTGTTGAAGAAGAAAAAAAATCGTCGGATTTTTCATTGAGTTAGCGAAAAATAGAGTGGGAGCGTGATAGAGTATACCAACACAGAATCGTAGATTCACCACTTTTTTTTCATGAAATAGTTTGTATTTTTTTTTCTTCGTCGTAGAGTCCCTTACCATCGTTTTTGTTTGATTGGTTTGCTAATGAATCGATACCCAACAATTTCATGCCAGCTTTGACTTCGTCCAAGTCCTTGTCGGTCGTTTGAAATGCATCAGATACGAATTCGCTGTCGACAGCGCTCTTTGATTGCGCACTCGATGGTTTTGCACTGCTCTCTTGAGATTTATTCGCTTGATTGGTGCAAATTGGAAAGCGTGCCACCAACCATATCAATTAAATTGTTCCATTGTGATTTGAAGAAATGAAAATCAAATTAAGAAAAATTGCCAATTCAACAGAAAAAAGAAAAAACCATAAAATGAAAATGCTCAGCGCAATAAACTCATAAACATTTGGAATGCAGTGTTTGGGCTAGAAAAAATGGATGAGTAACACACGAACGAAAAAAAAAGAAAGATGCTTGTTTTCAAAGCTTACCTTCATTTTCACTTTCTTGTGCCCCTAACGTTCCCAGATCGGATGCTTGACAAATTAACGATACGCGATAGAAGTAATTTCGCCAAAATTGCTCCTCGGTGATGATTTTAGGGACCAAATCGAAGCGCATCTTCTCTAATTGCGAATCTTCGGTCATAATTGCAACGGCTGTTGGATATGACAAATCATAATTGAATTCGAAATCTACTCCAGCTGGTGGTGCACGAACGAAATTCCGACGATCCTATGTACGGTGTGTCGGAGTGTGTGTCGATTGAAATGAAATTCGGTCAGTCATGTTACAGTGGAGAAAAAAAATCAAGATTAAAGTTGGCTCACTCACCGATGACAATCCCAATACTTCTTCTTTGACTTTTTCCTCATTTTGATGTCCAGCCCATGGTACCATGCCACTCTGAATGCCTTGTTGGCTCTTAATGAATTCTTCCTGCTCTTTGTTAAACTCACCGAGAATGTTCTACGGAAAAAATAACAGCCAATCGGAGAATGAAAAAAAGCAGTTCAATCTCTTTGTTCAAATGGCCATTTATAACGGAAAAAAAACGGAGAGTGGATAAAGAATAAACGGAACTTACGTTATCTTTGACTGTTTCCTTAATTTTTGAGCTCGCTTTGTTGACAGCTGAATACAAGAATGATCCAAAGTTCTTTGCACCTTGTGTAACTTTCGTTGTGACTATTGAGAACGACGAAAAAAGACGGAAGAAATGTAGAAAGAAAGGAAATGGTGTGAGAAGAGAAGATCCGGTGTATTGCTTAAGAATATCTTGGAAGCCAAATTCGAAGTGTATTTTAGGGACAATTTATGGCGCCAACGTCTTTCATTTATGGCCTTTGAATGTCGATTTGTAAACAATGAACGATTACAAGTGGAGCCATTCATAAATAATGAAAATAATTGGAATGAAGCGGACGGGAGAGAGGGAGAGTGCGATGAAAATATATGCCATAAATTCCGATTAATTCTCATAATTTAATGTTGCTGTTGCGCGTAATTTGCCTTCAATTGTAATTTCTCCATCATATCATAAGTTCAATTTGGAGCGCTTCGTTTGCCGTTTACTTGGTGACATAATTCAAGTATAATAAAAAAGCACTTGTCGCTTATAATATGTATTACTATTGCGCACGTTCCACACTGTGCCATCGGTTCGTGTGCAAACTGGCAAATATATGTAATTTGGATTTATTTTCATGCACTTTGCCCCCGTATTGTTTTCTCAGCTCATGTGGTTGGTTGACTAGTCTCAATGCGCTCGCTGCACTCACTCAAGTCTCAAGTGTTGCGAGCGATGCCAGTGAACATGACCAATGTTCTCTTTTAAAAATGGTTCGGGTGCAAAGTGTTTCCTTTATCTATTTTTTCTTGCACGGTGAGATAATGCCCAACAAACCTGCAATTATATTTGTAAATGCAAGCGTTTTGCAAAATTCCCACATTCTACCGGAAAACATTTTTTTCAATGTTAAATCCAACATGGATTCTATCCAGTCAACATCAACGGCATTTTTCCGAACTAAAAATTTTCATCGAGCAATAGAAAAATTCTGTGTTGTAAGCCGTCCATTTAAAAAGTATTTTATGTAAGATCACAACAAGAACAACAACATTTGACACATGGAAGTGAGCGAAAGTCACAAGTGCTGATATACGTATTCGACTTGTGAATTTGTTGTTTTTCATTTGATTCCGTTGCCATCACCGACATCCTAACGTTTTCATCGTATTTTTTCCAATTTGTCGTCATTTTTCACACTTTTCCGTTCTCAGCTCGGTTCGACTCGATAGGGTACACAGACAAAATCCCCAAACAGCTAAAGTCTTACATGTGCACACGATTTTTCCGTCGACGATTGCGGAAAAAAACACAACACAAATGGAAATAAAATAAATTTCCATGCGCTGACAGTAATAAAATATAGGAGCGATGTGGATGTTGGATGAACGTTTATGTTATGGAAACTCTCGGCTCAGAGAATTGGATATTACGTACAATTTTTTTTTATATGGCAGCCGTGTGCCGGAGCACGAAGAGCATGCATTCAACTATTTGCTACTTTGTAAAGCAAAACGAGCACGGCCAACCAAATATATAGGAAGATGAAGGCAGAGAAAACGAAAAAGGAATTGAATGTATATGGGTATGGGTGTGTGCGCACCAGAGCGATCGCTAAATAAAAACGATTGTTTATGTGCTGCCATCGCAAAAGCATAAAACAATGTACGAAATGCACGCGTTAGGATAAATAAATGTTGTCATTTTGTTAAATGGAAGAAAAACTCGAAGGTTTTGTTTGCGCCTTGGGCCTTTGCTTAAGAATATCTTGAATCAATTCTCAGATTGTGTTACATGATACGCAATGGCGACATGAGGGCCTCATGAGTATCCACTTGTCGTGTAATTAAAATAAGCTCAAGCATCCAATTAAACATGCACTGAACAATTGCCATTGTATGCGGCATCATCTTCATTGTTCGAAGGCGACTGACTGTAAACAAATCGGCGTTCTTTTTCTGAACAACGATGCACTGAAAAGCCGAGTCACACTCGCTTCGCATTTCAAATTCAATGGAATTCTTCTTGGAGAGATTAATAGCCTGCTCACGGTTGTGAGCAAACGAGAGTCATGCTCTGTTATCATGCACGATATTTTGTTGTTTGTCTGCTTTGCTTTCTGTCGTACAACGGTTGAATTTTCCCATTGTGTGTCCCATGTCGTCTCGATTTGTGGATGCGATTGATGGATTGTCTAAGCGCATTCAACAATCGTTCTGCAGCGGAACTTTTTGTCACAATGAAAGATTTATTAAATGCTTCTTCAAACTCAAGTGTTTGTGTGTGAATCTTGTTTTCTCTCTCTCTCTCTCTCTCTCTCTCTCTCTACTTTGCTCGCACTGTTCCAACTATCCCACTGTGTGCGCGCGTCGTTCGATGAATGTGAATACAACAGAGAGAATGTAAATCAATTACCCATGCCAACTTGTCCACCCTTCTCATCGGATGGGGTTCCTGGGCCGCTAGCTGGACGTGAATCTGCACCTTCGGTTGCACTAAACATTTTCAACAACAAAAAACCGAAATAGAAGAGAAAAGAACACAGAAGAGAGAAGAAAAAGAGAAAAATATGGTTTTGTTTGATTTTTTGTGGAAAATTACATTCACTTCGACACTATATATGCTTTACACCTGCACCAACTTTACCAAAAAAAGGGATTTATTAGAGAGGTTTTTAAACTTAAGAAGAAGAAAAACACAGTACTAAGTTTGAAAATTGGTTCGCAAAAGTATGAAAAAAGCATACAAAACGTAAAGTTAGTTGAAATTTTAGACAAATAAATGATTCATAGAAAAATCATGACACACAAAACTGAAAATAGCCAATGAAAAAGGAGAAGAAGAAAAACGTGTTGCACCGGTGTTATGGGCAATAAAAATGTGGCATTTTCTATGAACCATATTCTTTCTTCGTATGATAAAAGAAAAAGCAAATATAAAAGAAGTAAAAATGGAAAGATCAAAAGAAAATGTGAATTTATTGTAAATTTCATTGCATTTTCAATCACAAGTGCATTGAAAAAGCAATGAATTTCAACAATTCCGCATTCCCCAGATAGATGCTCTCATACTAAAAATGCCATTTTTCAGGTTTGAATGCAGGACATAACAGTAATTCTAGGAAAAAAAGAAGGAAAAAAGTAAAACGAATATATAGCAGAAAAATTTTCTATTTGAATTGTATCAATAGTATTATTTTCGGAGATGGAGAGAGGAAGAGAGTATTCTACGACATCCTCCGATAAAAGAGATTTGAATATAGCTAGCGGCAATGATAACGGAGTTTCGCTTCCCTTGTTCCGCTTACAGAAAGAGTGAAAAGGACTCCGATGGCATTGCGAGTGGACACATAAGTAATGAATATGCTAGAATGTTGTATACAGTGTGCATGGAAGTGGAACGGAAAAAGCACAAAACCCATGAATGTGAAATGCTGAAGTGAAAATGATAGAAAGACTGAAAGGAATGAATGTTATTTATTAAAGCTTATCAGTGATTTTGCGAACCATTTTACGGAGAGATGGATCGGAGAGAAAGGAAAATTTGAACGGAATACCACCACACCAAAGACGAAAAACAAAGAAAAAAGGGAAAGTAAACGCAAAATCAAATACGATAGGAGTCTAATGGTCAACTTATCAATGCTACTGAGGGAAATCGCTACGACGACTCACACAAAATAAAATAAAACGAAAAAACCGAAATTGTATTTTGAATCCTTTGACAAGAACAAAAAATAAATGACGACAACAACAACACCAATAAACTTATGAGCGAGATTGAGAATGGGCCATACAAAAAAATGAAGGATTTTCTTTGCTGCTGCTTTTCGATTTAAATTTGAAATAAATATTCGTTAAACGGACGAACATCGATTTAAATCGATTCCATTTGAATTATTATTAGATTAATGATTCGATTTGATGTGCTAATTTCAATTGGTTTTTGGCTAAAGATGATGCGTTCTCTGAATTTTCAATTTATTGTAATTTTGTTATATTCGTGATTGTGTATGTTTTCTGTGGTGTCACTTTACCTACATATTTTTTGAGTGTGTGTGTTTTTTCTTTTAAGAAAGAACCTATAATGAAAATAACTGCAGTTTGCTCGGTAGTGAGGGAACAAATTAAATAATAACCGAAAATCGTATTAAAACAACAATGTGATATAATGAAAACCAAATAAAAGAAAAGGGGAGGAGGGCGAACAATGAAAGTGAAGAGTAGAGTTTTCAATTTTTAATAAATAAAATGTAGCAGTTTTGGGTTATGGAAATGTGATACTTTTGCTGAAATCGATAAGACGATTGCGGCGCGTATACTTTTTCGTCTGCTGTGCTTCATAATTTTACCGCATAAAATATTATATTTTTCCTTAGTAGCTTCGCGAAGCGAGAACCGAATTTCGATTTGGCGTCGCGCGGTGTTGCGATGCGACACAAATAGAACTTCATATCAAAAGATCATTTTTCATTTTGCCGCGATTCAAGACACGGATATATTCGTGCTAAGAACACGTTGACATTTTTTTGCAAATTGTAGACGCCACTTCAAGATGGGTAACAAGTGAACATCTACGGCCATTTTGGGACCGGTTATCAGCTCGTGGGTATGCATTTAGATATCAAAATATAATTTGGAAATAGAGCTCCGTGCCATGACAAATTATTATGTGACCGTTGAGATTAAAAATTATATAAATTATTTCGATGGTAAAAATGGTTCAAAGAGCGTCGAAACCATATCGGCAACCGAAAAAAACCACCGCACACACCGTGTTCACATTGCGAATCAATATTGATTGTTCCAAGGAGCGGCCTGTCGCCTACTATTTTCAACATATTTGCCATAGACATACGTACAAATAAATGGATGAAACCAATTCGATTTGCATATATGCATGTTGAAATCATACCCAGAATCGAACAATTCAATTTCGACTAAAATGCCATACTTTTATTGACTGATTGTCATTGCGAACACTTCTGGTAGCGAGTAATATGTATAATACATATTCAAGGTAGATTTCATTAGGTTTCATTCGAGCAAAAGTAGTCAAAGTGAATTCAATATGCGGCATGCGCAAATGATGAAAACAAGAAGAAATTTGGTTGCCAAAATCATTGAGATGAGCGTGGGCGAAATCCATAAATTTTTCCTTCTCGTTGGAGACATGTGATTCAATCGTCTTTTGATGTTCTCACGCTTCAAAAATGACATTAGCTTTTCTTTTTCTCTTGTTGATTCCATTCCGTTCTTGGAAAAATCCTTGGAGTGGAATGATAATCAGTTGTCAGTTGGATGGTATGGTAGTCGTAAAAAAGCTACCAACATTATATTTCATGATGCAGTTCTTGTTGTACCATGACATAATTTTTAATGATGCCTCTCTCTCTCTCTCTCTCTCTTTTCGTCGCTGTGCGTCGTTTGGACGAAAATTACTTTGTGTACCTGTTTGTACTCAGTGAGAGCATTATTCGAAACGGTAATTACTGTATGCAACTTAAACGAAGGATTAGCCTATGGATGTATGTAATTTACTCCGTTTATATTGAGAAAACGTGCAAAACAGTTTATATCTCTCTCGCTTTCTTCTTCTCTCTGTCTCTCTCTAGTTCCACTCATTTGATATTCAGCGGGAAATCTACGGTGTGTGTCTGTGTGCGCGCTCTTTGAAAGCTAAAAATTTTAACGATGTTTTCATTAGAATGTGAGCGTGCGAAATAAAATAACCTTCCGCATAAGCTTTTAACTCTTCAAAGAATTTGTTTATGGTGTAAGCCGTTCAATGCAAACAATCAATTTCTAGCCATTGAGAAACCCTTTCTTGTGGTATGCATATTGGAAATATCCATGGCGAAATTCGAAGCGAAATCGATTGCATGAAAATCAAGAAGAAACCCACACGCAACCACATCAAACGAATGATCGATGAATGTGACGATGGCTTTTGGTGCGTGTCGGCTTCTTATTATTTCAAAAAACGTTTTCTAGCAAAATACACGAGCGGAAAACAAAACCAGAATGATAATAAATTTATGACCGAGCGGTAAGTTTCCGTTAAAGCACCGATATTCCGCACAAATTTGCAATAAATAAAATATTATGGTAAGTAAGTTGCTTCTTTTTTATTCGGCCATTTCTTTGTGGCAGCCTACAGCTGCGTGCATTTGTGTCTATAAAAATCACTTGTTATCTTCAAGCAATCAACGTGCACCGTTCAACTTTTCAGCAATCCATTGTGTGCGTGTGGTTGTCTCTTGGTCTCGCTTTTGTGCGCTTCCCTCATATCACACCACCCAAACAACGTCCAACATTCCGCACTCAAGCTATGAGCGAAACTTTTGTGGTTTTACATTGTATATTCATTTCCATTGTTTGAAAAGATGCACGCGCGCGTTTGCTGCCTCTTAAACAAACAAAAACGCGTGAGTAAAGCTCGGATGATGAACCAAGTGTGTTTTTGGTTTTGTTTTCTAAATATGAAATTCAATAGCTGGAAGCAGCCAATGTAATAGCCATTTTTAATGCTTTGCGTGCGATTTGCTGATTTCTCGGAAGCATCGCGCTTTATTCAATGTGATTTCAGTTTCGAAGCTCCTTTTACATGAACATCGTATCTTTCGTACGCCACGCACGCAATAGAGCCGTCTTTTGTTTCCTATTTTCGGTGGTGTTTTTCATCCACTCAACTACTCAATATAAACAAATGAAAACGGCTGCGCTCCTAACGAATGCTGATTGTTTCCATCAAATGGAATTTGTTTTGTGCTTTGTGTGTTGCAAGTGAATGATATGATCAATCTTGGATTTGTGTGCTCTGTATTGTAGGAGCTTTCAAAGGAAATTTCGCTGCTGTCGAATTCACTTTAAATTGAATACCATTTCAGATTTCAATTTCAATGAAAGTGGAACAAATGAACAAACAAAAAGAAAAACAAAAGCGAGATCCATTTCACGCTGCCAAAATTGGAATTCGTCAAGTGTAGTGCTAAAAATACGGGTTTCTGTTTTAATTTCGTGGAATCCTTGAGAAAAATCCAGACTATTGAATGTGGGCCACTGTTTGTGCGGAGGGGAAAACTTTTCTCATGAAAACATTATTGTGCTTGGCTTTGCTTACTGGGATAATGATGAAGGCTTCATCATGAAGCTTAGACGGTCACTTGTATTTTATGATTTTGATATGATATCGTTGTCGTTGTTGTGTTGGAGTACTTTTGGCTGAGGTCGATTTTTGCTCGATTAACACCGGCAACGTGGACGTCATAGTTATGCATCGGTTCCAATAAAATAGTTTCGGAATTCGGTCCGTTTCGTGAGCGAAGGAATTTTAAATGTTGCACAACATGAAAATGTGATTATAGGTATGTCATATGGTGTGATAGAAAGAGATTGTGTGTGTATGTGTTTGTGTGTATCTGTGGAAAGGCATCAATTGACGTGCAAAATTGCATTTCAACATTTTCCATATTCCACTTACCTTGATGTGGCAGATCTCGAAAAGTAGAAGTTTAATACTGTACCAAATAACCCAATTTATGTTACTTCACTTTTTGTTCAATGAAAATGCAAGCCAACGTGTACAGCGCAACGAGATTGTGTGATATTATCTAGAGAGTTTTGGCAGCCGAAAATTATGAAAATTTATGCAAACTCCAATTTGTTATTTACAACAATGTTTCGCATTCTTTTTTTTTTTGAATTTCGTTTCTGTTCGCATAACCATGGAAATTTATCACTGACGTCAATTCCACGTCTATTTTTCACATCTTCGGTTTCTGCTCTTGTCTTCTGTGGGCACGACACGATAAAACCAACCGAATTTTGAAATTTTAACGCAGAAATTGCCTGAAGTTTTCCGCCGCACCATAAAAAGTAGATTGATGCCCGCCAATTAAGCGTGACTTGGGTTTGGACATTTGTTTTCGAAGTAAAAATAAATTGGGAACCAACAACAATCAACCGAGGACAAAAAAAGTATGCATGACGAAATTTATGATAGCATGTGCGAGAAGCATCACAGCAAAATGGATGTGTATGCATGTGTGCGTGTGTACATAAGTGAAATTAATGAAGCCATTTTTGCTTGACATCAGCGGCTTCATTTTCCATTTTCCGCCATCAAATCGCCATTTTTTTCCACACTGGAACTTATTTCAAAGCTGTAGAAATTGAATTGTTGGACTAATGAAAGGAACAAAAATCGGCTTGACAAAGAATATACAAACTTAAAAATGGTAAACAAGATCTAGCATAATAAGTGGAATAAGATTAAGTAGAATCTAGGAAAAAAAATATTTGGAAAAAGTTGTCGTTTATCATCTAAAGTAAACTTCAAATGCTCTCACTATCCGAGTCAAACAAACACAACGGAAACGAAAAGAAAAAAAAACATAATAAAAGAATCGATCTCATTGGCTAAAAGTGTAGAATAAATTTGAGTGTTGTATATTTGTGTGTGAATTATATTTTGTTTTGTTTTTGTTTGTAGTATGTATAACTTTCTCACAAATATGTATGTAAGCATAGAAAATAAAGTTCATGTTGAAGCCAATGCATAGAAAATGGGAAGAAACAAATTGGCATGAAATCAAACCAAAATTGAAAAATGAAAAATGTAAAATGTAACTGAAAAATGGAACCAAAGGAAAAAAGTGAACTGCTCAGAATAAATGCGGAATCGAGACCGAAACAAGGCAATAATATGCGAAATTTACATACAAATTAAGCACTTTTTACCTGCTTCGCTTCTTATATGAAATTCAATCAAACGGAAAAATAATGGACATAGCCAAACTGTATGTGTTTGTGTGTGTATGAGTGTGTGTTATTCCTTTGTATGTATGTTTGTATGTATTTTGTATTAATAACGTGTGTATGTGTGCTCTAGATATTGAAAATCTTTATACAAAACAATTGAATTTGAAACGCATTCCCAAAAATTATTTCGCTTTCGAATCAAAGTGTGAGAAAAGTGGAAAAATCGCTTTCATTTATTTGCAAGGCCCACATACCTGATATACCTAGATCGGTCCTCATCATCATCACCACCGCCACCGGTTGCGTTGTCCAAATTTTCAGCCGCTTCAACGGCGCCCTCGGTGTCAGCGCTTGTGCTGTTCTTTTTCAAACCGGGAATGTTTGGCATATTTGGCAAAGCAACATTGGGAAGTGATACATTTGGCATTGCAGGCATCGACACTGTAGGCATTGACGGTACCCATCCGCTCACTTTCGATTGAAAACTTGAAAATACGCCAGCCCCTTTGGTTGGACTGCATCGAGAGGAAAGAAAAAGTGTTTTTTTTTTCCTCCATTGAAATGACTGATTTTTTTTTCGGTTTGATTTCAACCAATGAATGCGCTGGAATCGAGATTTACCTAGTTGCAGCGGCTTCACCTTCCTCGCCAACTGGAACATTTTCGAATGATTGTTCGCCAGCATCGGCGGCAATTTCACTTTGTCCTGGTTCGGCAACTCCTTGTGCGGCTGGATCACCTTCCTCGCCCTTTACGTTGCCCATCCATGAGCTGACTTGATTCGTTAATCCGGAGAACATATTTATTTTCAACTATTACTGTGTGGTTTCTTCAAAAATTCGTTCCTTCGTTAGCCTGTCAATTAATGTTGAAAAATGAATGGTTATTTACAAAGAAAGTCGAGAAAGTTTCATTTGGTTTTTTTTTTTGTTCTTCTTTCATGCGCTCTAAATGTCTGTTTCAAGTTGTTGATTAAACACAAACTAAACGAAATGAAACATTTCGGCGCTTGTAAGCGCTAAGCATTGCTTGGGTAATTCAATTATAACTTGAAAGCAATACACAACAAGCTCCCAAGTTATACAAGATACACAGAGAGAAAGACAAGTAAACAGGGTATTAAAATATATGTAGTCACAGCTGGATTCCAAATTTTGACCGAAGTATAAGGCTGGTTTGAAAGGATATATATAATTTTTCCGACGCTTTGGAACTATTTCTCTTTCGCTCGGTACATTACTTTTTCTGTTTGGCAGAGAGTTTGTCGCAGGAGAACCGTATTCAATTGCAATACACATTCATATAATGGCGTAAAAAGCCAACGCAAGCAATTTTACTTCACACATACACCCCACCTCTGTCATATTCTCATCCTCACAATTCTGTAGCTCCTTGTTGTTGGCTCCATCAAACAGTACATGGAAAACTGGTTAACTTTTCTCATTATTTACCGTTTATAGAGGCTTATAATATTTTCTTGCTTTTGTTATGTTTTTTTTCCGCATTTTGCTGTAGCATTTCGGAGCTTTGTTGTTTCGCTCGCCCTAAAGTATGTGTGGATATGCTTTCGAGCATTTAATATGCACAACAATCCATGGGGTGATAAGTGATTTCGTGCACGCAGCCAGAAACACACTCAAAACGACAGATGAACGATTGCGCTGTACACTTTATGTTTGCGTGCTTGTAGCGAGTCGGAGACAGAGAGACAGAGTGTGAGACGGTAATTATTTATTATTGAAAATGGTTTATGCCGAGGTTCACCAATGGGAATGAATTGTATGAATTACGAAACGGCATGAGTGAATGATATTATTTCATTTGTGCCAGTGCGAAATAAACAGTCGGGTCAATTCAAGTGAAAATGGCGACGCTGCCGCTTCCGCCGCCGTCATCGTTTGCCCTCGTCTCCATTGCTAACGAGATGAAATAACACTGAAGGGTTGCAAATTGACTTTTCGAGAGTGGTATAAATGTAATGCAAACATATGCTAAGCACTTTTCAGTAATTAAAATGGTGTAACATTCGCATTCTAACCCGCTTATTTCGAGAGACTTGCCATATGTATGGATTTATCAACATACACTCTCTATCTCACTCTGTGCTCTGTACAAGATCCCTTGTTGCCAACCTCGGCGCAATTCAAATCAATTAATGATTTCAAAAAGGCTTATTAAATTTAATCAAAATTCATCAGATCAAAAAAAAAAAAAACGACTCAAACTTTCTGCTGAACAAATTTTCACCCTCTTTCGAACAAACTCATAAAACGTAAATGAAGTGCTTGAATGAAAACTGTTTCAATTTAAGTGCTTTTATCGAGCACATTACGAAGCTTAAGTATCTAATTGAAAGTTCGAATTCTATTTTGAAAAGACCTTCAACCGCCAAAGCCCACATTTTCGATGATGTTCTTTAGTACGGTTTGAGTGGAGCAAACTTTTTAAAAATTCAACAGAAATTCAACACATGGTTTGGCACATACGAAATATATGTATATCGACTGTATACGTCCTGTCTGACCCAAAGCCGTTAAAATAACAAACAATCGGAAACAATGAACTACCAAACTCCCAATTCCAATTCCTATTCCAAAATGCTTAGGTTCTCGATTTCTCTACTTTCTCCCCCTCTCTCTGACACGCTGTCATTCTCTACATCTAAATTCAATTCCATATTGCGTTAATGTCTGCATTCTGTACATGTACACATGTCACTTATCACTTGATGTCGCTTCAATTTGCACATCGTGCACACAGGGCCAAAATAGTAGCGGCGCGTTGTAGGCAACAAAAGGCCGCAAAAACGGAATATCCGTTGTTCGTTTAAATTTTGCAAACGAATTATCGTCCGCAGCAAACTGCGAGCGCACACAAGAAAGAGGCAGACAGAGAGAAGGAGAGAGAGAGAGAGAGAGGGAGAGAGTTATCGCAAGAGAGGTTGCCATCGATTTTCGTTGATGTGACGCACATGAGGAGAAAGTCTCTGTGTCTCTGCGTATCCGATGCGTTTGGTTAACTCGGTTGGTTGCTTGTTGGCTGCCTGGCTTGCATGCGTGGGTGTTTATTTGATTTTTCATTTCAATTTTTTTTTCGTATGTTGCCTTTCCATCTGAAATCCCCGACCTGATGCCTATATATACGTTAGCACTCACTGCGAGACCAATTCGCATAGCCATTTTAGATACAGTACACACAATGTCTGTACACAAAAAATAATAGTATATATAAATGTAGAAGTGCTACCACAACATCAAGGCTACTGTACTGCTATCGACGACGACGACTTCAATGTGACAATGTGCCCTACAGAAAATGTGCCCACAATGGTGACTAAGTATACACACACTCCATGCAAAAACAACACATGCACACAGACCAATTTGTGAAAAAAAAAAAGCTTTAGTCGAACATCGAATACGTGCACGTGCAATCGTATACAAAATGATGGTGGATTGAGATCGATGGAAATATAAATGCTTCTGTCGAAATGGAAATTTGATGTTTATGCTTTTGGATGGCCATAGTGATCTATGTACTTTTACAACACAATATACATGTAGTGAACAAAGCGACGTGGATTCGATGTCAAAAGAAGAACAAAAAAGTCAATACAGTGGTACACTCTGTGGCTTGTGTACTGTGTATACCACACAGGGCGCACATCACTTTTGGGCTCCAACCGTTTGTGTGTGAATGTGCGAGTGGTTTGACTGAGCTGTCGATGTGTTGGTGTGGTGGTGGTGGTGCTGCTACGGAAATGTGAATCATTCAATTTTCATTGTGTGTGTCTCCAACGAAAGGAAAATGTTGAATGTGCAGCAGCAGCATTGGGAAAATACGACAATGTGAAAATAGATGTAGACTGTTAGAATAAAGGAAAAAAACCTCATCGCACCAACGCAACCAAGTCATACCATACGACGAATTTCACTCTGTGTACTCTCGTTCACTCTCTCTCTTTCTCTCTCTCTCTGTGTGTGTGTGTTTCTCATTCTTATTATATCTGAATTATGCTGTGGCATGAGCGCGTACTTGAAGCAAAGAGTATGTATGACATGAGGTCATGAAATTTCTTCATTTTGTGTGCATTTTAAATCAGATACAATTTCCCTCTTTTCGGGAGGGATATACGCGTTGCTATCGTTCAATCTTGGTAGATGTAATGGAAAAGATAAACAACATCCACCACGATTCGATTTAATTTGGTTTGCCCTCTGTGACTTTTAGCAGTCGGGTTCACCCGCGCGCTACTGCCTTCATATGCAAAAACGATCGAAATAATCAAGTCAAAACCTCGAGTCAAGGACCAATTAATCTCAGTCATGCAACCAACCCAATTTTAATCATGATAATTTTGGGGTTTTGATTTGAAATCACAAATGTCCACTGCCAAGTTTTTATCAAATTTTGATTATAAATAATGTTAATCCCTCGACATTGGCAAAAAAATATGAAGTTTAATGGAAGAGAAATATTTTACGTGAAATAAATTGAATTCAATTGTCGATAAAACGCCAGCGAAATAGTTCATTCGTTTGGGTTTATTCACATGGTCACACATATTATCCATAAATTACGTCACAGAAAAATGCATGAAACATTAGAAAATATTATTGCAATATATCCATGCACTGGGCAGGAATGGGGCAATAGGAATTGGTGAAAAAAGGGAACAAGGCTACTTGAAGTGCGATTTGGAAAAATTGAACATGAAATTAAATTTTATTCTATTGCGAACACTACACATTTTTCCAAGGAATTCCGTTGTATTTTTTTTCTTTCACTCAATGCACACTGCATTGTTTCGTTTCATTTTTTGTGTGTCATTCGTTTTTTTTTCCTCTCTCTCTCTCTTTCTGACTATCAATTAATTGCTCATTTGCAAACATTGGACTTTCATCGACTTTACCGTGATTTCACATCGTACGAGGAAAAAAGTTTTCTTTTTTTACACACAAAATGGCACAACAGCTAACAATAAAAAAATCTAATTGCAAAAGTACAATTTTTTGTCCTGTTTCCAAATGTTTTTTTTATCTGCGTAGCTTACGTTTTTTCTCTATTCGTATCCAATTATATCCAATGTGATGAGATATTCGCCCTTGGCGTTTTGCTTCACGTTTTAACTGAACTGAAATTTGTTACTCTTCAACACTTTTTTTTCTTCTGCTTCGTGTATGGAATTAATCCGTGTGTGTCCGCTGGACGTTGAAATGTGGTGTGTTGCGTTTATGAATGGGAAAGGAAGCTCGATAAATGAAATGAAAGTCGATTTTTTGTTTCTATTTTCTCTTTATGTCGTTTTGAATTTGGATTTTTCTTCTTTTTTTTTCGCTTGCTGTTGAGAGTCTCGTCCCGTGTGGTGTCGAACTAAAAACGCTGAAAGCTTATGGAAAAAGCGATCGAAACTGACTGGCGCTGTCAAAGTACAACTTGAAAATTCCTTCAGAAGTTTGTAATTGCTGTTTATTGGCAAAAAGAAGGATGTGAGAGAATGAAGAAGAAGAGGGAAAAACACTGGAAAAATCATTTTCGCTATTGAATTTTTGGTGTGCGCGCAGCCAAACACATGCACGGCCATGCGACCAACACTCACACACATGTACACGGACACAGTCACTACAACAATATCTGCGGACAAAATTGAATCTATGACTGTTTCGAAACATGCGCATCGTACAACAATTCTCCATCATCGTTGCGAAGCTTCCTTTGTGTTTTGTACAGACATTCACATGCAATCGATGCATGTTGATTTCGATCTAAAGACTTTTGTTTCGTATTTAATGAAACACCAACATTGACAATAACTTTTTTTCCCTCTTGCTTCTCACATTTCGACTGGACAATGTTTTGAATAGAGAGTTGTGCTGCGGAGAAATCAATCTGATTGATTGAAACACACACATAATTGATAAGAAACCTTAACGAACCAAATAATTTATTGTAATTAACACCATGATCGAAGGATAGACAAATGTTTTTATCTGTGTCGTAATGTAAACCATGAATGATTCATCACCAATCTCATTCTATTTGTACAAAATGATCTACGTGGTCATTGTTTAACCAAAATAAGATTGATGAATTCAATGAACGAATCGAATCCGTTTCCAAAATAAAATCAATACATTTACCTGGTACGATTGGTATCAATTAGCACATTCAATTGCCTGGAAAACACTGAAAAAAAGACACAAATACACGGGGGAGATACACCACAAAAAGCTACGTTTTAGATTACTGTTTATTTACAAAGTGTTGTTTTTTGGCACTTCGAGCCAAATCGAAATGTCATTTACACTTCGGCTGCCAGCCACCAGAGGTCGTTAACGACAAAATCGATGTGGATAAAATTGCACATTTCAAATCGACATTGAATTTCGATCGGTTCGAACTTCAACTAACAGCGTTTGGTGTCTCATTTGAATCTAATAATTTTGTGAGTTCAAAAAAAAAAAATAGTTCAAAAAATCTCACTTGAAAATTGTTTATTGAACCAGAACCAAGCAATAATAACAAATTGATAGCAGAGAATCGAATATTTTGGACAATTTTTTGTCGGTCTGTAAGAGATTTTATTTTGACATCAGACAAACGTAAACAAACAAATCATGTGGAATTTGTTTGGAAAAAATTTAAATAAATTGTTTATGTTTTTGCCGAATTAAAAACCGACAAATGTCGTTTTGTTCTGATATTCTTTCGTTAAGTTTACATGAAGTGACCAAAAATAATTCTGAACGAGTGTTATGATAATTGGGTGCATTGTTGTCATAGAATCGAATGGAAAATTCCACTGCATTTGGTGAGCATACGCAGAGCCGACACCAAAAAAAAATCGAACACGCATCATATGTTCGGTCTATCAGTCAGTCTGTCTCTCCTGTGGGACGTTTGAGTTTGGTTATTAGCCGAACGACGAACCATTTGCCAATCTACGAACCAATGAGACTGTATAAACAAAACAAATAGTGAAATTCAATTTGTAGTTGGCGATATAGGTTGGTGTCTACATTGTACAAGGAACAGAGCAGTGCAGCAGCAACTCGTCGGTAAAGTTTCAATGGATGCGTACGCATGTTATCGCATCATATGATTTCGGATATGAGTATGTGTGAGTGTAAATTTTGACGTATAGACCTGGTGCTATACATGCCGTCTCTTTCATCAGTTATCCATATCACTCGTCTCAGTATCGTTTTGCTTGCCAATACACATAGGCCAAAACGATATGTTGTGCAGCCGTCTCGCTCGCATTATTCCTCATTTCAAATGTACACACAGCGTTGATGACATTTGTACGCCAGTCAAAAACGAAACAAAAACCACGAATGTGTTGGTGCAAGTGAAAAATATCAAATCACCCAGCGACACACAAATACACAATCGTCGTCATCGTCACATTAAGACTGTCAATGTTGAATAACTGTAAAGTTACTAAAAGTTGCGTTGTGCTCAGAGAAAAAAATTCGCATACATTTTCATTTGTTGTTGTTAAAAAGTAAATTCACAATCGAAAAAAAGTTCCAAATGAAAAATCGTTCATCTCCATTGTGATCAAATCGTTGTCAAATTGGTGAATAGAAAGTGTGAATTGGTCTGGATAGTTAGCCAGTGTGCATTCAATAAAAAAAAAACCGATCTCTCACTCGCTCACAAGCCCTTTCGATTTCACTTTACCCAGTCGTCGGGGACTGGGACACACAACGCATTGTTTGGCTGTTTTGTTGCGATCCATTTAAAAGTTCAACCTTGGAGTTCACACACACCGAATTTGTTTTTCTCTGCTCTTGTTTGCATTTTATCACACACAATTGCACAGCGCGACTAGTTTCAGCAATTGTCAATGTTGTTTTTTTTTTCAAGTGTAAAGTTTAAGGTATCATCAATTGTGTGCGAGGCAGCGTGTGTAGTACTTCACATGCTCGCCTTATATTTTTTTTGTTCACCGTGAATCACTATTTAAATTGAGAAATTTCGCACTTATACATTTTGCCTGTGCGTCGCCAACGGTTTCGATTGCGACATCTGAATATCTCTCTACAACTCTACTCGTGTGGAACGGCCAACGAAACAAAAAATATCAGCAGTAGAACCGAAGTACGAAAGTAAACCATAAAGAAAATTAATATACGAACATAATCCAAAAATAGTTGTTGCCTTCGGCGTATTCTTTATAAATCCGAGTGCGTGTGTATCGCGTTTTTTGCAGCAATTTAATCATTCATAAAATAGAAATTTGGACATTTGACTAAAATAAAAAGCAAAAACAACAAAATTACGGTTATACACACATACATACACAAAACACCGTGATAACAATCTAAATCGCTTTTCATCCGTTATTATTAAGTGTTTTCACAACGATAGAGAGCAAAAAAATCGAATTTGCATAAAATTCGAGACAATTTAGCATACGTGACTTGTAGTTGGATACTCGCGCACATTGTTGAGCGTGGTATACAACACATACAATAGATTTGTTGGTGGCCAAATAGACTGAGCGAGAGAGAGAGAGGAGAGCACACACAAGTTCTCCAAAAGAAACTCTTGCGGTTATTATTGTCGCAGACATCGACGTCACACGTTCAAACACACGAACGTCCTTTTGCTGTAAAACAAAAATTCATCCATTCGATATTAGTCAGCTTACAGCCAGCGATCCAGCGAGTCGAGCTCAAAGCAAACTTTAAAAATAAAACAAACTAGAAAAACCGTAAGATACATTATTGTGTAATTTCGTATCGTGTTCGTCGATACCTACCTTCGTACCCAACGTTTCAATATAACTTTTTTTTCTTGCTGTTTGAATTTAAAATTAATATCGAGAACATTCCGAAGTCGAAAATTTTTTTTTAATAAAAAAACGCGTTAATTGTGTGACACGAAACGAAAAGAAAAGAAAACAAACAAAATCAAGAATAACAACAAAGAGTTTAATTGTGGAATGAAAAATTCATAAATTGTAAAATCACGTTTCGATCAAGAGAGAGAGAGAGAGAGACAGAGAGAAAAAGAGAATTTCGAAGGCAAATTTCGTGTATTAGAAGTCGATTGAAAAGCAATCGTGCAGCTATAATGTCGGCGGATTTGGTTTTTTAGCATTTGCTACACACAACTTACGAAACGAATCGAATCGAATCCAATTACGATATTCTTTTCGAGTGACCGTGTGTTTCATGCGAGTCCGGTGCGTACTAAACGAAACATTACTCTGGTAAGTATCGAATAACTGTCGAACATCCAACAACATTTTTGTCTATATTTTGGTTTCCTTAACATATAAATTGGATTTTGTGCATGGGATATTTTGGTTTTCGGCCGCCCTATTTCGACGTTTTCATCGTGCATGAATTATTCACACAAGTATCTATCTCGTAAAGAGATCCTCGTTATAGAAGAAATTCCATCCCACTCAAGATTAGGTCGTTTTCCTTTGCGATGATTTTATGTTTACAAAATGAGCCGACGTGTTTTGCTTTTATTTATGCTTCCAACGCATAAATTTGCCGTTCTCTCGGATATAAATTGTTTATCAACTGCCGATTGTTCGCGAATGTACTTGATTTTCTGCTTAAATAATTTATTTATAGATTATTAATGCGTTATGAAATGTAAGTGAAATGCCAACGTGCATGTAAACAAAGATACGCGAAAGTGAACCAGTTCCAACGGAAATTAAATCCATGCCAAAATCACTTGAGTTTGCAGAATCGTTGTTCTCACGGATATATGACGACAACGACGACGACGACGACGACGACAGTGGTGGCTGAAGAGTCAATCTTAGAAAACATTTAAATAAATAAAAAACCGATCCATTTCACTTTGCAAAACACAAAATGCGCAAAAGGCACACAGCTGACATTGTTTATCTTTTTCTCGCAAACGTTGCTAAATTCTTTCGATGTATATTTTTGTTTGCAACGTCGAACAAACGAAAAACGAAGAAGAAGAAAAATGCAAACAAGAAAAGAAATCTACCTCATTTATTGCAATTTAACAAGCAAAACGAGAGGAAAAAATTTTCATGTTTTATTTTTATCTCTTTTGTTTCGGCTTCAAATAACAGTATATATGAATATATGAATCGAAAGATTATCACCTGATGCCGTACAAAATGAAGAGACAAAAATGTAATACTATTTACGTAAGATATGATCCGTTCAGTTGATGGGACCTGTACAAAAACAAGAGCAGTGTGACTGAATTGTTGTGCCGATGAATAATGTGAAAGCGAATGGCATACAAGATTTTCTACGCATTTGGTCGAACGCCATGGCAAACCACTCGATTGGTGTCAAAGCACCAACCACAATGAAACGAACGAACACAAAAAGTGCTGGCAAACTTTTCTTAATTGAGAATATAGCGAAAAAGCCGCCTTAGAGTGAGAACGAGTGGGAAAGAAAGTTGAAGAAAAAAATTTACATAACGATTTTTTTTGGCAAGTTTGCGTCCAATATAATATGGGCATGATTTTCACTCATTCTTAATTAGGCAAAACAATAACCACGAAAAAAAAAACTGAAAATATCTTGGCATTCTATTACCAGGTAATAAAATAATAATTAATTGAGCCGTTTTGGCGTTGAGCTCGCTTTTTTATCAGATGGTTAAAATAGTGCCTACACATTCGTTTATGAGTGGTATATAAAAATTGAGATTTTGATTATGTTAGCAACTTTTGTAAATCTGGTTGAGCACAGTTGAAACAGAAGGTACACACAAAAAATTGTTGCCGAGCCGCAAATTTCCAACGCGTACGAAATGACTTTTGACATGAAATAGTATTTGCAATCGACGAACATAAGGTTGGCCGCATACATGGAATTGCGTTCACATTCGAAACGATACGACCAAACTTGGAAAAATATCGAAAGAAATTGCCTTCCGCCTATGAAATAATAAAAAACAAATTCAATTGGCAAACTGATCAGCTCCAAACAGGCAGACATAAAACGACCAATAAAACCGTCACATGCATAAAATAATTTGGTTTAACAAATCGGTTGTTTTTTCTCTGCACATTTTGAACGAAATACTGCATAATGACGTGTAGCTTAAATGTCAATTGAGTTGTTATTAGTGCCTCAGATCAATGTATGTACGCGACGACAACGACGACGATGAAAAAATGTGTATCGAGAGTCGATACAAGCTAACTTTTACACAAAATATTTCAACGTAGCCGCCAACGATTGCTTTAACTGGTAATTACAGAGGTGTTGCGTGTTTTGCATAGGCCTAGCAAAATAGGCAGTTTTCATTTGTAGCCAACATTAATGAGTGCCAGATTAAGCAAACCACGTACATAAATCGCACCTCACAAATGTTTTGACTCTTTTCTGTCACTTTTATTCCCCGTCCAATGGGAGAACTCGAGCAAACGAAACATTTATATTTGACTTCTCACAATATATAATATCAATAGCATATTGTTCTTACTGTCTATCTAATTCATACAATGTTTCCGTTTTGTCACCTCCCCCAACCCTCAATGATATCCATTGAGCTGAAGATTTGCTGTCTCACTCACTGCTGTTGTTTTTCTTTTCCACTGTGAGAACAATATTCCTCGCAAAAGAATAAATCACACGGAAAACCACATTTCCGCATTGACCTTGAAAGTGTGTACAATCCGAACTATAGCATTCGAACTCGAGCTTATTGTTTGTGTTGCTATTCAAATTGATTTACCGTCTTTATTCAACTTACTTGAAAAAAAAAGAACTTGATGAAATTATTTCTGCTGATTCAATAGCAAAAAGCTGAAAGAAAAATTCTCCGATCAAATTCAATGAAAAATCGATAGAATTTGTCGACATGAACGAATCGCATAATCCACAAATTTATTTGAATATCGTTAATTTTCGGCTATTGAAACTGTTACTAAAACCTATTTAGAAAGAATGGCAATTTTCCGTCATTTCGTCGACAGCGTTGGGAATGACTCACACTTTTATTGATTATACCGGGATAAATTAAACAAAGAGAGAAAAAAATCGATTTGGAATTATGTGCACAGTGAGTGACGATGAAATCGAGTCGAAACAATATCATTTCATGCTTATCGAGGCAGCCATTCGTTTTCATTTTGGATGACTGTGTTCAAACGAAAGCCGAATTTATATTTCACATCTCCATTTTCTCTCCCGCTCTCTTTCTCTCACTCATTATCAACATTTACTGCATGCTGTTTGATGAGAAATTGTACCAACATTATGCTCAGTCAGTGTGAATTGAGTTAAAATTCATCGATTTCTTCTGCACACATTTGTTTCATTCTGTACCTAATTTTAATTTTCATGGTCGATGTTTCGGATGTCGTGTCAAAGTTGCTGCTGCTGCTGCACACGAACTACCTTTTTCTCATCGCATTTCGAAAGTGTTTCAGTTTGAAACACTAATAAATACGTTCTACATGAAATTGCTAAATAATGCAGGCAAGATGACAAGCACACAGCCTTGTGCGAGTTAGAGATCAAGCGTCAGTGTAGCTAAGAATCAAATTAATACAGGCATCAGGAGACTTTGATGAGAAATTGTAATCAAAATCAACATCAGCCACCCAGTTTGTATTGAATTATTTTGTATAAGTTGATTTGATGCTATAAAATGATGCTGCGAACAACATTATATGGCCGAGTCAATATCAACGATGAACATAAATGTACTCCGTGATGATAGCAAAGGCTCTCTCGATGTTTGTTCGATGTGCTGCTTCGTTGACGCCCGAGAGCCTCAGCTCAAAACACAAACATAACAATATTTATAATGTATGTTTCATAGCCTCAAAACAGCTCTGGTGCCATTTTGCCAGTGGTTGTAAATGTCCCAAGTAATAACGATATACATACAATGCTTATGCTTTGAGCCAGCCATTTGAACTTGTGTATTTATTTTGTTTCTGATTCTCAAGGCTTTCCTCCAATTTCCTCCTTTACTCCACCACCACCGCTGCCGCTGCCGCTTCAGAACAGAGAAAAAATGACACATACACAAACACATATATTTCTGTGCTTGAAATTTTCTATCGCTTGACAATTCCTCTTGGCAAGTTGCCCAATCGAATTCGAAATGAAAAATGTGCAGCCGCTAAACAAATGTTTCTACTTGAAAGAATTGTTAGCACTTTTATGTTAACCCCTAGACCTACCGAAGTTGATTCGCTAACGTTAGAGATTCAACGACACAATTGATTTGATTTCATGAACAGAGCACACCGCTCCGGGTTAATTGATAGAGCCGAGAGATAACAGTGGATGCACAATGTTGCAGCAATATATTTTTACGGTGAATTTAGTTTTCTTACATATGATCGAAACATTCTTCGGAAGAGTGATTTTTGGCAAGTTCTGCATGTTTTCTTTTTGGTAACAAAAGTTCGCTTCGGATTCCATGCAAAGTTTTCAACAATTTTATTTGTAGTCAGCGAAAAAAAACCAATTTTATTCTGACTGAACGTCCAACATTCGACGGAATAATTCGATTACATAAAGTAAATATTCGCCTTCGTTGCAGTGAAACGGATCGACAAATCCGACCGTTTAGAAGGTTCTAGCCTTCTCTTTAACTTTGGGTGCGAAATGAACAATGGGTTGCGCACGTAAGCGAAAATCCATTAAAATCGCGAAGTGCTAGTGGCGTTGAGACTTTCATTAACGGGTTAATACGATTGTTATTGCTGCCACTGCCACTGCTACGGCTGCTGTTGCTGTTGCTATTGCTTGCATTACGTAAGCGCGATGCTCAATGACAGTGTCGCAACGTGACGATGTGGTGGATGCTGTTCCGTGACCTCTAATCGAGGAAATCTAAACTCGGTGAAATTTCTATTCCATTTCACTCGTTGCACAGCGAATGAATAAATAATGCAATACAATTACAGCCAATTCGGACAGCACATATTTTTTCAATGTGCAGAGATTTTTTTCTTTCTTTCTCTCTCTCTCTCTGCTCTCTCTGCTCTCTCTTCTCTTTATTTTAAACAATTAGCTTTTCACTTCTGTACTTGAAATGGAATTAAAATCCGAAATTCATGTGAATTATTCAGAGGACGCTATTAAAGCGTGCTACAATCCAATGTGAGTATCTGAATTTCAATAGACGCTTGCATCGTTCGGGCTGGATGTGTGTCAGTTGCACTTGGCACATTCGAACGCCTGGCGGTTGCGTGATCAAATATTTATGACATTGGCGCCCGTACAAAAGATA